GGGCCGTCGGGGAGGAGCGGCCCACGGCGAGGTGTGGGCTGGAGACACCGGGGAGTCCATCTGCGGATGCATGGTCGAAACGAGTGCGTTGAGACGGCGATGGCCTCCGAAGTCTCTGCTGGGACTCTGGTCAAAAAGCTGTCACATGGCCGGGCCTTGGCAGCGGCGGGCCGGGGGTTGACTGGAGCTGAGTGAAGGGGTTTGATGGGTTCATGAAAAGGTTGGTAGTGGATACGACAGACAAGGTGAAGGTGAAGGAGGTCGGGTCCAGGTCCCACAACCGGCGACGGAGATTGATGATGATGGTGTTCAGATCGTTTGTTGTTTAATTGTATCCGTAGTCCGCATCGCTTCTTCATTCCCAAGTGAGCTTTTGCTGTTGCTTTTGCTGGTCTGGTCAAAGCACACGTCAAAAAAGGATTAGAAGCCGCTAGAAACGGAATACCAAGGCGTACCTTCCATCTGGCGCCAGACCAAGGTAAATAAAGGCCGTAAGCTAAGGGACACCGATACCCGATAGGGTAAGCTACTATAGTAACAGGAGCACTCATCACTCACCTGTTCCTGCTCCATCGCCAACCGGTCACTACTGGCAAGCCCCCTCCCTCCCCAATCGGGCAACAGGGATGCTGCTAAATATAGCTGTAGGCAGCCATAAACAAGGGTGCGGTTGTCCAATGAGCAGTCGGTCGCTGTCCGCTTCTTGTCTTCTTTGAGCGCACAGTCCACCGGGGCCACAGCTCTATTTCGAAGACTTCAGAAGGTACCACCCCAGGCGGATTTGATGGGCAACAGGGCCCTCGGCAAATCGGCTTGTTGCACTGGGGTCGGGCGGGGCTAACCTGGTTGGGCTACTACATAGTGTGCATTGCGGTTAGGGCAGAGAGCAGAAACAGACTATCTACCTGCTCTACGGATACTACAACAACTACTACTAGTACCAACACCACCCTCTTGGTACGTTACCTTGACACCAGCGACGGAAAAGGCCAAGGGTCGGGCAACGGGCAGCCCATCAAGCGAGGCAGTTGAAGCCCTTGTTGTCATTTTCTCCATCCCCCAAGCTAGCGTACGGCACGAGAGCCCTGAATCTCTCAAGGGCCTTGTCGGACTGAAATATACGTCATGATGGGACGATGAGCCGAGCAATCCTTACCTAAACTCTGTCCTCCGTGGTGCCTCGGCGTTGACTTTGGCTCCTCGGCTTCGCTTCGCCTGGAGCATATCGCGCTAGCCGGTGGGATAGCTATACCTCTCGGCGTTGTTTACCAGGTCAGAATGAGTACCAGTACTAGCACCAGCACTAGCACCAGCACTGGCATCAGCATCCTCGATGTTGGGGCGACAATGACATCGAGAAAAGTGGCCGCCACCGTCGCCTTGGGCTCATCATGTCATATGCACAACATCATCGACAACCTGGACGGTCGGTACAGGTAGATACAGCACCAACGACAGAGCGATCGCTTGTTGAGTTTCCCGACAGCCTACCACCACCCATTCCAGTCACCCGCATGCCAAACTGACCACTCAGGAAAGTCATACACCTCCCAGCCATTGGTTTCCCTCTCTCTTCCTTCGCTCCTTCAAGCGGTGGAACTCCGACCCCCCTGCCTAGGCTGCCCAGTGCCCTGTCCAAAGCTCTGTGGAGACGGAATGGCCTTGCATTTTCCAGAAGCCCTGCGGATCTGCTACTAATATATGGAGTACATCACAGTCAACGAAGATGGCTGTTGGACTGCGGGACTGAGGGAAATTCACACAGCTCGCGCCCCTCTCTGTCAATGGTCCGCTTGTGCGCTGTCCAATGCCATGGTGCCGGCCGGCATGATTGACCACTACCCAAGCTCTCGGCCGATTGGACACTGAACACTGGTGGCAGCAAAAATCCCCCAGGGCTGTCAAAACATGCCACCCCGGCTTGCACTTGCACCGGATAAACTACCTCATCAGCAAAAGTGCTCGCAGAGTCGCATCTTCTCCGCATTGGCGAATTATTCTCGACGTGGAGCAAACCTTGGAGACCCTGGCCAAGGAGCTTGGTTGAATGAATGAAGTCCAGGATCCTGAGGTCATGCGCCGTATCAGCAAATCACCTTTGCGCGCCTCTTGGTTTGCATCGCTCGCATGGCGTCTGCGACTCTGCATCTGCCTGATCAGTTTATATCTAATCTGCTAGTAATTACCGACGACGCAACAGCTTGTATTTTACTTTAACCTTTTCACCGCTCTTCATCTAGTCGATGTCTATCAGAAGCTCCTGTCGCCAGGCAAGCCGCCTTGCTGCATTGTACCCTAGAAAGAAGTTGAACCCGATACTCCGTTAGCTTGCGGCGAATGAAGCACCCACAGACCTGAAGACGAGGCTCACCGTCACAGACAGTTATCCTTGTAACAAACCACAGCCCAAGATTTGACTGATCAAACCACACAAGTGTGGGCAGAATAGTTGTGGAAGGCTCAGAGGCGCACACTAAATGATTGTAGGTCACTAGCCTGGGATCCCCATGCTCGCCTCACCGCGTCCGGCCGCCGCGGCTCACACAACGTTCAATGTACATGTGCGGGTCGATGATGCGCACAGGGTTTCCCTGTGCCCAGTCGCCTACACAACCAATGGCAGCCGCTGCCATGATCACCACTATCACAGCGTATGAAGGGAAATTTCAACCAATTCAAAGTGACGACCCTAGTGGAGTCACGCCAGATCAGCTATCCACAGGGCCGATTCCGATGCCAACCCGTCCGCCTCCAGTTGAGACTTTGACATTTCCCCAGCGTGCGTGGGCAGCCCTTCTGCACCTAAACTGAACGCACCGGTGGCTGCCGATCTGAGAGTATTCGCCCCGGAGACGGAGCGACCGGCGTGCCCAAATAAATGCCGCGCTAGGTAACAAGCGAGCGAACAGTATTTACGTCCACAGAACACGCGACGCCCGAATGTTATACGTAGCCGGTCCGTCTTCAGTGCCATGAAACGTTGCGTCTCCCTCAGCCACGGTACGGCGAGCACGCATGGTGTGCTGACAGCACCAAGAGTGAGGGACAAAAACCGTGGCCCACAGCAAGCAAGCGCCGTACTATCGTACCAGGCCATGGTTTTATTGCACCGTCATGTACTTCGGGGCCTTCTCGTTAGGAGAGCATGTGCATCTAGTACTTGTGGGGATAACCAATTACACCCAATACACCGCGACAGAGTTAAAGGGCTCTGAGAGATTACTGAAGTCTGCTGGCGACCGACGGACTAAGCAGACTTTAGTGGTGTATTTCGCCGAGTTTTCATCGAGGGCAGCCAAAGAAGGTTATTTAAGAATAGAAACCCACCTTGCCCTATGAGGCAAGGCGGTGATGACACCGCATGGATGGTGATTGAGGCATTCACTCCAGAGCCTCAGGCCCGTATCTGGCTCCTCACCAGTCAATCGACTGAGACACACAGCGACTCCCCGTTATCGCAAGAGAGGATGGGAACAAAGGAACAAACTCATGACCCGGTGCTGCTCACAGCCACGTTTGGGACCTGCTGGTGCAGGCGGGCCGAGAAGGTCAATGTTGGAACTATGCAGCTTCCAGCTCTGTACCGCCGACCTTTGCACGTTCATGCGATGGTACTTGTTCCTGCATTACGGGATGACGAGGCAAGACTCGACTCAGCCAGTTTGGGATCGACAGTGGTGTTTTCTGTTTGCAATATCCCATGCCCTGGGTCGGTCTCCTAAACTCACAACAAGAAACATTTGTTCGGAATATTATCGTCTCTTCACACCGCTGTTGGCCAACTAGTCACTAGTCATCCACGTCAAATGCTTGGTGGGCCAATTGTCATGCTTGTTGTCATGAATGGACACCCCTGGCAAACTGACAGGGTTAGCAGTAGCCACATGGGGGCGGTCAGGCACAAAGAAGAAGCCCTGTACGGGACCAAATATAGGTGGCCCTTTACATAGTACGCGCGCTGTATGCCAGTACAGCCACCACTCGAGCATTAGACCAGCCGGAGATGGTTGATTCGTTAACCTCGCCGCGCTAACCCTGTTGTACCAGCGGCCTCGTGGTTTGTGATGGTCATCTAAGATGCCAATTTCGTTGACGATTTGGGCAAGCTGGGTGTGTGACGGGCTCCCGCTCGCGTTAGCTGCTTCAAGGCTGCAAAAAGCAGTACATGGGTATGATACCCTGGCAAGTGAGGCCAAAAATGGACACGAGAAACTGTTGTTTCAGCCAACCACAATCAGAAAAGAGCCCTGCAACTCCGATCTTCCAACCCCTTGCAGAATGCTGGGAGGCGTGCTCAAAACAACACCGAAGCCAAGAGACCCTGGGAAGCGGAGGCCCGTCGCTGGACCCCAGGGGAGGGCGGCGTGTTGAACGGGGGCCGGCCAAACGCCTTCGGATGAAATGCAACGAGGCTTCGAGAGAGAGACAGAGATACCCCAAGAAGTTTCGCTTTACTTGAGACGAAGGGCGAAAGCAACATATTTTGTTTTGCTGGGGATCGAGTTTAACGTTTTTTGTCTTGGAATTACCACAGCAGCTTTCTCCACAAACCTGCCATGACCTGACTCGCCGTGCGATACGGATACACCCGCGTCTTTGACTGCGAGAAGAAGCTGAGCTAATGATCCACCGAAGTGAAGCTCGAAGGAGCGGAGCACATGGCGATTTTTTTTTTCTCCTCTCTTCTTTTCCAGGTCTCCTTTCTGAGAAGTTTTTCGAGGCAATTGCTATGACACAACAACAGTAGCTTCAAACCTTGACCCAAGATCTGACCGGACGGCCTCCAAAGGTCACCTCTCGGCTGCCTCGGTAATCAATTGGAACTCATCTGAACGTTGGTGGAGACTTGCTCTCAGCCTCAAGAGCAATGGCGCAGTTCACACGGTTTGGTTACCACTACGGACTTTGCCAGGATGACACGCGACTCGGAGAAATAAACAAAGACAGATGACATGCCCCCAACTGTCGCACGGCAAATGGTTGCATGCTGTGTCATAGATTCAGTAAAGCACAAACCACAAGCTCTCTGGATGGTTTGTTTTGGCAGCGGTAGCAGCAGATCCATATCGTGGGTGGTGGATCTTCACAAGAGTCGCGGTGCTCAGTGTGTTCCCTGCAAAGACAAATAGCCAGGATCTAGGAGGGAACTTGTGCAAGTGCTGTGGTTCGAAAGCTCGGACGTCACGACCCATGAGCGTACTATGTAGGCTTGAAACCATGTATTGAATGACCGTCAGGTCCCTCTTCCTGATGTAACGCGGTTGGTAGCCGGCCGTTTCTGGTGTTGCGGGTTCGGCCTTGGAGAGCTTTTCACAATGACAGATTGGAGCTTCGCCTTCAGGCCAGTCTCCACTAGCTGGGCTGCTGGCACGCCGGGCGCTTTCAATTTTCGTTGCCGCTGCACCGCGCCCGTCCTTCTTTCGGCCTAGTCTGCCACGGGGGCAAGGGCCGCATGGGTGATGGGATGGCCTAGGGGAGAAGGAGGCGCGCACGGATGCCCATGATCCATGACCGCATAACGTTCACTCGTTCTTCTAGTGGACAGGAGATGGGAACAGGGTCCTTCCTCATCCGGAAAGGATGGGAGAAAGGTTGGTCTTCAGCAGACAGGGACCGGGGCGGGGCACCAGCCGAGAGTTGAGCTTCCTCTCAAGGTTATGGGCATGATGAGAAGTTTTATTGCTTGAACTCACAAAACTGCCAGCCGGATAGGAGGAGCACGTGAGAGTTGAGGGACAGAAAAGAATGCGTTCGAGACTGGAGCAGTCGTCATCAAAATTGAGACGATTGCGTGTACGGCTTCGGAAGGATCCAGTATCCGTCGACACAGTTTGGAACAGCAGAACGATTAGCAAAAAGGTAGTGTGCACCATGACGCCAAAATGCACACCACAGAGCTGAAGGCAGAGAGCATCCATGTCGGGAGGTTATTTGTTGGATGCGGTATGTATGGCCGTTCAGTTGCTGCTGTAGGGCGCGGACAGCATTACAGCGAGCAAAAAATCGGGTATACTTGTGAATGGAGCGAGCCAATCGCGGTGACCGCACATACGGACAGAACCGCTGCAAAGGTGATGGAACATTTGACTGTAGGGGTTCTGTCGACGACGCTGCATGCCACCACACCAGGAGACGTAGAATCATGCCCTCAGAAGGGGGGTAGAGACGAACGTGTCCACATGACGCTGCCGCAGCCCTCCGAGTCCCACGGGCTCTGACCGAATACATGGAATAAAGATTGGCCACCTTTTTCAGCCTTCGGATGCAGGCCGAGCATACGAATGACGAGTGCCGGTGCAAATGTATGGATTGTTGCTCTCTACACGTAGTACGGAGAAATTTTGGCACAGCGCTCATTCACCTGTTTTCATGCTATAGGGCCCCACAGGTCTTTTGTCGACGCCATTACCTAAGGCAGGGTAAGGAGAAGCGGCGTCTGACTAGACAAGGTCTAGCAGAGATGACTTTAGTCACAGCTTGACGAGAGAGGTCCATCTGAGAGGGGCCGCGGAGAGTTTCACACCCGCGGAACACAAAGTTGAAGCTTACTGCGCAGTATGGAGTTGTCATTTTGGAATTTGGAGTCTAATACCCCTTAATTCTCGTCGTCATTCTCTCGATATTGCCATTTTCAAAAGCTGGTGGCAACCGACGGCTAGCAAGTTGGGACGGACGAAAAAAGCAGCGGATGATGGTGCCGCCCGGACTCCGGTCTGAGAGGCTTGTCGATTGCCTTTTTTGCTAAAGGATGTCACGACTGCCAGCAACAGACTCTGCATGAAGCTGAGGCTTGTTGGACCAATTGTATTGTTTGGGACTGAATGGCGAACGATGCTCTGTCATCCGCTGAATGACGAGTTGCACCAAACGAGCACGGTCATGTTTGCATGAGCAGGCGCAAGGGCAGACAGACAGACAGGCAGGAAGATTGGATGGGATGGCAACGGCATCCTTGACTCTGACTGGCTCGGCATTACACAAGTCACCGGCACAGACAGAGGCACGGACAAGCAAAAGTACAATGCTCGCAGGTTGGTGATTGCTTCGCCTCGATCGTGTTGGGTTAGTTGCTTGCCGACAGCGTGGCATCGAGCTACATCAGGGCAAGACCGGGACGTTGCCCCTTATTCTCCGAGTCGGGGGGGCATCTCATTCAGTTACGGCCCCAGGTAAGCGGCAAGCGAGACATCGAGAATAGAAGCTATACGGAGCGGCACGGCATGGCATGGCATCAGCGGCGTGGTGAATGCGATAATGGGGCGGTAGCGGGGGAAGCATAGGTGACAAGGCCATGCCATAAGGAGTCAAGCAACGGGAAAGGTCAGCCAGGAGATACCGACCACCAGCAGTCATCCATCCCTCTGCCTAGGAGCAGAGAGGTAACAGAGGCAATGGTGCCCTGTACCGAGAGACGCACAGGCAAGCAACCCAGCCACCTCACGCATGGCTAGCTGTGGAGGGCATAGCAGAGAAACACGCTAGAAAGTCGCCGAGAGGTGGAGGACTTTTGCTGGCGTTGGGGGTGTGTTTTCGTCGGTCAACTCTGGAACAGGGCAGCGCGAAGAGCGAAAAGCTGCTTGGGATGGGGGGGCGCAGCACTGCGTGAGAGGAAGTATCAAGGGGCGAGCTCGGGTTGGATGGGACAGATAATGGAGGGGAGTGGGGGTGATTCTTACATGCTTCCAGGCCGGCTGGGGACTAGTGGAACCTCATGTGGGGAGAAGGTCTCTTGAGGGTGAGGTGAGGTAGCCAGATTGATCACCCGCTTTTTTGCACTAACAGACCTTCTCTCAAAGTCTTTTGAGAGTGAGTCGGTCAATGATTTGTCTCCGCTGGCAAGTGGTTCTTGGCCCCCCGGGCCCCGGTCTATACCTCTCTCAGTCTCTGTCTGCTTTAGCCTTTTTCTCTCGCGGCCGTTCATGGTTGGGGCCCAAGAAGCCGGCTCACCCACGGGAGGAGGGGCCAGGTTTATTTTTAATTCTGCCCTCTTTTTGGGTAGAGTTGGGTTGGGCGGATGAACGGGTATTGGATTTGTGTCTGTTGAGCAGCAGTGTACACACATTTTAGTTTGTGCCGCTATTCCAGATATGCAGACACCATCTCTTTCCCTCTTTTTTTTTTTTTTTTTTTTTTTTTTTTTTTTTTTTTAGTATGAGCTTGGGACTGGCAGCGGCATGAGGTAGTATCAGTAAGTAGTGGTTGGTACTAGTAGTAGAATCGGATCGGACCCGACATCATCTGGCAAAGAAGAAAGCAGTAGCAGTAGACATCGTCATGGTCAGTCAGTCAGTCACCCTCTCGGGTCTCGGAACGACTTTTCAAAGCATCACAAAACATCAGATAGAGAACCTAGCTAGCCAGCCCATTCTTTAATCTATGTACGTATCTTTGCCTCCCTCCCTGTTGCCCGTACTGCTTTTTCTATCCATCCCATCCCATCCCCCCAACCCTTATCCTATCCTCTCTCTCCCCATGCATTAAAAAGTGTACACACACACACACACACACACACATACACACTCACTCTCACACACACCTATGCACCTACGCACCTACGTTACCTGGTGTGCTCGTCTCTCCCCTTCCAGCTGACAATACTCATAATCCTTGCTCATATCATTAATCTCCCCCCCCTTCGTGGAGTGCTAGGCGCCCCGGTCTCATCCCATCAGCATCACGATTTCTGCCCCCTCCATCTCCTGCTCAGAAGAGCAAAAAGCAGAAAAAAAGCCGGCGAGAATTCCCACCGACTACATCGGCCTCTTTGCTACAGGTGTTACCCCAGCCCCAGACCAGTGTGTCATATCCCGCGCGAGCTACCCTGTCTGGCATCGTCCTGGCAGTTCAAATCTGTCACACATACACACACAGCTAGGCTAGAAGAGGTATTTTGCCTACTACGGCACTCGAAATCTCGTCACCCTGCAAAGCGTGACGAGCGACTTTTGGGGGTCTCTTGAGAGTAGCCCCAGTTGACAACCAGGTATGTAGTGTATACAATGAATACCCAGCAACTATCCCAGCACGGGCGGCCCCTCCCCTCTCCACAGCCCACATTTTGCACAGGTAAAAAAGAAAGAAGAAGAAAAAAGAGGCACAGACACAAGGGAATACACATGCTTTGGACTTATGGTAGGCTACCTATACCTGGTGACCATCCATATCCACCAAGCTTCCTTGACCCTGGAGAACGATAGAGGGAGAGTGTGAGAGTAAAAGTGAGAAAGAGAAAGAAGCGCATACACAATATTCATACCACATCTACCCTGTCCATCCCAACCTACACCTACCCTGCCTGCATAGGTACATACTACTGCTGGCTGGTAGCTGCAAGTCTATAGCATAATTCTCTGTGTCTGTTTTTTTTTTTTTTTTTGGGCCATTCCCCTCTCACACACACACTCTCTCTCTCTCTCGCGCCGCTTCTTGCTTTCTTTTCTAAGCTCGCTCACTCCCGACATGCCACCCTCCCCCTCCCCTGTCCCTCTATTATTTTTTTTTTTTTTTTCGCCTACCAGGCTACTCCCCTCCCCTCGTCTTTCCCACCCGGCGGCTCTGTCTTACCCGATTAGGCCGAACCTGGTGTGGCACCTGCACCTCAAACCGTGTGCCGCCCTCTGCTTGAACCTAAGCCTGCCTGTGTCTGTGCCTGTGCTGTATTGGCATTGTGCCAGTCAAGACCCCCCAGTCCACTCACAAACGTCCCTGTCCCTCTCTTACTCTCACCTGCACCTTGCACACCCGCTGCGGCCTCTTCTTGGGAACATGGCATTATTTAACTGATTCGGTCCCCCAGCCCATCTACCGCCGCCTCTCCTATCTCCCCCCTCTCAGCCTACATCCAACATCAATCATCATCAGCCTCGTTGAGCTGCTCACGCTGCCCTCAACCACATTCGCTTTTTCCTAGCCCTCCACCTTTAGGAAGTCCTCGTTGACTCCTGTCATTCGCTTTCGCGCTTTTGTTTTTTTTCCAAACCTTCTGCCACTCTCAACCATCCTCCTCCTCAAGAAAAGCCATCCTCTTCTCATCGTTTCCCACCGGATACAAGAGAGAAAGAAAAAGAAACGGAACCAAGACCCTCCAACAACTAACCGCAGACCTTCTCTGCCGCATCACCCGAAGCAACACCATCAACCCTGGTCAACTTCAGCCTCAATATTCGGAATACACCAGTTAGACCGATCGCTTCCACGGCTAACAACCAGCAAATGCTTCACAACTAAAACCTCGGTCTTTCGGATCAATCACACTCGCTTTAACAGGAAAACAAAAAGAGGATTTTTAGAGACAGGAAATTGGGGAAATCGCACAACAAGTCGCCCACCTACGATCGCTACTAGTATCAAGGAACTGGAACACACCGAATCAAGCTGCTCTGTGAGGAAATCAGAAGGAAATCTTCCAAACGGCCAGAAAGAGAAAGGAACCCGCCAAGATTCGGTTATCAAGCATTACAGCATCCTTTGCAAACTTCCGACCTCGCCTCACCAAGCATCTGACCATTCCTGCCAGTTGCTTACACATCCGGCATCATACTTGGGGACTTGTTTCTCAACTAAACCCGGTATAAATCAGTCTTGGGCAGCCTAGCTCCCCGGCGACTTCATTTCATTCGCTTCTACGCGGTCAAGGCCGTGTATCTTCATGTTGGTTGCCTCCCTCAACTGCTATAAACCATTTAACCCTGACGGACCATTTTTAGTTCTTTCGTTTAGAAAAAGTCGCTCACAATGGCCGGTCCCGGTGGTGGTCCTCCTCGCCGCAGTCACACCAAGTCCCGCAAGGGCTGTGATACTTGCAAGCGTCGCCACATCAGATGTGACGAGAATTTTCCCCAGTGGTATGTCTTGGCTGGCTCAGTCGTACATGAACTACCTACTCACTCATATCAACAGCCGCAACTGCACCAAGCACAAGATTCGCTGCCCCTACAACGACATGCCCGTTCCTGAGGACAGGTCGACAACCCCCGACAAGCCCGATCTCATGTGGACCCCCGAGATCGAGGCGGCAATCGAGCAGTGGCAACGTACTGGCCTCTTCCCCTTTCCCAATCTCGGCATCTATCCCACGCCGAATCCCCAGTACCTCTCGGTCGAGGATCTCAGGTTGATCTACCACGTAGCTTCAATCTGCGACGAGTTGGCCGCCTTTGACGCCAATGGCTTCACCCTCTGGACTCGCCAGATCCCAACGTGAGTACGCAAGTAACCTGATTCTGGCCCGCGCTAACCTTGTAAAAATAGCATCATCAAGATCGGAGCAACCAACAATTATGTCATGCACGCCCTCCTGGCCTTCTCTGCCATGCACATTGCCTTCCTCACCGACTGCCCCCTGGTCGGCAACATGGCATACGAGCACCGCGGCGTCGCCCTCAAGGGCCTGCAGGAGGCTATCGGAACCTTCAGCCGCGACACGTCGGATGCCGTCTTGGCTGCCTCGCTGGTTCTGTCATGGCAAGCGACGGATTGGTAGGTGATGTCTGCAACCACCCGCTCAGGGAGGTTTGTCACTAACGCTCTTCTTCCAGGCGAAGCTGGACCCAGCTCATGCAAGGAACCTCATCGGTAAGTCAGCTGCTACATGACATGGTGCGAAGCTTAAGCAAACATTCTAACCCTCCATCTAGGTTATCGAGGCCATGGACCCCTGGAAGCACGAGTCCCAATTTGGCGACTTCATCGCAGAGAGCTGCACCTTCCCCACGGCACCCGCTTCCCCTAGCCCGGATCACAAGCCGAGCCAGCCGCGCAAGGAGGACATCGACGCCTTCACCAAGACACTGCAGCAACTGCAAAAGGTTGAGGCCCACCTCAAGCACAACAAAGAGGACACCAAGTCGATCCAGCAGTTGATCAGTTTCCTCAAGGGTGCTCGCAAGGTCAATACGGGGCTTTCCGTCTCCCAACAATTCGAGCGGCTGCGTCCCCTGCGTACTTGGCTTTTCTGGCTGCCTGTCATGTATCTCAAGCAGACGGGCGGGTCTCCCAGCGCCCTCGTCATCATCGCTCACTACTACACCGTAGCTCTGGTGACGGAGCGTCTGTTCCCCGACATTGGTGCCGCCTACTTTGGTAGTTTGTCTATTGGCCCTGTTGAGGAGATAGCCCGCCGTCTGCTGTCCATCAACATCTCTGGCAGCCTCGATGGCGACCTGCAGACCCCGCTCACGCTCATGGAGTACCCCATTGACACGGTTAACGAGTTTCGTCACCGTATGGGTTGGACGCAGCCTGCGCGGACACCCTCGTTCCCGCAGTTCAACCCTCCCAACTTCTACATGAGCGAGCCCGTGCCGTTGCCGCCTGTTAGCGACTCGTACCTGCCATATGGGCAAAACCCGGCTTTCAGCTACAGCACCGAGTCACTTCAGATGCTCAACGCAGAATCGGCGCCGCCCAACAACTTGTCGCCACTTGTGCTATCCTCGCCCTACGTCAACTCGCAGTACCTAAACATTCCGAGCCCCAATTACGGTGGCTATAGCCCAGCATCCTCAACCTTTGAGGGTTCCGTCGTATATAGCGATACTGAGGATTATGGCTCGTACGAAAACTACGACATCAGCGGAATGCCCGCGGTCCATAACAACCTAGGCGTCGGGTTCGTCTCTCCCATCCAGTCCGTGTGGATCTAAAAAGGCACTGCCCTCTCTCCATGGCACCCTCGATAACCACAACGGCTCAACAATATGTCGCATGAATGAACTCCGGATTGACCGCCGCTCAGGATGCCAACCACACCGACATACCCGCCGCCCGAGGACCAGCACCAGCACCAGCACCTCCTGGCAGCTTCGTCTTTGCACGCCGTGCCCCCGTCCCCATTCCTCAACCCTGAGCAGTTCGGCATGCTTCCGCTCCCCGAGTCTCCCGTGGCTCCCAGTCTGCCTCTATCACGACACCGGCACACACCGTCGTCCTCCGTCACCGAGTCACCGCGGTCCGTGAGCGCGCCGTTTCCTCCTCGCAATCAATGGGTGCCGTCGACGACGACTGTCCACTTCAAGACCGAGAAGGGCAAGGGGCGAGAGCCCTAGCTCCGTCCCCTGCCTGCCATTTCGACTTTATTCCATCTTTTTTTCTAGTTTTTTTTCGACACTATCGCTTGGGACCCCTGATTTTGAAACATTCCCTTTTAATACTTGCTTCTGCATCGACACAGACGCCAATGTACACCACGCTCCTTTAAAGACAGACACCGGCCGATACGAAGTCCCGAGCGAGCCTCGACTCCGTATGCCACGAGATTCCAACTATATACGATACACCACCGCACTAATCTACGACATACATTCCTTCCCGATTCTCGAAGATACCCCCTACACACATCACAAAATTTAGACGTTCCTTACCACCGGCACCGGATGATACCCACTGCATCACACTCCTTATTATGACGTTACGATCCACCAAAAAGCATTCGGGTTATAGAAATGGGAAGGGAAGAGAAAGACATACACTCCTTATGGATTACATTGGCCACAATCCAAACTGCATAGCGACTGTTTCAGTGTTCGACGCAAAAGACACAAACCACCTCGGCGTTTTATGGGAACCAAACAAAGGGACCAGTGGTCACCTATCACAATAGCATTGGGCGGCGTTATTGAAATGATTTTTTGTTTAAGTAAATTTTTGTTGTATGAGGCAGGCTTGCCTCGCAGGATCGTTTCGCGTTGAAAGTGTTTGGCTTTAATGATTTGGAAGCGGAGGATCAACTATGTGGATGAGCAGGATTGTAATGAGTACGTAGCCGCGCCCTGCAAAGGGCAAGTGTGGATGGAAAATAACACCAAGTTGACGAGTTCGCAATACTTGCTTCTTCTTCCTTCTTCTTAGTGACTTGTTCGTGAAAGATAATTAGCATGTCGAGCCTCCGTTGCTTTTTCTCCTTCTCCCTTTTTCGTTCGCTTCATTTTGACTCTTCCTCGTCTTATACACAACAGTCTACGATATCATACCCCAGACGAGATCTCGGCCACCAAGTCATCATTTCTTTTTTTTGTTCTCTTTTTTCCACCGTGGTATCACCTACGCCAAGCTAATGCCAAGTCTGGATTACCACGTTGAGAGAGGACATATGCCAGCCACCCCCCCCCCCCCCCAAAAAAAAAAGGGTGTGTTAACACTCGACTGGACCCCTTTTTTTTTTACTTGCTTTTGCCAGACGTGTTGGGGGTGAGATGTAGGTGGGTGTGTTTTGTTTTTGCTTTTTTTCCTTTTTTGTCTTTGATCATGGCCGATCCAGCCGGAGAAACCTGCTTACTTGGCCCGTCGGGTTGAGTCTGAATCTTTGTCGATGTATATGTTGATACATGTACACATATATATATATGTGTGTGCGTAAGTGTATGTATGTATGTGTGTCTGTATCTTCTTCATTGTCTACGCCATCACATCAACGACGGATAGATTCATCGTGCAGCCTAACTCCATTCATTCCAGCCCCGTGGGGCGGCGTACCCTATGCTAAGCTATCTACCCTATCTACCTATCTACGACAAAGTCCAGTTTGCATCATGGCGCCCTGCCGGCAGTGTGTGCGTGTGTTCACAGTCATCATTTTTTCCCCCCGCTGCATTCAACTCCTGGTGAGCGTCTCAAACTTGCTGCTAATTCCTCCTGAGATAAACCCAAGCCCCATAGGCCGCTCGGCTTCGCTAACTCCCGTCAACCCCCCCACGCATGATGCTGGCTTCGCCGGGAATGCTTCGAAAATAAAAGATAAAAAATAAGAAAAGAAGAGGCGTCCTTTCATCCCGTCCTCCAATCACTTCAAAAAGTAAAAGCCAGACTCAGCATGATTCACGTCGACAACTCCATCAGATTCTTTCTTTCGTTGTGCTGTGTTCTTGCTGCCCAATTACAAGCCGATTTTTTGCTCCCTTGATATGTTCAACCTCACTCAAAACGCGTCATCGTTACTCGTTCGTAAAAAAGACGCCCATATGGTATTTTCCTCCCCAAGTGATATCATGAAAGCTCGCTCATAAAGGGCCCCCTTCTGGTTCTCGTTTCTTAGATGTTCCGTCATGTGGAGTAGTATTGACGCAGCGCCTGCTGGTCCTGAGGTTGCATCTGGTTCACAAAGTCGTTGAACTGGGGAATCAGTTGCCGGTAAATGTTGATGGCCTGTTTCATGTTAGCTTCTGGCGGTATAACGATAGGTACGGGATAGCACCAACCTTCTGGAAATGCTCATGCAGCTCGTTCTTGATCGGGTTCTTCAGATTGATGTCCTTGTACCGCGCAATGGCGACAAAGAACTGGGGCAGGGCCTTTTCCATGGCCTGCGGGTTCTGGCCGACGACCATGGTGAAGCCCTTGAATGCCGTGGCCTTCTCCTCGAGGAACTCGACGTGCTCCATGGCGGAGAGGAAGTCCTCGGCAAACGTCGGCAACAATGGGCCCATGATTTCGTAGTTGTGGAGACCGAGTCTGCCGAGAGCAATGGCCGCATTTTCCACAACCGCCGCCTGGACGCCAGGGTTGGAAATGATTTCTACAAAACGCTGCAGAAGCTCGGGCACGAACGGAGAGATGGCCTTGCTGTTGGTCATGACAATCTCGCCAGCGGACCAGCAGGCATTGTTAACTACGCTGAAGCCGCTGTCAATCTCCTCGTCGAGGATGTTGTCAAGATCCAGCTGCTTCAACAGGATGGGGAATATTGAGGCAAGGTGCTTCTCAAGCTGGGGGAAGACGTATCTCGCACAGTCACCCAGAAGAGCGTACGCTGATTGCCGGACATCATCTTGGGGGTCTTCCAGGCAGAAGCTGAGGAGCTCAAAAAATGATCCCTCAGAGCCACGCACCAGCTCCTGCTTCTTCTGCTCATCAAGAGACTGAATGATGGCGCTCAGGAGGTCCAGACTCGTGACAAGGAAATCCTTGTCGGGAGAGTCGAGAGAGGGGTTGTTAGTGGCCTGCAAGCTCTGCTCGAGGTTGACGTGGATAATGTTAACGCATCTCGTAAAGATGGGCTGCGCGTACGGTGTAAAGGCAGACCCCAGCGCCATGGCGACGTACGAAAGACACTCCAGCAGAGGAAAGAGCTCGCGTGAATCGTCGCTGACTTTTTGGTAACGGTCAATAAGGGCTGGCATCAGCAGGTTCATCGCATCGGGCTGGGCAATCACGGGGCCGATGTTTTCCGCCAGAGTCTGCACGCAGTCGTACAAAATGTACATGTTTCTGTCCTTGTATCGTGCGAAACATTGAACAAACTGCTGCAGAATAGGAATGCAGTACGGCTCGAGGACCTTGCCGGACTTCTCTTCAAGGTTGGCAAATGCAGAGGCCGCAGCTTCCTGAACCTTCTTGTTCTTGTCGAGCATCTTGCGCAAGATGCCGTCCATGAGGGGTTCAAAGTATGTGGCCTTCTGACTGGGGTCCTGGAGGTTGGCGGCCCACTGCGAATAACGGCCGAGCGTCCAGCAGGTGATTTGCCTGACAATAGGCTCATTGTCCTCGAGGAGGGAAAGGAGGTAGGGGACAAGCTCCGGAAGGTGAGGGGTAACGGCATTGATAGTACCCTCAGCGACGGCACCGAGTGCAAGCACGGCAGCTTCCCTGTATTGCCACTCCTCGTGCTTGAGGTTGCTTGTGAGGTAGGGCAGAATGGCAGTGAAGACAGGGTCAGAAAAGTCCCGCGCAAAGACGTCGAGAGCGGCGGCAGAGCACTTCCTCATAGTCCATCGCTCGTCGGGGTTCTCATCGCCATCATCAAGCTCGTCGACCTCGCCCTCCTCCAGGTCGTCGTCCATACTCGAGAGCTTCTCATAGGCGTTGCCGTTCTGGGCATGGTCTGCAGAAGACTCGCCTCCGTTGACGGCTCGAGACGCCGACTTCTTGGCGAACGTGGGCTTGATGTCCTGCTCGCGGTCCTCTTCATCCTCATCATCGGAAGCACCACCGAGAAGGGCAATATCCTCGCCGCTGTACACCATGCATTCTAACAGAACAGGGATAATCTTGTCGAGGTAGGGAGTCAGGGCGCGCCAGAGATCGTCGTGCTCGCCCACGGCCAGCCAAAACTCGGCAGCCTCGCAGGCCAGGTCCTCGTCGTCGCTCTTTTGCTGGGTGATAATATAGTCGACCAGGCCGGCGATGTGCGGCTGCAGCTTGTCCGGGCGGGTCTCGACAAGCTGGACAAAGGCGTGACAGACCTGGCGGCGCACGTCGGGGTTTTGGTCGCCAGCCAGTATGAAGAGGTGAGACAGTAGGTTGTCAATGTTGTTGAGCATGGCCTGGGACTTTCGTGGGGTGAAAACATTGATGGCCGTCAGAGCATGGGCGCGGACCTTGGGCAGCTCGCTCTTGGTGGCCTCGATAAATTTGGGAAGCAGGAAGTTGAGGGGTCGCTGGCCGTTATGCTCACGCTCGAGTACCTTGACGTTGTCCTCGCAGATTTTGGCCATGGCAGACATGGCACCCTCCTGAGCCTCGTTGGAAACCTGACCGTTCTCGTTGGAGATGAGGCTGAGGAGCTGGGGGAGCAACTCGGGCCAGCTCAAGAGCCCGCCCCTCCTGATGATCTCGGTCGCAATATTACCGGCAAAGTTGCGAATCTGCGAGTTCTTATCCTGAATACCCATAGGGACAGCCATCTTGATGAGGGCCAGGCTGCTCTCGGGGATCTGCTTGTAATCGGTGCGCACATTGTTCTTGAGCATGATGGCGGCGGCGGACCGTACGAGGTGATAGTCTTGGGCGGAGCATTGTATGCCAGCGGGGGGTTCGGGGCTGGAAAAGAGATAGGCGAGATAGTTGTTGATGTCGGGAGACGCCTTTGCTTGGGTGAGCATCTGGGCATCTCTTGTTAGCTGGTTCCTGGGAGACAGAGTAATTGGACGCTCACCAAATCTGCCTGCTTCTGCGCATTCTTGTCGAAGCCGCTCAGCGAGTCTTTGAGGCAAGCGGCCAGCTGGCTCAAGGACTCTGGGGCCGGCTGCCAGGCCATGACTGGCGCCGATCGGGGATGGGAAAAGTCAAAGGTCTTGGTAAAGGAAACGCAATCGGAGGAAGATCCGGCGATGCGATGGTGCGGTGTCGGGAGTTGTGAAAGAGCACGGCAGAATCGCAGAGAGGGGCAGTCGTTGAAGTTGCTCGCCAAAGACACAGACACAGCACGGCGGCACACACTGAGCGAGGGCAGTGGGCGTTGACATTGGCAACAGGCTGGCGAATGGTGGGGTCACCCTGTCAGCTTTTTTTTCGCGATAACTATGGTGCGGCGGAGTAGCGGGTAAGGAAAGGCCCTGTAGGGTGGGCAGTAGTTACTGCAGCGGGCTGCAGTGGTAGGCAGTGCCATTGGGCGAGTTCGTGGTCGAAAGGTACAGACAGGCCAGTGTTGCAGCACTAGTGACCCGCTGTACTTAGTGATCTGATCTGTGTGGGAGAGTAGTACTGGTGTACCTCGTTGAGGACATGTCCTCAAGGTACCTCGCCTCACGATTTTCAAGCATGTCTACCTCTTGCCTCTTCGTCTATTTCTATGTCTTTGTCTCTATTTTTTTTTTTTTTACCACTCCACGTCTGTTCTCAACCACCCCCAAATGACGGTGCAGGTCTGTGGAAACAAAATGCTAATATTAGCCGTGCCTTTTTTTTTTGCTTCCCCTATTCTTCCGCCTTCATATTTCGTCTGCATTTTCCCAGGAGGGTCTCTATGATATCCATGTTGTGTGGTAGACAAAGTCTGTAATGTGGTTGTGCTGTGTGTTAGTGTATGGCAAATTGTGACCTTGCCTCCCCCCGCCCTAATCAAAAAGATTTGCCCGTAGTCTCTTTCTTGTCTCGTCTCTCGTGTATAAATTCGGCGTTGAAGTGCTCAGGGTGCAGGTGGGATGGATGTAGTGGGTGCCCAGCTGGGGTTGGGGTTTTAGGCCGGGGTCTATGAGGAATGAAGGAGCAAAAAACAGAAGCGGGAGAAGGAGCAGCCCGGTGAGATTTGCACAAGCCGCGAAGGGGCAAACCTGACAAGCTCGGAAAGGGGCATTGGAGGGGGGGAGGCACCTGCTCGCACAAATGTGTGGACGAAGTTTTGCAGGTGCTTCCAAGTCCCACACTTCCCACTCATCCTTCGTCTTTCTCCTAGTCCCCGTGCCTCTTCTTTCCCGCAGTGTGTGTCAGTCCGCCAGTCCGCTAGTCCTTCCACTTTTGCTAGCGCTGCAGCACTGCACAAACTCTGCCCACCATCATAAACTTGAGTCTGCCTACCTGGCAGCACCTGCCCCAAGCTCATCGTCCTGAAGACATGGTCCGTGCCTTTCCTGTTACCCCTCGCTCTGCTTCGTTCTTCGCCAGCACCAGCTCAGTTGACCAGGGCAGGTTGGTAGTGGTGGGGCTGTCGTATCGATAAAGGCAGAAAGGCATGCTGACCCCTCCAGGGTTCACTTCTATCTCAGACAAGGTGGGACCCGCTTGCTCTTGCCAAATCGCAGGTTAGAATCCGGCAGAAGGTTTCCAGATTCCCCTTCCCGAATCCTAACTAATCGTCGCTCCATTATGTATCTACCTTTGGTACCAAGTATGGTCGGAACAGAGCAGTGATCAGAATCTCGACATTGAACCAAAATGCAAAAGAACTATTCAAAATGTAAGATAAGAAAGAAGAAAGAAAAAAGCGCCAGCCCATCTCCCCTACTAAGTTTCAACTCTCGCTGTACCTATCGCCATTGCCAAAATGCTGTGGAACTCAACCAGGGTGCACGTAAGTAACAGCAAAGCTACACCTACCCACAGCGACAAGGATCGCCATCAGAGTGTTGTCAACATGTCTCTTTCCGTCTTCATCATTAGATTATAAACCACCCCAGGAGTTTTTTTGAGTGCAAAACTTCAAGGGGCGGGGATCAAACCAACGGGTTCCATTGACGTGACGCTGCTAGGGGCTCGTCCCCCTTCGTCAATCGGCACATTTGCCGGGGGGATGATTCTGGATCCAAGAAGAGAGTAAATGGGCAAGATTCATACTTTCACATTTCCCCGAGTCATCACAAGGTCTTCGGCGCCGACCGCAAGAGGAGTGCGGCGGCTGTGTCAAAAAGTTCCTAGGTTTTAAGGTATTACGTGCAGATCCTGTGACTAGTCAGAGCGGGTTTTCCGCAAACATGAGCCGAACCTATGCCACGAAACAGGACCAAGTACGGCCATGTGGCCATATCTAACAACGGATGACCGCGCAGTTGCTTGATCTGGTCTTCTCTTGGGTTCACTTACATTCACTGGCAAACACTTTCCAGAAGTCGTCATAATGTGAGCACGAGACGTAGTGCCATCAGAAACGAGACAGGACAAGAGACAAACCGTCAGTCCCAATTCGACAGAGCGCTTGCGATTAAGCTCGTACTAGTAAACCATCAAACACTGTAACACCTGTCATGTCTTGCCCGCATTCGTATCCAGGATTTTGATGGCGTTCCAGCAATTAGATTAGTCGGTTGCCCAGTTGACAGCCGCCTAGCTCCCGTTCGCCTCGTACATGCATACAATATACTTGATGCCATGCATATAATACCACATATCGCACCTGACGAACAGCACAAAGCCACATGTCTTGCCTGTCCTATCATCAATCCACCAGACAACCTCATCAGGGCCAGAACACCACATGCCGTCCCCTAGTCCCTGTGAGACCATCACCAGCCGCTTTGGGGAGGTGCCAGCAACGGCTCTTCTACTTTAGGGTTGCCTTCTCGAAGGTAATGGCAGACGGTGATCTGCATCGAAGGCCCGAAGGCCCAAATGCTATGTGAAGAAAGGGTGGCATTTGCCCTGAACCCTCCTTCCCCCACGGTATACGTACCCGGCCAAGGCTCACTCATCAGACCCCGTTGACCGCGGGCTGAGCGCCCTTGAGCCTCGCCATGACGACTTCCACGACTGCACGGAACGCCTCCATCTCCTCCTCGACCGAAAGGGCCATGGCCGTGCCTCCAAGGTTCATTGAGCAGCCGACATAGACTGGCATGTCGGCCCGCTTTGCTAGTAGTTTGGCCATCCGCGTGGTGAACTCGAGCGTTGACTCCACCGAGTAGATGGCTGTTGAAAGCGGTTGGGCGGGCTCAAGCCTCTAGTGATTATTAGCAATTTCTCGAATAGGTCCTTTGTGAGAAAGCAAACGTACGTTAGGCAAGGCATAGACGAAAGAACCTAGTGCCGCCGTTGATGAAGGTTCGTCTTGCGTTGTTGAGGTGAGGAACAGGGTAACGGTTTTGGCCTTGATGTTGAGATGGATGTGGATGCGGGTGTCCAGAGAGTGAGGAAGGGGAATAGAAAGCTGACTGATGCTGCTAGATGCCATTTTTTATTTCTTCTCTTTTTTTTTCTCCCTTTCGATCTCGGACGAGTTAGGTTTGCAGTCGTATGCAGAGGGATCAAGTGAGGTCAGTAATGTAAACGCATGGGTGAATGTGACTGGACAGAGCCGTGTCCAGCTTGCGTTTTGCACTGTCTTTAAACTGTTTACCGTCATAGCCAAAGCAAAAGACATATCAAGGAGTATTCAGTCTATCAGGGTTCGAAATAAGTAGTCAATCTTTCTTCTGATCGTTTAATAAGATCCAAATCCAAATATGGTGTCATATGTATACCCATGATTGATCTGTTTGGGGTGGCTATGGACGGTCGAAATATTCCTAGAAACATGTGTGTCATTATAAACAGACTATATAAGTTTTACGATTGTCAATTGTTAGCACATACGACCATACCCACTGGAAAACTCGGGATCCCGTCCGCTCTCCCATAGATAAGACAGTGAGGGCCGGATTAGTAGTTGGGTCGGTGACGACCAGCGAATACCTGGTGTTGTATGTTTTTTTTTTTAAAAAAAAACTCTTATCGTAACCTTTTGTTCTAGTATAATTTCTTTTTCATGTGGTGTATGCCTTTTTCTTCCGGCCCTTTTTGATGTTAAACCTTCACTATGATGTCTCCATATACGATTCCTTCTAGGCTTTGTAAATATACAATACTATACATCTGTCATATACCATTCTGCAGTAGCCAAGGGCCACCGACCGTTGTGGACCGGGTAGCTGCCTTGCTGTGCAGACTTGCCTGCTCCTTCACTTTAGGAGATATTCACTGTGACTTTAACACCTCCTCTTCGATATGAATTTGAGACTCCGTCTCGGACTTTGACTCTGGCTGCTCAACCTCATCTGCCATCGCACTAGGAGCAGAGACTGCGCGAGGCATTTTGCTGAAGACGGCCAGGAAGCCACCTCCAACAACCAACGTGCCGACCTTGGGCCGACATACAACGCCTTTCTCCCCAGAGTTTGTCGCCTTGCGGATATCAACCACTTTGACATCCCAATGTCGCCCACCAAGGCCGTCGCGGAACCCAACGTCGCCGTTAGACGTCGATGTTTGCAGTTCTACGACCCGATCCAGTGCGAGAGGCTGGTTAGTCTCCTTAACCCAAACCACGAAGTCGAGAATCTGCGTGATTGAGGGGTAGAAAACGACCATTTTGCCCCCAAGCTGCAGAGCCTGGACAGCGGTATCGGCATGATCCTGCGATGCAGGCAGATCCAGAATCACGTGTGAGAGGAAGGGTTCGCCTCCATTTTGCGCAAGGCGGGAAGAGAGATATGACCGGATGGTGCTGACGTGAAAGTCGACGTCCAGAAGATACTGGGCACGACGGAAGTGGCGCACGAGGCCGTGGGCCACGCGGCTTGAAGTCGGGTTGACGTCAAGCGTATGGAGAATCGCACGACGGCTGGACATGTGCTTCTCGTGCAGCGACGCCAGTTCTGGCTCCGACAACTCGAGCGCATGCGGTCCGTGTGCGTAATCGAGCGCATCGTCTTCCGTCACTACCTTCCGTGGGAGAGTATATTTCTCGTACTGCGCCGTGCACAGGGCTTCACGGAGTTGTGGCGGCACGGGAGGGTTCGCGCCGTGGATTGCCCTCGCGAGGTGAAGCGTCAACGCGCCCATTCCCGTGCCGGCCTCGAAAATCTCGACCGGCGGACCAGCATCGAAGTCGGGATCCTCGCCAGGGCTGGGGAGGTTGATGTCGAGAAACGAAACGATCAAGTTGGCGTCCTGGGGATAGATCTACCCTGCATCCTTCAGTCTCTTGTCTTGTATCAACGCGTTGGTTCCCTCATACCGGCGTTGCTACTCGAGGCGAGTTTGCGACGTATTGCGCCAGCGAAACCTCCTGCAGCCGCACATTACGACCGCCATTGTCCGTGATCGAATCAGAGAAAGTTTTGCCTATAATGTCGGACCCATTGACTTTTGCGCCGTAGTTAAGCTTGATCGGTGTGTCTTTTCGCAGCGGGGGCGAGAGGTGGAACTTGGCTTCCCTTGGACCTCGTTGGCGTAGTAGAATCACATCATGTTCTGGGCAGAGTTAGCTAGTTTTGATGTTTAGTCGCTTGGGACGAACCTCTGATGACCCGGCTGGAGCTACTAAACCGGCAGAGCGGTCGCCTGACATGTCTCGAAAGACCCAATGGCCCAAGTCTAGGTGGCATAGTGGAATTGTCCTCTGGGTTTCTTTCGTTTTCAAGAAGGACATGCAGGATTGTCACAGTCGGCTCTAAGCGGACATGTTCTTTGTAGAACGATAACACTGATAGACGCATTATCTATCGTGATAAGCGAGAATATCACATCACCCGAAATGCTCGCTCCGAATCAATCGCACAACCTGTCCAATATAGATTTCAAGTCCTGATAGATCCTATTTTCTCTTATCAGTTTACTTTACTTATTCGGTCTGACTATCCAGACTGCAACCTCTGTGGCCCCCTTCCTGTGGGTTCAGCCTCCGGAGCCAGCTCTGTCCAACGTAGTCTCTATTATCTTCACTAGAAAACGCTATTCAGAGAGCCCCCAAGGACCCGCTGGTTCGTATCAGTCGACTGTTGAAAACATTCTATGCTTTTCCATTATTTCTCTACTAATCAGGCCAGCTTGGGCGTCATAAATGCCACGCCCTCCTGCCCCCTGCTTTGTTAGCTGCATGGAACCTGTACAATAAGATTTGGTATGTCTGCTTTGGGCAATTCTAGCTAGGTTGTAAGTCGGAGTGGTTTGAATATTGGTTGCGTTAGATGGGGCGCTCCAGTTTCTCTGTTCGCTGTGACTGCAGAAGAATAGGTAAGGATATCATGATGTGAACCGCTGTGTCCGTCGTCAGTCAAAATATAGCATGGATTCTGCGACTTTTATCGTCTTCATCTACCATCATCTGCTATGTTCACCATCGTTGAGCAATTTCTTTCTTATTTATGATGGTTAGCTCGGTCTCACTGGACGGGCTAGGCAGGTTTGTCAGGACTGGAGCAGGCCTGACCACAAATGATGGTAGCTCCAACAACGCCAAACTTGACAGTGGCTGATAATCTCACTGAGAAAGGCGGCGCGGCACAATTTCCAACACCCTTTGGAACCACGTTAAACGTAGTCAAACGTCTAGAAAAAGAAGAAGAAAGAAAACTATCTCGACCCGTTCACATCACCAAGCGAAATGTCCACAGCATCGCACCCGTCACCGTCGATTCTTAAGTGTGACCACGACATCAAACTCGTGGTAGCCGCCACCGAGACCAGAAAATGAGTTGAAATGATTATCTCCTACAACGAGAACCAAAAAGATAATTCGCAAGCGAACCCTCAAACGAGCCGAGGAAATTCAACTCCTCTACCGCCATGCCAATCTCGATTTCCATGCGGCAAGCTACCACTATCATCCCGTCATCAATTCCATACTATACAGCCGCCAGTTAATCCAGAAAAATATCAGGGTGAACCAATCCTATCTTAACGTCACAAAGAAATGAAAGACCACGACGAGAGATGGCTTCACTCGATATGCACCATACTCTTCGACCAAGCCAACGCAGTCCGAGAGCGGAACCTAAGATCTCGCAACACAGAGCTGGAACAGCTACCTTCCGTAACTCGCAAACCGGGAGTATTCGTAGTAGATGTCCCCCCGACACGGTCACTCTTTTTGCTCTCACGGACTGGGTCGATACCGACCGGATTCTACATCAGGAAAACCGAAAGGGGAGGTACTGGATCAGCCAGCCCATCTGTGAGCGTCTTCGCACATCCTCTACCGACAGGTCAAAAGCAGCCACCACCCACCCCCCCCCCTTTCAATGACCGAATTTGCCAAAAATACAGCCATTTCATGTGGAGACGTTGACTGGAAAGAAAGCGAGATGCATGATCAAGCTATACGCCGCCCAGCAACGTGGAGATCTCGTGTGGATGAACCTCGTGGCGAGAACGTCAACCTATAACGGAACGGAATGGTGAGCATGCCACCGCCAAAGCCTACTGCAGAAACCCCGACCTTTGGGCCGGGAACGGCTTGGAGGTGTTGTTGTCGAGGCTACCCCCCCCCCCCTGTGCTGCAGCAGTTATGAACAGACAGCTAGAAAGGTTGTTGTAGCCTTTCCAAAAGGAAGCAAGGTTCAAAGCAACCGCAGTGATGAAATGCTTAATCCGGAAGCTCCCCTCGCTTCCTTTCGGTATGATCTCGACGGGCCTAAGTGGGTTGGAAGTGGGCTGTAAAAATGGAGGGTGTAAACCATCGTTTATATGTTAACTTGAGAGGTTTGTTTTAGTGGAGGTTAGAGAGATACTCTTGCAACCGAGATATAATCACTAGGCAGAACAGACTGTTTCCATAGCACGAGCTTCACCAGTAAGAACAAAACATTGCCGAGAAAGATATCGATCATTTCGCTACCAAAGATTGGGGGGGTATCTCATGCCATGCAAAACGCTAAAGGACAGTCCAGACATCCAACGCATTTTCATCATCGTGTCGTGTTCTCATTTTCCGACCCATCACGGCCCCTTAAGCCACCGCGCTTTCGTTCGTTTGTCTTCATGACAATAAACGTCCCAAAACCAAGCTGGCCCCTCACAGGGCAGTGAGAAACAGCGAAGAAAAAGAAGAAGCGCAATGGCCCAGCCATCACATTAGATTCCGACCAATATTCCAGCCCAAATACGTCCGGCAAAGTCCAGTCCAGCTCTGCTTTCCCTTCATTTCCCAAATAAATAGAATCCTATCGCAGATAAGGTAGAAATAAAACATTAAAGGTCGTGTTGCAATTTTGCTTCTGTCGTTCAGAGGATAAAAAGAAAAAAACAAAGAGATGTTCGCCTTGGCACAGCCAGCCGGCAAATACAGGACCATGGGTTTCCGCGACCCAAATACTATGAGCTACAGCTGTTGACAGTAGTTTGTTGTGATATTAGTGAAAAGATATAGTATATTGGGTAGGCGCCCGAGTGCCCAGTTAAGGGGTCGGGCGGGGGCCACACAAACGCCGTCCTGTGTTTACCGGCTGGTTTGCTTGGTGTAGGGGGGTGTATATGATGGTGAGACGGACATTTAACCGTCAGTGGGCTTGCGCCCTCTTGAATCTTTTATGCGGGTTCTTTCCTCTTTGTTCCGAAACCTGATAGTAATGCCGTTTATGGGAAATGAAACCAGGGTGTTTATAGTATACGGGAGGAGGGTTGTATACACAACGTTGAATGGAGGGAAAAAATAAAGAAGCAGGCTCAGATACTCGCGGTACGGGCCCGCTCGGGCACTCTTGCGTAGCAGACCATGAGTTTGAAGCTGGTCCGTAGCTCCTCGCACTCCGCAAGCAGAGCTCGGTCGGCCCAGATGCTCCGGCTAGGGCCATTGCCGGCGGCGCTTTCGTAGCAGCGGCTGTACCACCATCTTCCGACCTTGGCGACCATCTTTGTGATATTCTCGTCTGCAGAGTCGCCGTCTTCATTCATCATCTCTGCCAGGCTGCGGACCTCTTTCGGTTTCCGGCGAGAGACCGGCGGGTTCTTCGAACCGCTCTCGGATCGGGAAACGACGCTCGCAACTGGAACGCCGACACGGCACGTCTTGACATCAGAGAAACCCTTCCTCCCAAGGAGGCGGAGGATGAGGTCCGAGGATGAACCGATGCTAGTCTCCGAGTTCCGCTCGTGAATTCTCTCTTTGAGGCGACGGATGGTGCGGCGGCCTCGATTGCCCATGTTGTTGAGGTCGACATCGAGGATGGAAAGCTCAAGGTACCCGCCTGGTTTCAGGACACGGCGGGCTTCAGAGACAACATTGCGGTAGTGGGCCTCAGGGGCAGCGGCGGGAAAACGGAAGACGACTGTGGTGAAGCTTTCGGGCCCGAAAGGGAACTTGTCCATGTGGGACAGGTACTGGATCTGATGGTGGTTCGGCGGACTCAAAGGGAAGCTTGAGGAATTCTTATGTTCGTCGGGTAGCGGTGCGCGCGGAGAAAGGTTGAAGAATGTGGCGGCAGGGTAGGTCTCTGCGGCGTAGAATGACCAGTCATCGTTACCGAGGCCGTCTACGACGAGAATGGAGTGGCGCTTCAGGGAACCAACAACGGGAACGAGCTGGTCGCGAGCAGGGCTGAAGAGAACGTGGCCGAAGGAAAGCCATTTGCTGACCGTCATCGAACCGACACGGAGGTTAACCTGGGAGAGGGGAGATTCGTCTTCGGATGATTTGCAGCTGCAGTCGGATATCCATGATCTGCGGGATGAGTTACTACTTCTTTGTGATGCAATAGTAGCCTTGCGTGCTAGCTCTGTGCTCTCACGGTCGATTGCACTGGCGGGGACTTCGGCAACAGGGACAAGCGTTACAGAGTTTTCCTCTGGCTTCAGTGCGAAGGCGGCTTTGAGACGCTCCGTCATATCTGCGCTGTAAACGCTCGATGAGGTGCCGCCTGCTTCCTCGGCATTCTTCTCAAGGGCTTTCGAGGGCACAATGGTAGGAGATTCCAGGGGAATGAGAGATCTTTTAGAAAGTCTCCCATCATGACCTTCAAGATGAAATGGAATACCCTTGGAGGATGTAGCTGATGGTGGCACTTCTCCGATGAGATCGTTGTACTCGTCCCAGATCTCATCCTCAACAAGAGGGGCGTCTGGGTCGGGTATAAAGGCCAATGCATCTGCAAGAGTGTACATCCCACCGCTGGAAGATGTACTAGTTGTGCACTCGGAATTTTTCCGAGGGGAGAAGGTCAGGAACTCATGACCGATCTGAATCATCTCAGGCGTCTTGGCTGCCACAAGAGAGGAACGTGGATCCGAATTGGTCTCGCCGCTTGTTGCAGTCGATTCCCCGCGTGATAACTCCGGTGTCGAAAGCTCTGGGGGACTCGGACCCGAGGCGACGAAATCAGGGTTGAAGCTCGCAGCTTGCGGCTGGAGACTCAAGCTGATCCTGTTAAACGGGCGGGAGAAGCTCCTCGACGAAGTATGTTCGGGCCGAGAGTTAACTACCCGCGGTATTCGACCAACTTGCGGCAGGCGGCTTGGACGTGGCTCGGCTGACTTTGCTGCGTTTGACTGTGATGCTTGCGTCTTCATGGACCGAATGGCTGGGATTGAAGTTGTTCTGGCAGAAGCCGAGTTTCTCCTTGCTTGTGACGACTTGGTTGGTTGTGTAAGCCTAGATAGAGACTCTCTTCTTTGGTCTTGGCTTATGGTAGAGGACCGTCTCTCTTTGATAAGCGGAGGCGAGGGAAGATCAAAGACCTCTGCTTCACGCAGTATCTCCTCAACATTTGGTGGCCCCGAGTCTTCCTGTTCGGAGCCATCCATCATCGTGTAAAATGCAGCCGGCTTGTGTTGTACAGGCTTGACGGTAGCAGCAACAGGGACTGCCTCGACATCCTTCTTCTTGTTAGGTTGACTCTGGGATCGGCTAAAGAGATTCCATTTTCTGGGGGAGCGGGCTCGCTTAGTTAGTTTCTTTGAAGACATGGAAGTAGCAGCCGCAATGCGACCGCGGATCACCTCTCTATGCTTCTCGAACTGCGAGTCGTCCGAGAGAATAGTTGTGTCATGACTGTCAATTGAGGATGCCGTAACACCGCTTGTGTTGATCGGATCAGGTAACTTTAGAGGGCTCTGATCAGGGGATGTTCGTAGCCGCTGGACAGACCTGCGAAAGGCTAAGGTGGACTTCATCGTAACAGCCTCGGAGTCGCTGCTGTCGGAAGGCCGGCGATGACTAAGAGAAGGGTGAGGGCCCCGAGGGATAGCCGACGGAGCCAGTCCAAATCTGCCAACACTGGAAGTCGTTGAAGCCTCCGAGGTGTAACCCAGGCTCTGATTGCTTTCTGATCTAGGCAGGTCAACGCTGTTGTTTCGGTTCTCGATGACCCCGCCGCCGGATATGATGACTGGGTTCATTCGCTCTAAAAGGAACGTGTCAATCGGCTGATTGCCACCTAAACTGTCTTGTGAAGAGCCAGGTCCTAGGCTCGTACGGGCCAAATTGGTTGTCGAGCTGCCGCTGCGCCTCCTAATTGCTCCAAGACGTCCATAGCCTTCGTGCCCGGTGCCAGCGGCCGGGCCTTTGCGAGTTGACTTTTCCTTCTTGTCTGCCTGAGGAACTTCAGGAGCAGTCTTGGAACGACGACCAAAGAAAGGAAAGCGGCTAAACGTAGATGTGTTGGGGCTTGGAGTCCGAGCCGGACGGCCTTCATTCTTCTTCTTGGTGTCCGAAGTAGCAGGCCGAGGCGCAGTGATACCTTCTCTCCCCACAGGCAAACGTGATTGTTGTGGTTTATCGGGGTACGACAGAGGAGTAACAGATCTAGAAAGCGGTTGTGGTTCAGGCCCGCGTCTATCATTAGACAAAGATGTGGACGAGAGATTGCTGTGAATGATGGGCAACGGCCCAAACAGCTGCGACTGTAAATCCGGGGTGTTCTCTCTGCTAGGCCGAGTCGGCGGAGTTTGACGAGGTGATACGCTTGGCATTAGATGCACTGTAGACAGCACCGGTGACTGGGGTGCCATGACTGGCATGGCCGGCTCTCTGATAGCTTTGGGAGACGAGTCCTCATTTTCGCGGTCTTTCTTGAACTTCTGTGACGATTTGCGCGGCGGGGGACTTGGAGGCAACGGCGACAATCTCTTCTTCCTCTTGGATCCGTTCCGTTCGACTTCCCTCACGGTAGAGTTTGACGATGACGAGGTAAGAGACTCCCGGACCGCGGCAAGACCCTGAGGGTCGGCGCTAAACGCGTCCATCTCATTTGTGCTTCCAGCTCTTCTCCGAGTCACCGGTGGCCGTGTTACAGCCGGGCTCAGTTGCCTCGCCCTGGGTGCAGGGATTCGCATTGGTGCCACCAAACCTGGTGACTGCGACGAAAGAGACGTAGGAGTGGTGTCTCGACTGTATGGACCCGGGCCGGGAGATTCAGAGAACCTCGTGGAAGGGCTTCCACTGAACGTGCTGAGCTGGCTGCTCGTTCCAGAGAAAACGGGCGTCGGAGGTGGGAGGTCGTGCGTGGCAAGTCTATGGAGGAAGTCGAAACCGGAGCCTTCTGGCGATTTGGATGGCCAGCCAGTGATCTCCCTGTATCGATCTAGTTCGGGGTAGATGGTGATGGGCTGTGCTTGGGTCTTTGGCAAGTCCACGACGTGAGCAATGCGAATCTCTGTTGGACTTTCAGTGATGCCACGGTCGAGTTGCATTACAGCGGCCGGGTCTAACGAAGAACGAGATCGAGGAGCAGACGAAGACGAGCTGGTACGAGTGGAATCAGATTGAGAGTCGTGGCTCAGGCTGGGCGTTTTTGGAGCAACTGACGACTGCTTTCTACGCAGCACGTTACGGGTTGGCTTGCCGGCACCTGCGTGTGGCCGTCCGGAAGACGACGACGAACCCGTCATGGTTGGGGTGTAACTGGGTCTCTCTGATATTGTGCTGTTTGAGCTCCATGATTGTGTCTGGTGGGTTAATGGAGGTCGGCTGGAGGGCACCGGGATAGACGGACGTCCTGCGGAGATATGAGATTCCCTTGTCGGTTTAGTCTGCATCTGTTGGGGGGGTTGCCGGATTGCAATGCGGATGTTTTCTCCTTCCCTGCGTACTCTTCTTCCCTCGTCTTCTCTAGCACGCACATGGGCTCTTCTTGCTCTTATCGATTCATCTGGGCGACTCGGTAGGCCTGAACCCATGGGAAGGGTTGCCATGGTGTCCTAAATTTGATTGTTCCGAGCCTTTCCACCATAACACAACTATACTCAATATCCCATGTTCGATTCAGGGGAGATAGGCGAAGACCTTTCCAAAAGTTAGCGGAAAGCGTTCAGAAGTGGTGGTATGAACAACCTAACAGTAGCTAACTCGCGTAAACAATTAGGTGCTGACTGAGCCGGGCGTGACGGATCAGACAATAGATCACAGGAGGCAGAAAAATAAATCCCTCTTCAGTAAAGCTGACTAACATTCAATCGTGAAAAAGGTGTATGGGAGTCCCAAATTGGCACCTTGGGGGGGGGCTAGGATGTGATGCCGAGCACAAGCAAGGGCAGGGAGACAGCGATATATGAAGAGGTAGGCCAAAGAGGCAGAGCAGAGGAGAAAACTAAAAAAACTCTCTTCAGGGGAGCAATAAAGAGAGGAATAAAAAAACTTCCAGCAGGGAATGATGGCGCGGAAGAGGGGAACAAATTCCGGCTGAGATGATGAGGTGTGATGGTGGGGGGTGGTGGGAGGTTGTGCGGCTGCGAAGGGGAAGCCGATTCGGCTGGGAGGGTTGTGGTGGTGGTGGTGGAGGGTTCAGAAGGGCCCTCGAGATGGTGGGGAGGAACCGCGTCTAGGTGTCAGCGTTAACGCCGTCGAGGATGTGAGCCAGCTTCTCTATTGTAACGAAAGCTGGTGACGAATATTCTGGCCTGCGGTTGAGTTTGGGTCTGGGGAAGACAGCGGCCGTTGGGCTTAGCGTTGAAGATGGGGAGATGTATTCAAGATAAGTGCGGATGTGGACGACAAGATACAGTGGCAAAAAAAGGGCAAGACTAGGAAAAAGGGTATCAAGTATCAGCATATGGAAGACAGAGGAAGAAAGAAAAGCTACAGTGGCAGCGGGCAAGTCAGGCAAGGAAGGCAACCTTGGATTGTATATAGGTTGAGCACGGTATCTTGGTCTCTTCCTTTTCCTTTTTCGCCTGGTGCCGGCCTGCTGGGAACTGAACGGCGTGAGTGGACAGACATTGGCCGGGCGGCAGGGGTATGACTAGCAGGAAGAGACCATACGTAACGAGCAGACGCAGATGGATTCCTGTGTCCGAGTATCTGTATCTAGCCTGCATCTACAACTGGGCAAGGCACTCGATTGCTATTCTTCGCGCGTGGCGTTTGAATCCCTGTACGTATCCTCTATGCTGCATCGGTCAAGAAATGGGAATCATGGGCCCAAGTCAGGTGAGCTGCTGGAAAGGCCGAAGGCGGCGCTTTGGGATTGGGCACTGGAGGCAGGGAAGGGCACGCAGGAGGGAGTAGATCAGACAGTAGTATGCGCCAGTCATGTTGTTGACTCATTGTCGAGGACAGAAGCGAGGAGCCTGTAAAGGGGGATAGCGGGCTCATAATGCGAACTCTTGCCGGCTCTGGGTCTTTTGCAGATGCATGAGAGAAGCAAGACACAACGGCGGGAGACGAAGGAGGGGCAGAGACATGGGGCCAAGCGGAGGAAGAGACGCTGAAAGAGGCACAGAAGTCGATGAGAGGCCGGCAGGTACAGGGTGCGGAGAGTAGGTGGAGGGTACGAGACGACGAGACCCAACGCCTGGCGTTAACCGGCATGAGGCGTACAACTGCTCGCGCTGCGCCGCCATGCGGAAAGACACTGGCCCTGGACTCTGCATACATGGCTCGTCCTATGGGAGCATCAAGATGCCCTGAGAAGGCAACTCAACGACGCCATTGGGCCGCAACCCCTTGCCTGGCCCTTATCCACATTCGGGGTCGTCTGCATCTTCTGGGATGCTGGGATTCCGGGGCATGAAAGACCAGGGCAAAAACAGACTTTGTCGGCAGGTCGGATTTGGCCTTTTTTTTTTTTTTTTTCGTCGAGAGAACCGAGAAACGAGACAACAGACGAACGAAGAAAGTGGCATGCCATCGTAGACGTGGCTGTGTCCATCATCAGCCAGTTCACGCTACCTCACCGACGGCGAGAGCGTTACAGGGTAGTTTCTTCTGCGTTGGCATGTCGGCGCGGGACTGACTGACTTTGCCGTGACTCTCGGACGGATACTGAAGACTGGATGGCGGGGGCGAAAAAAATACATCAAGGCCAGCGGCGGCTAGGAAGGTCCTTGGAGCTCAGAGGGGGGATGGCCCGCTCCGCTAAGGGTCAAGTGAGAAAGATGAGAGCGAAAACGGCGAAAAGGGCCAGTAGTCCTCGTGCGTACGTAGTACAGTACTGCAGTGAGAAGGCAAAAGTAATAGTTCCAAAATGTTAAGGATGGAGAGTACAGGGATAGTCCTGGATGCCAAAGTCGAATAAGGTGAACATGTTGGTCGGTTGTTTGTTTATTAGTGGGAAACGGCAGCCGGGACGGAAGAGACCTCAGCGGGAAACAGCCGCAAATAGGTAAAGCGGCCAGAAGGGGAAAGAAGGCACCGTCAACACAGGCGAGAAAGGCGAAAACCTAAAGAAAGGTATTCGGTACTGCACGGCATAGTATACTGCTATCTAATACACAGTACCGCATAGTACGGATAGTGTTACATAGTACTAGTAAACGATGCGACAGCGGCCAAAGGAGAAGGAAGCAACCACCAACCCAGCGGGTGGACCAAAAGGGAGAGTGGATACCATCCTCCTCCCTCCCCAAAAAAGGTTCTACACCCACCACCACACAAGCGCACCAGCCCCTAAATGGTCTTAGCGCGGCGGCACAAGGTACAAGGTACTTAGTGGGCTTTAACGGCTTAATTGGAACGTGCACACTTGCTCACTGTGGAGTCAACGGTCTGTCTTTCGACTCTCTTCTACCCACGTTTTTGATTCTGTCAACCCACTCAACTCCAACCCTGGGCTTCCTTGAAGCCTTGACAGCCTCTCGAGACCTTGTCGTCAATGGTTGCATGGACTTGAATCCACTCTGCTCAAACTGCCGGATGGGAGCCCTCACATACACGAGTCGATACTGCGTCCCTGAGAGTTTGGACTTTCTCCCTTCCCCTGCATCTGTGTCCTCTGCAGTAAATTGCCAACCGTCAAATCCAAACGCAAACTGCAACTGCAATTATCGAATCGCCTGCAGCCGAAAGAAAAGTAAAATGGAGACAGTTGATTCACCAGCCCCGACAACCGTCGTCAAACATGCCATTTATCAATGATCCACTGCATGTCTCATTTTGCACTGTCCGAAAGGCTAGGTTTCTGCATGTCTTACTCCGCTGCCACCCCTCCCTGGAGATCGCCCACGCTACCGAGTCACTTTCACGTCTACCCCACCCTCTTCCGCTGCCCGGCGCTTGTTGTCGACATCCATCCTCGGCTGTCTATCTCAGAAGGGCCCCAAGCCCAGAAATGGCATGGGTTGCTACGGTGGCTTCAGAGGAAAACAAGTTAGTCTACACTGGTGAGACGGTATTGAAATCTGACATGTTCTACAAAAGATGCCAAGGAGAGTGTGCCGAAGCGGAATTCCTAGGCCTGGCTTGTTCATTCACATTAGACATTAGGCCTACTCCTCTAAACACGCAGAAAGGAAACATCGCCCGGTGTTCTCGTGCCTCGGAATTACTTTATTGAGAGACTCCCAGTAAGATCAATAGATGACACTGTCATGGGGATACAAAGCCATCTGCAAGTTGTTGATTCGAGCAAAGATATAATTGCACCACAATCCAACGATGAAGCGCCACCAACAAGAACAACGCGCTTCAAGTCGTCTACGCCGTATTACAACTTTGGCGATGATGGTCTAGACAAGTCTAGTTGAACGAGTAACACAGCCTTCCAAGTCCCAGAAACCTCATCCATACCTTTAAACTATAAGCAGAACACACTATGGATTCGAGCCCCTCCCGAGACCAACCATCGACTCAATTCTCCGGCTCGGCAGGCAACCGCACGTTCACAATGGCTACTCGTTTTCCCTTGCTTACCACCACACCATAGTCTCCTGGTGAGGATCGGTTGCACTAGCAACCAATTCGCGGGCCCTCCGCTTCGTAAAGCCTGGGAACTTGTGTCGGCCGACCAAATTGAAGAAAGAAGCTATTAGAAGATTTCCATTCGCACTCGGGGCAACGCCACGATCAGTCTCGGAAGCCCTTGTCTGGCCGGAAAAAGGAGTCTGGAGATTATCTCATCGGCCATTAACCCCACCTAACATAACGCACCAAGTTCATACCAAAAGAGGGAAGCCTGCCATTTGCTTGTTGGAGATTAACACAATCCATGAGTCGTTATTGGCCCTGGCCTAAAATGGTTTTCTCGACATCAAGGGGGCTCCAACCCTTTTTTCGATAATGATTGGATACCGCTCTCTTAATTTTGTCCAATCAATAGGCTTATCCGAGACATTTTCCACCACCCGGCCTGCGCCTTAGACAACCATTTCCCCTCATGCATGTCTCTCCTTACCCGCATCTCTTTGGAAACCATTCTTTACCAATCGACCGCGTGGGCTTGACGACGAGATTCCTCAATCAGGACTATAGAGATGAAAAGGAGGCGACACTGGCGTCATGGACCTTAGTCAGAGATGACCATCTCATCTCATGGCTAACCCTTCTAGGTTCCCCGCAATAAAAGTCGACTGAGTGAAGTGACAGCTCTCATCGCACATGGCCCAGCAGGGAACAGCCTTGACAACCCGCTGAGCACGGTGTCTGAAAAGAAACGAAAATATGATATCCGAAGTGGCAACCGCCGGCTTGATTCTGTCCTTTTTTTCCCCCTTTCCCTCTGCCAACCAACGCGGACATGTCGACCTGAATTACCACGAATTCAAAAGAACGCAGGATGTGACAAGAATAGCAGCAGGCCCTCACTGTGGCCTAGATCGACCCATCAATTGATCCTGGATCAGCCGCCATGGCAGGATCAATCCTAGCCGGTAGTGGAGTCACGGGACCAACTGGCAGGAACAGGCAGTGTGTTCGCTAAACTCACACTCAGTGCCATCAGGATGTACGACAAAATGACGATGTAGCAAGCAGAAATGGCCAGCTGAAACCTGCAGCTTGACTGTGGCGAATGCTATGCGCTGGCCGCGTCTAAAACAGGCAAAACCACGCCTGGCAGCCAGCCCAGGCCATTGCAAACATACAAAGCCACGGGCCGCCGAAGCGAAGACGACATGCGAAAGTAACTGGCAGCGGCGTTGTGGTGACGCTTGAAGTGACGATGATGAGGCAACCTGAAGCCATAGAGTCACAAACATATGCACTCCGCCACACGCCTCATCCGCAACCCATGTAATCTGGGTCGTGAGGCTGGTGACGTGGCATTCAAGCCCGACGGAGCGGGTCTCGGGTGGCTCAATACATAGTATTACCAATGGAACCAGGCAAACCAGATTTGGCGGCCCCAAAAATCGAATAAAAATATTGCTGTGGCTTTACCTGGCTTTACGAATTGCAGATCTCTGGGTTTTCCTCGGTCCTAATCCTTGTCCTCTATCCATGTACTCAGTACTTGCGGCGGTGAAGCTATGATCGTCTCGCTAACTCCGATAACCATTCAAACCTGGGATTCCAACAGACGAAGGCACGGAAGGATATGCGACAAGGTTGAATCACGGGAATGGCTTACAGAAGCGAGGCGCAATCAATGATGAAAATCAAACAGCCTTCATTTTGTCCTCTCCAAAGACAACGAGGTTTAACGGTTGAAAACCCTTCACCAGACCCCTGTCCGTTCTCCAATCGTAACCGCCAAAGATCCCGCGACCAGGGTGTGTGTTCAGGTGGACAGGGGTTTCGGCACTTCCATTGGCCTGAACCTCTGAGACAGCCAGGATTTGGATTCTTGCGGTCTTCAACTTGGTGAGTAACGTGACGGCGACGAGGTGCGAGCAGACGCATCTTTCACACTCCTTCACACCCTTCACGGCGGCTGGAAGTAGGGATTTTCTTCCCTTCTTGTTCTGCCGTCCTATGCGTTTCGCACAGACTAGAGCCTCCCCCAAATAAAGTCCGCCCTTCCCGCGGCCAAGCATACATTTTTTGTAGACGCAGTGTTAGCGCGTTAGCTGGACAGACGGAAAGCTCGAAAGAGCTGGCCGTTGCCCGTATTGGCATTAGGATCCTAAGCGGGGGCTGGACTGTGCTAAGACGGGAGACTAACTCTCAGCTGCTGCTGACTGATGTGTTGGCAACATGGCTACCACTGCTACTTACTAAACCCCGACCCTTAGTTAAAGGCATCCGCAGCTGGAGCCGTTGGTGTTCTGGATCTCACCTTACCCTTTTGCGCACAGACTTGCGTGCATTCATCCAAGGCCAACGGAGCTTGAACCGGGAGCTAATATCGACAGCTGGGGAACAGTTTGCCTCAGAGACCTGAGCTGAGATTTCGACCACGGTTTCCATTGGAGCGACCATTCGTGCTGGACGAAACAGATGCCGTCGCGGGCTCTTCGTTGGTTGTTACTAATCCTGCTGGACAAAACTGCTGTGTGCGAGCTACTATAGGGCCTCTTCGCCATGCAGCTCTGTGGCGTGGCTTGCGTTGTTGGAGCTGATATGTCCTTTCTTTGGATTTCGAGCACACCTGTGCCCCTGGATCCTCTGGATTTCCGGAATCGGTTCGCTCAAGAGCGACTTGCATTGCCTTGGCCATGGGTTTACTGGCCACCGGTGGGGAGTAGCGTCCGATAGGAATATGGCATGAGTTAGTTTTTGGCCTGGTCTCGATGTCAAGTGGGGGCCCGTATACGGCCGGCGTCAATGGGCTGCCCGCTCAGTCGGGTCAGCATTACGACGACAAGCAGGCTTTTTGAGGCTGGCGGAATGGTATTCCTGTCAAGCCGGGCGAACAACAAAGTGCGAAAAGGGGCTTGGAGTGACTGGTACTGACAAACATGGCTACTGGCTGAGGCATGTATTCAAAAAAAAACTTAGCTGAGTTAGGTTGGGAGTGACAGCAATGGCTCGACAAAGGGCGATACACGAAATGGAGGAAACCTCTTCTCTGGACCAAGTAGCATGAGCTCATCTCAGTGCTCCCGCGGCCTAGTCTAGTAAATTGGCTATCGGCATGCATCGTCGTTTTGTAGCCTTGCCCCGTACTAGGGAGCCTCTTGACCCAATAAACTCCATCATTTGAATGTCATTTGGTCATGGGCTGCGAAATATTTTGTGCCCGTATTCCCTGTGAGCTTCCCACTCGCCTTGGAGCGGCGGGCTGTCGTTCAGCTACCTAGGTAGATCAAGGAAGCGAGACGGACTCGTCACCACTAGAATGAAACCCAGCAGTAAACACCAACCCGCCTGGCTTATTGGTCGAGCCCTCTCAAGTCGAAGCCCACTGGCAGCTATAACGCTGCAAACAGCGACTTGGTTGGCTATCTCGCTTTTGCGGGATAATCTCTGTGAGATCATAAAGCGTCAATGAAATAGAGGGATAACGCCCGTCGTGGTCATACTTGATGGGGGTTTATACGCAAAGTAGATATGACCCATCCGCTCTGTCTACTTGCGTTTGAGCAAGCAGAGCTCGAGCTCGCGTTGGCATTTGCCCTTGGCTTTCGGTGCTATACTGAAAGTTATCAGTCTGGGTATAGGCTACATTTTCGGAATTGTTGGCGCAGGGGGGATTTGGGTGACAACAAGAACCAACCCGCTACCCAAGACCCATTCGCAGCGTCTTCTCTTCTTAGAAGACGGAACCTCGATTCGCTCTTGTCCTTGTCATGATCATGTCAATCTTCTGGTTTGTTCCGTTGCGGATGGTCATGAAGCCCTAGTGAATCGTAAACGTCGGTTGGGGGAGGGGAAGAACAGGTCTTTTCTGCTTTAGTTGGTAGTGCTACAAGTTCACTCGCGCCACTTGATGTTTCGGGCACGCGACTGGCACTTGTAGCAGTCATGGTTCGATGGTCTGGTCCTGGTGTTCGGTGTATCTCTGCCCTGTCTTTGCCATCTCCTGGGAGCATAAACCGATACAACGAGGCTGCATGGTGTATAGGCTTCTACAGATACATTGCATTTCCTAAATTTTTTGAGACTACGAAGACAGCAGATAGTGTGATTAAGCTTGTATGGGCTAGAGCGACTGGAAAGTATGGTCAGCTATACCGTAGGTATGAAACACACCAGGGCATGATGATTGTAGTCTACATCGACTCCTTTTCTGTGCCATCACATTATACGCCGAAGAGTGTCATTTTCCTAGGGTGAAAGAGCAAGATAAAAAAAAAAAAAAGCGATACAAGATTGACATAAATCATGCTGTTGTTTGGCTGGTATTGGTAGCTCCACATGTACTCATCAACCCACGTTATAACTAGAATACCAAACCATAAGTTGGTAATGCCGGCCTAATAATGATGGATATAGATATAAGAGCATCCTGTAACGTTATATATATGCAGTGGATATAGCCTGGATTTTGTAACTATGCGCATCTCAAGATGGTTCTCGCGTGGCTCGCCACCCTGAGTACTGTACTCGACAGCGACGACGCACCGATATCCAGTCTGCAATCTGATGCTCCTTAGCCACCACCTGTAGTTCCAAAGATTGCGCCCTCAAGTAATAGACCATGATCCATTGTGTATGTATTCCAAGGGTTTGTGGGTGGCTCCCTGTGGCTGTTCCTCAAGTAGCCCGCCAACCCTTCCTTCTCTAACCAGGTCACTTGGAACGAAGAGGAAATCACACAGTCGCATATTGTCTGGCTACATTGGGTGCAGAGTGTCCGAGCTACTCACTGCCAAGAAGGCGACGTTGGACATCATTTGACTTTGAGGCACGAGTGGACTTTGGAAGAACAAGAGCATACTTGATCAAGTTTTTGGGACATTTCTGTGGTCACCGTGGGCAAACAAATCAAAGGGTTCTTGGATCGATGAGCCCTCCTTCATGACCTGCATCAAGGCGTACCTGGCAGTCATCCAATCTCCCGAATCTGAAAAGCTTAATGAGGGAAATGGAGGCACACACAACCCATTCTATCTCCAACTTGAGAAATCCATGGCGACAACATCTTAGCCATATGTCAGATGTGGGGTTAGAGTGAACCTGATCTTGATTTCTTATCTTCTGCGTTGCGGAGGCAAACATATCGCATGCTCAAGGTTTCCACATCCAAGACTGTCATAACGCGGTAGCAGGCCGAGATACAAAAAAAAAAAAAAAGCAAAAAAACTTTTGGCTCTACTCCATTACGGTCAAAATATCTTGCTGAGAATACGCGCGTTGTCGATTTCACTCTCTTGTCCAGTCCACATCTAGGACCAAGACCTGTCTGTCTGTTTTTGATTTCTGTGTTTCCGTCTCTCTCCTCATTGTCGTAGCCCGAAACGCCGTCTAGCTCCCCCGGGCAAAGTATACAGACTTAATCGATATTGCGTCATCTGCACTTTGGATGATCAAGCAGCAAATCGCTTCGCTCTGGCCTCCAGCTTCGCCTTCTCGGCGGGATCGATCGGTCCACTGCGCTTCTCACTGTTGCCGCCACCACCACCACCTTGACGGCCACCACCCTGACGTCCGTGTCTGTTGTTGCCTCTACCACGGCGTCCACGGCCGTCGGTGCTCTGGCGCTTGGTATCTCGGCCAGGCTGTTCGTCGTTTCGCTCAGGGCGACCGCGCTTGGGGCGTCTTTCAGGAAGCGCCGAGTCCAGTGCCGAGGTGTTGGCGGCGGCATCGGCGCCGAAACGCTTCGCGCGATCAGACTTCTTCTTTTCCTCCTCGCCCTCAACAATACCGAATCGCTTGGCGCGTTCAGCGCGCTTGCGAGCTTCTTCTGAAGCGTCAGTCGCGTCAAGGTTAAGGGCGAAGTTCTCCTTCGGCGCCTCCTCCTCAGGCTTCTCCTCCTCAGTGGCTGTCTCGGCGGCGGGCGCAGCTTCGGGAGCAGCGTCGGCGGTTGCTGGCGCAGCAGGCTCGGCAGCGTCAGTAGCAGCAGAAGCCGGCGCAGGATCTGCAACTGCTGGGACGGGCTCCGCGACGGGCTTAGGTGCGTCGGGTGCCTTGGCAGGCGCGGGCTCGTCGTCGCTATAGTCGATCTCGTCTTCCTCTGCGGCTGCGACAGTTAGCCTTGTTTGTGTGCGTGACGAATCCATCGACGTACCAGGAGCAGATTGCTTATCGTTCTCCTTCAAGCGATTAACAAGGTCGAGCTTATTACCCGTGGCGGGAAGGCCTCTCTCCTGGAGTAGCTTCTTGAGCTCAGGAACCTTCAATGAGCTGTAGTCGGTGGCCATGTTTGCGACTGGGGAGTTTGGGAATCAAGGGAATGTAGGATGGTTCGGATTGGCGTTAATAAGAAGATGCGCAAACGTTGGTAAGGATGCGCAAACGGTGATGAAAAGAAATTGATGACGGGGGGAGAGGGTGGAACTGTGGAGGGAAAGCTGTCGTTGATGATCGTCGGGGGTTATGACGATTTTTGAGGCGCGTCGTTACTGCTTTGGTTCGCAGGACGACAGCTCAGGGAGGTGGTGCCTTCCCTTCCTTTCTCTCTGCAATTGAAGCTGGTACGTACCTTGCAGCGAAAGCAAGGATGCAAGTCAGGCGCACGGGCCATCGTCCCTTGCATGAGCCAAATTGCTTGCCGCACTAGCTCATCGTATGGGCAGGTAACGATGGAGAAATGAAGATACCTTTGTTGTAAACAACCCGTTGAAGCGACGGTATTCAACGTTGCTTATCGGCGGTTTTGCGTCTCTAGATACGGCGGTCTCTTTCTTACGGCTTGGCTGTTTTGGCGTCAAACGGCAGTCCTCATCGTGGACTCCTCCTCCGTGATGCCAATGAGCCGAACTTGAGGATGTCCAAACCTCACGCAGAAAGTACTCATCATTTAGATATACAATCGATTTAAAGTTTGACTTATATCTGACGAAATACTTTGAACGATCTTTTTTCTTATACGACGTAGTCTTGTCAGGTCGCGGCTCGAAATCCTCACGACAGAAGCTCGCCCACGTGCACGTCGTGACTGACTCAGGTGCCTTTATGCCAACTGATTGACGGCGGGGAGCGGAGTCTCAACTGATCTTCAACTTTAAGCGACTCGTTCAGCTGTCCATGCTTCTGTCATCCCTAAATGAGGCGATATAATGATTTCTAGCTCAATTCGTTCTCATTGTCGAGACTACCAGCAACTGGGACCATGGCTGCGAATCAAACTCAATTCCACATGGACGCGCGGCTGTATGTTGCCGAAGGCGTCAACGAAATATGAGGGAACCGTATAACGTACAATGCGAGTTGCCGTCTATTGTCTTTAAAACTGCGTTTTGAGCGTCCCGGAAGTTGGGTTGTGGCATACCGACATGGACAATGTCATTATGCCTCTGTGCCGTAAACAGGCATATATGAACGCCAACGAGAACGGAATGAATCGAACGCATCGATTCAACTTACTGGCATGGCACGTGCAATGGAAGGCTGGCACTCTCATTTCCTGCCCCCTCAGGTGCACTTTTCCTGCCTTCTCAAAGCCTGAAGCCAATGAAACCATGATAACTTAATCGTGGGTACGTACTGGGAGGCCCACAGGGCGCAAACAGTTCACTCTGGGCTGTGACCGGACCTGTAAGGTGCTGCTACCCCGGATTCTGGCAGCTGCTCCACTAAATTGGACTTTTGCTGACCCGAGTCGATTGATCCTCGTGCCTTTTTTGCTCCTTTTCTATCCCCTGTCGCTTGCTGAGCTGTCGTCGATGAGCTGAGATTAAGCTCTTCTGCCCCATTTGCGAGCTTTTATTTTTTCTATACATCATTTCCGGGGTCCATGATATGGCCTAGGCATTAGCTTGAATCAGGCTCGCCCGAGCCGATTGTTCGTTTTCACATCTACCTGACCAAACTACGTCTCCTGGTCACGCCGCCACCTCCCCCCCCCGTTGCCACAAAAATCATACGCCTGCCTTGCGACAACCCAGTTAGAGGTCGCCCAAGATGACGCGCCGTATAGTAAGTCTCTCTAGAGAAGATGGGCGCGGTCGGCGTTGCTAACGACATCCCACTAGGTGCGCACTTTAATCCAGCTCACCGCGGTGACGCTGGTTACCTTCCTCGTCGTCTTCTTTCTCGACCGTAACTTCCGAGTCCTCCCAAAGTCGATGCACCACTATATGCCTCAGCATCACCATGGTCTTATCGTAACCGACATCACAATAACGAAATGCTCCTCCCTCAACCTATTCTCTTCCTGCAAGCTTGACACCGAAAAGTGGCACCGGATCGAGAAGGATCTGTATCTCGGCAAATCATGGACGACGAGCGCATACGTCCACATTGCGCGCAAGAAGGAGGAGGAGCTTCTTCCCGAAGATAAGGTCGTTATGGATGTCTCTGTCGGCAGGCTCGACCCTACAACCACTAAGAAGGGAGAGGAGGATGAGAGATGGGAGAATCGGCCGTACGGCTTGTGGGTAAAACGGTCGTCCAACCAGAAGAATAGCGATTCCAAAAAGGCTGTTACGGGCGTGGATGTCCTTTTTGGTGACGACGCAGTCGAGGCACGCGACGGCTGGGAGATCACCGGCACACCTCTGCTCCTTCCCTTGAGCGACGAGATTCCAGTCACTCACCTTACTGTCAGGAGAGGCAGCCAGAAAGAACCGACGAAGCCTCGTCCACGAATCGCCGACAATGGCAAGTTCAAGATTGTCCAGCTTGCCGACCTCCACCTAAGCAATGGCGTTGGAAAGTGCCGTGATGCCATGCCCGAAAACGGCGGTGTCTGCGAAGCAGACCCAAGGACTCTGGACTTTGTACAAAAGATTCTCATCGAAGAGAAGCCTCACCTGGTTGTCCTCAGCGGAGACCAAGTGAACGGCGAAACAGCGCCTGATGCGCAGTCGGTGAGTAGCTTGCTTTGATAGACTAGATGTGAACTGACAGTCTAGGCCATTTTCAAAATCGCTCAGATCCTCATTAAGATGAAGATCCCCTACGTCTCCATCTTTGGCAATCATGACGACCAGGGATCGCTCGGACGTGCTGCTCAAATGTCTATTCTCGAATCTTTGCCATACTCGCTAGCACGCGCAGGCCCTGAAGAAATTGAGGGCGTCGGTAACTATTATGTAGAAATCCTTGCTAGGGGCAAGTCGGATCACTCGGCACTTACGCTGTACATGCTTGACTCTCATGCTTACTCACCTGACGAGCGCAAATATCACGGATATGACTGGATCAAGCAAAACCAGATCGACTGGTTCAAGAAAACGGCATCCGGTCTCAAGCAAGCACACAAGCAGTACACCCATCTACACATGGACCTGGCGTTTATCCACATTCCCCTGCCAGAGTATAGAGATTCGGAACTCGCGATCAAGGGCGAATGGAAAGAGGGTGTGACAGCACCCAACTTCAACTCCCACTTCCGCGATGCTTTGGTCGAGCAAGGCGTCGTCATGGTCAGCTGTGGACAGTAAGACTGCCCCATTTCTCTCTTTCTCCCTCTCTCTCCACTGTTTTTCTTTTTTCTTAAATATGTGTTCTAACATAATGTAGTGACCACGCAAATGACTACTGCTCCCTTTCACTAGACGCGAATTCTAACCCCGCGCTCTGGATGTGCTACGCTGGAGGAGTGGGCTTTGGTGGATACGGGGGTTATGGTGGCTACCATCGCCGTGTCCGTGTATTTGAAGTCGACACTAACCAAGCCCGCATTACCACATGGAAGCGCCTTGAATGGGGTGATACTGAAAAGAGAGTTGACGAGCAGATGATTGTCGATGAGGGTAGGGCAGTGAGCCTCAGGCCATGAACCCTGAAGCTTTGGCGAGTTTTGGCGTCTTTCTACACAGTTTGAAATGAAACACGGAAAAGCGGAGTTTGACAGGTACTGGAGTCTGGGTATATTTCTTTGGCGAGTCCCGAAGACACTTGGGGATGGATATTCATAGCATGTATTTTCTCGTGGGGCATCTATAATGGATTGGCATCGACGCAGAAGGTGACGATGAGAAGTAGGCGTTGTCCAGACATGTATACGGTTTTCTTTTCTTTCAAAGTGAAGCATGTAAAGGTCCTTTTACATCCTAGTATGGCTGCAATTTTTTGTCTCCTGGTTCGACGGCAACACTGAGCATATTCACTGGGATATGTCTTTGGGCAAGTGTTAAAGTACAGGGTGTGCTTTCGATTTCCTGACTCGCCGAGGTTGCTTGCTTTAAAATCACACGGGCGAGGTCTTATTAGGATGCATACGCCATGCCTAACCAGAAAACCATTCCAAGAGTCGAGCGAAACAATTCCTTTCGGGATGACTTCTGGCAAAATTGACTACATTTTTTACGCCAGTTACCTATCACCTAAATGATCTTGACTTAACAGTCAGCACGACAGTTTCGCCACTCCGAAGAATACATACGGAGACTTTTTGGTCTAGATTCATATCACAGAATGCTTTTGACCCCTCCGTAGTAGTGTGATGAGGGTAAGAGGATTGTAGGTAGCATAGGATAGATATATATATATCAAGACATCAGGGTACGTCTATAAAAATGGAGAAACCTTGACGCCCAACTCCTTGTATATAACCTCTCTGGCTGTGTTCTAGAGCAATAAAAATCGAGGAAAAAGTCGCCCCCTGGAACCCTAATGAGTAGGCTGAAGCATCGTTGCCCATCTTGTGAATCACCTCAATTCGAACGAGTGAGGGCCCGCATCTGGCAGACCAGAAGACAATAGTAACAGCCCAGAACGAAGTGTGGTCTCACAAATTAAGGCATCAAATCTGCAATGAACGTGGGGTTTATCAGACAGAACAAGAAGCAATTACCATTAGAATCACTGTAGACCTTCGCTTGGCAACAGCTAGTTTCGCTAACAAGCTTCGTGCTCACGATATTCCTTCACGACATTAACCACGGATATCAGGTATTTGCTAATGCTTGCCCAAGACCTTAGCATCAGCCACTGTCCAACCGTACCAGTTAGACCTCATCACAACGCTTCTCTGGGAGCGCTCAGAAGAAACGAAAATAAACTCCAGTGGCGCTTTGAAGGGCGGAAAATCTCGTCTAGCAGAGGCGAAGAGGCAGTAGCCAGCCTGCTTCTGCTTGCTTCCTCTAAACAATTTCTCCCATACCCTCCTTAGCTTGTCATCCTATTTGGAGTTGTCTTGTAAGAAATCACTGCGTCTGAAAAACAAGCTTCACACCTGTACGTCTGACGATACTCATCGGCCGCGAGGGCTTGTGTTGGTTCATTCTATGAAATATATCGGTATCTTTCGCTTGCAAACGCTCTCGTATGGTCTTTTTAGAACAGACAGCCAACTGTAGATGGACAGACAAGCGACCTTGGATCATATTCGCACCTTGTGAGTTAAATTTATCCACCTCTCGTCTCCCCTTATTGTCCTTCCTCCACAATCTACTTCTTGTCCGTTATCGTCTCTTTTCCACATCATTTTACCTTTGATTCACTCGACCTACAACGGGGGTGTCACATAAATGGAGTATACTGTAAAGTTGTTCCAATGCTCTTCATCCCCTATCTCATTTTTTTGCTTTTACTAAAACCTTCTTATATCTCCCACCATAACTGATACAGCACCAAGCTGGGGCCTGCTAATCTATCTCCGGAACCACTTTCACAAATCATATACATTCAACCCGCCTCGCTTTAGGGGTTTCTTCCCCCTTTTTACCTCATAATCTTGATCTCGGTTGCCAAAAAAGCTTTTTTACATTTCCTGAGATTAAAAAAAACAGACAGTCAAGAATTATCAGAAGTGAAACGTGAAACAGACTGGCAACCATGTCCAAAGAGCAAGACCAACATCGCGAAAACAGCGGTAGTTGTATGAATTCAATTTCTGAATGGGAGGAACTGGAGTATTTGCCGAATAATTGCGTACCACAGAATTACAAACACCGGGGCATTCAGCAACATGCTACTGAAACATCCGATTCGCCAGCCAAGATGCTGGATGCCTCCATTTTAAGAGACTCAAATCTCCTTCAACACGAAGGCCAGCGGAATCATATATCGAACCGATCTTTGGAGATGCAAAAGCCGAAAATCAACACGGATCCCAGTCAGCAACATTTGAACTTGCAAACCCGCCACCCAAGTTTCGCCCAGGGTCAAACATCGAAGTTTCTATGCCCAGCTACAACGGACAAAGCTACTAACCGACTTACATATTCAATCGATTTCTCAAAACAGCATTCTCCAGCACCCGAAGCACCAAACGAAATTGCCAACCCCAAACCCGAAGCACCATCGGGGAACGTACATGTCAGGAACAATAAGAATACAACCAGTGCGTCTAAAAGCAGTCGCCTCCGGCGCAGGCCACAGTATATTTCAATGGAAGATTTGAATAAATTCCTCAACTATATGGAAAACAGACATGCTTTCAAGAAGAAGAAAATGGTCAAGCGTCATCCGTCAGCGTCAACTGGCCAGTTACCACAGCCTTATCACGGATCATCGTCTTTGGCTGAGATGAATTTTGGATTGGCCAATCCAGACAATTCCAAGCAGCTCACAAGTGGACGCAAGGGAGGCTGGAAGAACAATGCTGGGTATAGTGGTTTCCTGGCAAACCATTCAGCCAATGCTCACACTTGCGGGTTCTCGGAGAGACCTATGGCCAATCAGCAACTGTCAACAAGCGCATCAAGTTATGACTCTTATGGTATGGCACTCAACTCTAAGCCCATACACTTTCGCGAACATATGCTATCAGCAGGTCAAATGGAAGACTTTGGTTATCACAGCACGTATTTGAATCCTGACTCTTTGCTTCGGTCCGTCAGTGGCCCACGAGGAGATGAACGCTGGAAAACGAACTCACGTCTGGACGGGCAGAGCCAATGCTCTTCTGCCGCGGATGAGTTAGGAAATCTCCAGGGTTCTTCGGCGGGGTCTCGGTTGGGCAAAGGGCCTGGAGGAGCTATCTCTGCAGTGGCATCGCCTCAGAGCAAGATGTAATGAGACACTTACGCTAGACGACTATCCACCAGCGGGAGAATGCGATGCTTTGGAATGAGGGGTTGGAATGTTGGTCTATGACGGCGACAAAGAGGTAGTCATAGTGGTTGTTAGCATGTCAAATGCACACATTTAAATACTCTTCCAGGCAAGAGGGAAACGCATTGGCAAGTTGAGCATGATGCTGTTTAGTTCTATTGTGGTTCTAGAAAAATATGCTCATTCTGAAATCCACCAAAGAGTCAGGACGGGAAAAAAAAGGAAACAACAGAAAAAGAGACTGCGTCAGAAAGCTCGGTACATCATGTCTACCAGCAAAATTCATGTCCATAAGGACGGGAATCTGGCAAGGTTTTCAGATAGGTTTTTCGATTGAACAACAAACAGAACAGGTGCTGAGTGGGTCATCGCTGAAGCCCTTGGCTTTGCACTCTGTAGCTCATCAATCTTCTATGTTTACCAAAATCATGAAGGTCAAGCCAGGAGGTAGTACGCTCCATCAACAGCCAAGTGACTAGAACAGGCAGTTTTTGCTTACCATATCCAATCGATTTCGGGGCTTGGCTAGCTGACGGAGCCGGTGGGATAATATCGCGGTGCAACCGGCCAAAGCGGGCATAGCCGCCGGCCTAACTCAATTCCTGCTTACCGATATCAATGTCTCAAATCAACTTCCTAGTAAATAACTAAAAGTGTTGTGCAAGTAGCAGCGCACGGTGTACCCGTCCTCGGCATGGCAATAGTTCCGAACCGCCCGCAGGAGAGGTGACGCCATTCGTGCAATAGAATGCTGGTGTGATTTCTAAGCAGACCAAGCCCCCCCGCCCTTCTGAAGGTATAGAGGGGGGTCACTGTGACGGCAGCATTTCCAAACACGCCTTCCACGGCCATGGCGGGGTTTTCACCCCATATTTTAACGTAACAGTGAGGGGTCTGAGGGGTCAATGGGCGTGATGTTGAGCTCACCAGCCTGAGGTGGACTAGTATTTCAGCAGCTCTAGGTCTCAGTATAACTTTCACCTTCAACACCCTGTCCTTACGACATCGTATACTTCACGACAATTCAATTTCATGACCACCCGTTTGGGACAATTGAGTAAACAAATATTCACCATGGCTGCCAAGACCAAGACCGACATCCACCTGTACACCGCGGGCACCCCCAACGGAATTAAAGTTAGCATTCTTTTGGAGGAGCTTGGCCTGGAGTATAAGACTACTGCCATTGACATTACCAAGAACACCCAGAAGGTTGGATGAAAACGAAATCTAAGAGATCAATATCAGGACTAACACAGCCACAGGAGCCCTGGTTTCTCGAGATTAACCCCAATGGCCGTATCCCCGCCTTGACCGACACCTTCGAGGATGGCAAGCAGATCCGCTTGTTTGAGAGCGGCAGTATCATGCAGTACCTCGTCGAGCGCTACGATAAGGACCACAAGGTTTCTTACCCGTATGGATCTCGCGAGTACTGGGAGGTGAACAACTGGGTAAGAATATTCCCACTAGTATAATGACATGACTTAACATAATATAGCTGCACTGGCAAATGGGTGGCCTGGGTCCTATGCAGGGGTAAGTTATTCTCTAACCGACATAAGACGACGGCAAGCTAACAAAAGAAAAAAAAATAGACAAGCCAACCACTTCAAGCGTATGAGGCACTACCTTTTAGAAACCCGTTCAACAAGCTAACAGTTTTAGGCTACGCCCCCGAGAAGATCCAGTACGGCATTGACCGCTACGTCAACGAGACTCGCCGTCTGTACCGCACCATGGACACACAGCTCAAGTCGAACCCTCACGGCTACCTTGTTGGTGACCGTGTGACCATCGCCGACATGGCCTGCTGGGGCTGGGTTGCGGCGGCCAAGTGGGCAGGCGTGAGCCTCGAGGAGTTCCCTGCGCTCAAGGAGTGGCTGTGGAAGTTGGTTGAGCGTCCTGGCTTCGAGGCCGGACGTAACAACCCTTCTCCCCACAAGGCGCTGGAGCAGCACAGCAAGTCGGATGAGGAGTTGGATGAGCAGGCCAAGAGTGCCTCGGCGTGGATTCTCAAGGGCATGAAGGAGGATGCTGCAAAGAAATGAGATGTTGAATGATGAATGACTAATAGTAATACTCTCAAATATCAATACATCAATAAGCTGTGGAACAAAACGCTAAATATATTCAACTCGTCGTAAAAATATTAAGCATGGGTGGATTAAAGTCGACAGATCTATTAAAAAGACGGCTTGATGTGACTCTTAGCTACAAGAGAATCAATTGTGATGAAAACCTCAAGCTCTAATGAGCCGATGAAGGTCGGTTAGCTCAGTTGGTTAGAGCGTGGTACTAATATATCACCTGATATGTTGTGTAATGCCAAGGCCGGGAGTTCAAGCCTCCCACTGATCACATCTTTTTGGGTTTTGCGTAGACTTTCCTGTTCTTTTCTTTTAGTTGGGAAATAAGCTGGCTGGAATCCGTCTACATTCTATGCGTTTGCTCTTGTTTGTTTTTTTCTTCTTGTTCCTTCCTATGTTTGCTAGCCAGTTTTCAACAGTGGAGACCTGCTTAGCAAACATGGAATTTTCCCTTTTCTTGCCACGTGATGGTTAAACTCTCCTGCCACGCATCCACCACTCGTTCCTTTTCCGCTTAACTCACCAGCTGGCACCAGTCGCCACCGATTAAGCTCAGCCTCCGGACATGGTATCCATCTCCGCAGCTCTAAACTCAGTCCCATATAAAAGTTCCCTCTTCCTTCATCGCAATCCCCTTTAGCCATCGCACTACACCACCCCCTGTCGACATCTTCATTGCCATCGCGCAGCAATCAATATGTCGTGGAGAAATCAGGGAATTACAGGTTCCAACAACATCCCACTTGGGAAGCGCCGGTTTGGCGGCGACGACGAGGAGCCCGAGCCTGAGTCCTACAGTAATGGCAATGGCGAGCTCAAGCGCGGCCGCAGCCCAGAGCCTCGTAAGTCTTTTCTTTTTGTGCGCCGCCACTTCGTCGCAGTTGATTCTAACATCGCATCTAGGTACTGACGCTGATGGCCCTCGACGCCGAAAGAAGAGAAACCGCTGGGGCGACGCGTCGGAGAACAAGGCTGCCGGCTTGATGGGTCTAACCACGGCCATCACAGCCAACATGACTGGCGAACAGTTGGAGGCCTATACTCTACACTTGCGCATCACAGAAATCAGTCAGAAGCTTCGCATTGACGACGTCGTCCCTGCAGACGGAGACAGGTATGTTATTTCTTATACCACCGGGTCAACTTGCCAACTAACGCGTCTCTGCAAAGATCCCCATCTCCTCCCCCGCAGTATGACAATCACGGTCGCCGTATCAACACCCGCGAATACCGTTACCGCAAGCGCCTCGAAGACGAACGCCACAAGCTCATCGAAAAGGCCATGAAGACCATTCCTAACTATCACCCGCCACAGGACTACCGCAGGCCCACTAAGACCCAGGAGAAGGTCTACGTGCCTGTTAACGATTATCCAGAGATTAACTTCAGTATGATTGCTAACCCTCTAACCCTCCTAACCAAACTTCTTGTTTCCCTTGTTCCCAGCCTCGACTCTGGCCAAACTTGTCATGCATCCTCCAGGTGTCTTGTCAGACCTGGCCTTGTTTGTAGACCGGGACCGTCATTACTTGCTTCGCCCTTTTGATACAAATACTAACGCTTAGCTCTCCCCATGAAGTTGGCTTACTTATCGGACCTCGTGGCAACACGTTGAAGAAAATGGAAACTGAATCTGGTGCCAAGATTGCTATTCGTGGCAAGGGCTCCGTTAAGGAGGGCAAGGGCCGTTCGGACGCAGCTCACGCCAGCAACCAGGAGGAGGACTTGCATTGTCTCATTATGGCCGACACAGAGGAGAAGGTCAACAAGGCCAAGAAGCTCATCCACAACGTCATTGAAACGGTAAGTTTATCATTTCCTTTCGCCCCTGGCTTCATCCTTTGGCGCACGCTAACCTCTTGCCATCAGGCCGCCTCGATTCCCGAGGGACAGAACGAGCTCAAGCGTAACCAGCTTCGTGAGCTCGCTGCTCTCAACGGTACTCTCCGTGACGACGAGAACCAGGCCTGCCAGAACTGCGGCCAGATTGGTCACCGCAAGTACGATTGCCCCGAGAGACAAAACTACACGGCCAGCATCATCTGCCGTGTCTGCGGTAACGCAGGACACATGGCCAGAGATTGTCCCGATCGCCAGAAGGGTGCCAGCTGGCGTAACGACGGCGCTGGAGCCGGAAGAGGACCTGCCGGCCGCATCGGAAGCGGCGACGCCGTCGACCGCGAGTACGAGGTATGTTGTATTCAAATCCCTTATAGCCACATGCATGCTAACTCGAGCAGCAACTCATGCAAGAACTCGGCGGTGGCTCCAGTGGTGCTGCCCCTGCGCGCATCGAGGCCGGCCCCGGCTCGTACAACAACAGCAACAACGGCCCCAGTGGCGATGCCAAACCCTGGCAACGCGGCCCGACTGGTGGCCCTGCACCCTGGCGCAGCCGCAACAACGACTCGCGCGACGATCGCGACCGCGATCGCGACCGCGACGGTGGCGGCGGCGGCGGCGGCGGTGGTGGTGGCGGCTCTGCTCCTTGGGCCCGTGACCGTGGCCGCCGCGATGATCATGGTGGGAATGGCGGCGACAGCTACTACGGTCAGGGCTACGGTGGACAGTCCTCCGGTAGTGCACCTGGAGCTGCTCCCTGGCACCAGCCTCCCGGGACTCAGAACAACGGTTATGGCGGTTACGGTGGCTACGCCGGATATGCCGCTCCTCCTGGAATGAGCGCTGCCCCTGGCATGGGCGCTCCTCCTCCACCTCCTCCTGGTGCTCCTGGTCTCGGAGCCCCTCCTGGCTTGGCTGGTGGTCTTAACGCTCTCATTCAGCAGTATGCTGGTGGCGCTCCGCCGCCGCCGCCCTCCGACAATGCACCTCCTCCACCCCCCAGCGATCAGCCTCCTCCGCCCCCCCCAGGTGCCTAATTCGAAACTTGACCCATGTGGTGGATAGCAGACGACTAACAGGACCCTGACGGGTATACGCCGACTAACGATGGACTAACAACCAAGGATTCATTATGACTTCCAGGTTGCTGATCTTCTCAACCTTCGTTTCCCGCGAAGTATACAATGGAGAAACTGACGGTGCGAATAAAATTGTACGATAGACTGAAAGTAGGCACTAATCTACAGGGTCGATTGACTTCCATAGCATGGAGAATAGTTTATCCATTACTCTTGAATTCAATTTAGTTTCATGCGGTTTATTTCCCCCTTGTAACAGACCTAGCCCAAGCGCTGTCTCGTAGTCGGACCTGAGTTCGAAAGTCGAGCATTGGCTTAGATGACGATGGTGAAAAGCTTGGTGAGAGCTCTGCCATTTAAGTGACTTGGCCTGCTTCCAGTGCCTTAAAGGCAACAGTTATGTATAGTTGCCCCCGGGACGAAGAAGGCATCATAAAGCCACTGCTAAGCCAGCCAGCCAGCCAGTCGTAGGCTGCATGATAAAAGGTGCAGCTGCATTATAACCCCGCATTAATGACATCCATATTGCAGGCTACAGGCTGTAGTAGGCGCTGTGGTGGACGCCTATGGTGGGAACTGGGACTCGGAAAGGGGCCTAAGAGGGAGCTTGGGCCACCTTCTGCGCAAGGAAATGTATGCTGTGCATCATCCCACGCAAGATACGGATACGGGGCAGCGGCGCTGTTGTGTCCCAGATCTGGTATGACGCCTTTCTTTTCGTGGTCGATTCCTCCCACCCGTCAGCTTCTTATACCAACCATTCGCCGACAACCATTGTTTACGGCGTTGATTGTTTCTGCGACGTTGAGTCTCTGTTAATCGTCGCTTTTATCCTTCTCCATCCTTTCCGAAACTACCGATCCTCATCGCCAGCGACGCCTACGACAGCTATGGCTGTCAACCCCTTCGGGTTTACGACGGGACCGGTCACCTTCTGGTTGATTGTGGTCTACGCTGCATTCCTCATTCCTCTTGTTTGGATTCACGAGAGCGTCCCGTCTGTTAAGAAATCGCCTCAGGGACTGAATGTGACTGAGGCCTGGCACGACTTGACGACCATCACGAAGCAATACCATCCGTACAATAGCCGCGCTAATGAGGATGTTGGCAACTATCTTGTGAAGAGAATCGAGGAGATCCTAAATCGGAATGGAATCGACTGGACTAGGGAGAAGGATGCTGGTGGTATTGTTCGGGCGAAGTCGAACGATCGTGCGTAAGTGCTTCCATGTGATGATCCTGGCGGGGAGAGAGGGGCAGAAGACCGAGGACGTTCGGAATTGGCTCGGACTTGCTACAGATGGCGTTAGTTTCTGCTGGCCCTCTCAACGCGTTTCAATCGAGCTCATTCTCGTTGCTTTCTCGGGCCCGTAGTTAAAAGACCTTTCCGGCTAACATGAGAGATGCAGAGAGACACCTGCTAGAGCGGACGCCATCGAGAGAGCGTCAAATGGTCCCTTGGTCACAGTCTTTGATGATACGATTTCGAACGTCACGTACGTGAACACAGGCGGCAATTTGGGTACAAACCTAGGCCCTATTGGACCTGGTCAGGGCACCTATTTTGAGGGCACCAACAAGATCGTTTACATTCGAGGCACCGAGGATGAGGACGGCGAGTGGTGGAAAGGTGAGGGTCGTGCCGTTGGCAAGGGTGGTGTCCTCGTCAACGCCCACTATGACAGTGTCTCTACTGGCTACGGTGCGACCGATGATGGCATGGGATGTGTGAGTGTGCTCCAAATTCTCAACTACTACACAACCGAGGGCCACCAGCCGAAGCGCGGAATCGTATTACTTCTCAACAACGGCGAGGAGGACGGTCTGTACGGTGCGAGAGCATACGTCTACAGTCCTCTATATTACTTTACCACCACGTTTGTTAACCTCGAGGGCGCTGGTGCCGGTGGGCGAGCGATTCTCTTCCGGACAACCGATTTGGAGACCGCCAAGGCTTACTCCCATGCCCCTCACCCCTTTGGCTCCGTTGTTGCTGCCGACGGATTTAAGATGGGCTTCATCAGGAGTGCCACTGATTATTCAGTATGGACGGAAAATTTTGGCCAGCGCGGCCTTGACATCGCGTTCTATCGCCCGCGAGCGCGGTACCACACTAACCAGGACGACACCCGCCACGCATCTCAGAAGAGTTTGTGGCACATGTTGTCCAACTCTTTTGCAGCCGTTGATGCTCTCCAGAAAGACACAAGCAGCTTCGTTAGCAAGCGTCATGGCGGAGACAGGCGAAAGGTGTCAAGCGGTTCCGGAACTGACGGCGTGTGGTTCGACATGTTTGGACAGGGCTTTGCCGTTTTGGAGCTTAGAGGCCTCTTTGCATGGACTTTGACTCTGCTTATTGTGTCACCGCTAATCCTCGCTCTTGTCACCTACATTCTGGCAAGGCAAGATAAATACTACCTCTTCTCTGCAAAGGTCAAGCTAGAAGACGACGACGAATCCATTTCTCTTGGAGGCTGGAAGGGCTTTTTCAGGTTCCCGCTCGCTTTTGTGTTCTCGGCTGCGCTGACGATTGCCTCTGCTTTCTTGATCCGCAGAGTCAACCCTCACATCATCTACAGCAGTGACTACGCAGTGTAAGTAACTCTAACTCTTCTGGCCCGCACAAACAAGTGCTAACAACTGCAGTTGGGCAACGTCACTGTCCCTGTTCTTCGCCAGCTTCTGGGTCATTTCGAGAGGTGCTAGCGCAGTTAGGCCGAGCGCTCTCCAGCGAGGTTACGCCCATATTTGGCTCTTCATCATTAGTTGGGCTATTCTAGTTATCGTTACCGTCTTCGCAGACAGGTTCAGGATCGCCTCAGGTTACCCTTTTGCCTTCTTCCACTCTGCCGTTTTTGTTACGACGCTCATCAGCCTCTTGGACCTTTTTGCGCTACCGACCAAGCAGGACTATGCGCAGGCCACCTTTGATGACCAGCAGGCCAGGGACCAGATTGCTGAAGTTCCTAACTCTGATGCACTAATTTCTCCTGGACCGAACGAGGGCGTCAGCCGTACTACCGAGGAAGAACACCACGAGGAGCCTTCGGAAACTACCGCCCTGTTGAGCGGAGAGAATGGAACTCATGGAACAATCCGTACGACTTTCACATCTGGCTACCGGCGTTCTATTTCTGCCATCATGAGCCATCATGACGAGGATACCAAGAATGAACCCAAGCCGTACGAACAGGAGCAGCAGTGGTCTACAAAGTTGCCATCGTGGACCTGGTTCATCCAGCTTCTCGTACTTGCCCCAATTACCATCATTGTCTTTATCCAACTTGGCCTCTTCATGACGGCCGCGATTCAATCAACCAGCGCCGACGGCAAGGACCCCTTGCTCACTTACGTGTTGATTGCTTTCTTCAGCATTGCAATCCTTCTGCCCGTTACCCCCTTCATCCATCGGGCCACGTTCTACTTGCCTTTGTTCCTGTTCTTCATCATCGCCATCAGTCTCATCTACAACCTGGTCGCTTTCCCATTTTCCCCGAATAACCGTTACAAGGTTTACTTCCAGCAAGTGGTTGATTTGCAGGAGGGCTCGTCATTGGTGAAAATCACCGGCATCGAGGAGTATGTTCGGAGCATGATCGATGAACTTCCTTCAGCTGCAGGCCAAATCCCTCACTGCGAAGAGTCTACCAGGGGGTTACTTTCGACATGTAGCTTCGATGGAGCCACAGTGCCGCCCAAGATCACAGCCGATCTTTTTACCGATTTCTCGAAGAACAAGTATGCAGACCTTGTTACGGTCAACATCAGCCGCTCGGACTCAAACAAGTACAAAGCTACGTTGGATATCGACGCCAAGGAGTCCAAGACGTGTACCCTGGTGTTTGACACCCCGATTACCACCTTCTCTATTCGCGGAAGCCCTGGCATTGAGCCTGTATTGGGAGCGCTGCCTGAATCCGGAGTCGAAGGCATCACATTGTGGCGAAGAGATTGGTCCAAACGTTGGGTGGTTGATATCGAATGGTCGTCGTCCTCATCGTCATCGGAAAAACCCAAGGGGAAGATCTCGTGTGACTGGAGCGATGCCAACGTTCTGGGAACCATACCCGCGTTCGACGAAGCCTTACAGTATGCTCCCGACTGGATTGCTGTCACCAAATATGCCGTTGGCCTTGTTCAAGGTGTCCAGAAATTCTCGGTCTAAGAAATGACCTCCTACGGGTGCTGGTTTGGCGTGGGCTTTGTTTTTCCTTATTGTTTGCAGCACGGATGGCAACATTGTTGTGTCGCTTGGCGTTTGTGCATAGTTGCATTAGGTGTGTGCCTTTAGTTGTCATTCAGCACGTACTTGTTATGAGACACGCATAGTCATCGGTCGACACGGTACGGACGAGGATGGAAGGAGGAATATTTAGTAATGAAGCAGACGTTATCCTATAAAAACTGCAACTGTCTGGGCTTTCCTTAAGCAGTGCCCTGCCGTTTTTCTAAGCTTCTTGTTGGATGTCAATTCTTTCGGTGACAATGGGGTATCTTGATCTGAAAAATAAGCTAGATGAAACAACAGCCATGAAGTAGAACTTACTCTACACTTTTGTTTTTCATGTTCTCATGGGGATTTAAATTCCGAGGCCCTTTTGGCCTCTGCGAATAAATGAGTTTTGGGCAGCCTTGACGTAGGGCTTACTGCTGCATCATATCTCCAGCTCCCGCCTGCTCATCTGCGTGATACTTTTCAAGAAACTCCCTCATCTTGGCCCACAGCTCAGCCTCCATGTCGCGCTCGACCTTATTGTTGCGACTGTTGAGCCAACCGACATCGAGGTTGCCAATGTTACCGACGCCATTGGGCTCCAAGGAAGGCCTGGCCACAATCTTGGCATCCTCATTCATAACGACTTGCCTGCCTTCCTTGGAGGCGTCATTGCGAAGCTTGATGATGCCGGCTTCCTCGAGACCCATAATCTGGCGCTTCATGTGGACGTCTACCGTGTGAAGTGTGGAAAGCAGGGAGTCCATGGAGGATTTGAAAAGTTGTTTTTGGTCTTCCGGGGAGACTACTTCTGGTGATGAAGATGAAGACGTTTGAGGCTTGTTGCTGAGGGCGGACATGGCGGATGAGGTGTGGTTCATCAACTGGACTATGTTTTTGTCTATATCGCAGAGCTGTTTTATGCGTTCTTCGAGGGTGAACGGCTCGTGAATGGGTTCGTCGGTTGTCATTGTAGTATCAGCCATTTTTTACCAGGCTCTTGGTGTCTGATACGTGGTGCTAAAGGGGCAGCGCTGTTGAGGTGTACACTCTGGTGGAAGTTGACAGTGAGATGAGTGGACGATTTAGATGGTGAATCCCAAAAGGGTACAATTGAGATGTACCGCGTTGCACGGAAAATGCGGGTCCGACCTTGGAAGCTTATTCAGTGATTGGGGAACCCGGATAGCGCTACTACGAAAGTGGATTAGCGGCAATGTGGATGGATATTTTCCGTGACCAACCTCTCTTCCTCGACTTTGTAGCCTTGCAGGGGAGATTGAGCCTCACTCATCGGACGCGACAATCATCGAATTCATCAAACTCATCCCAACAAACCCGCTCCAAGGGCCCAGGCCAGTAGTATTGTAATAGTTTCATTATAGGTGTTGTTATAATCGGGACTCTTTTTCATTCAAGTCGCCCCTTCTGATCTTGGCGCACCGTCGCGACGCCAGCGCACCCATTCGACCTTGACGAACTATGGACCATCGGTTTTAAGAAGTAACGAACGGTATAAACATCAAAGTAGACTTACCTTGACGGAAGGAACGAAGCAAGATGTCAGGAAACGTCGGCCAGCCTGGCACCGGTGCCACCCCGGGCGCTCCTAACGCGGGAGCCGCGTCTGGCACTTACCAACAACCCGCGTCGACAACACCAGGTGCTCCAGCTCCCGCGACAACACCTGCACCTGCACCAGCTACTACGCCTGCGCCAGCACCGGCACCAGCGACCGCACCGATGTCTAATCAAAACCTAAATCAAATTGTAAGCGTCTTTTTGTTAAATGACTTGAACTGTTGAGGAAGGAGCGTGTGCGTGGGTGGGTGAGGTTCGATCCTTCCGTGATGGCAAGCAGCGAGAGGATGGTGAAGTGAGGTGAGAAGCCCCAATCGGCGCGGCACCGCCGATTGCCACTGTGAGTTATTGAAACGGAATGCTGTATTTTGAAAATTCGGCATTTCGTGGAAGGTACTCTCCTTGAACACGTGGTTCGGTCTCGTGGCCTTGGTTACCCAACCATCACAACCATTACCAACTGCTTGTCATCACATCGGCATCGCCATATAAAAATTCTCCTGTATCAACTGTAGCAACGTATTTTATTTTTGGCAGAAATGCAGTCTCAGCATAGTTCTACGGAACAGCCAGACAGCGCAAGGGAGCGGTCAGTCACGGTGGCGGCAGAGGGCAGCTCACAGGAAGATATACTTGCCTCGGAGAGGAACAGAGTGAAAATTCATCAGTTGTTTCATCGCTGGTCGGGTCCTTTTTGCTGACGACATTTCTAGGTTACGGATTACCTGCTAAAGAGAGGATACACGCGGACTGAAACCATCTTCCGCCAAGAATCAAGTCACTTGGGTCCGGATGGCAGGCCTATTCACAACAAGGTGGATGACTTGGGCCCTAAGAAGTATCTGAAGGCTTTCAACTTGCTGCGCGAATGGGTTGAAAACAACCTCGACATCTACAAAGTACGTCTTCAGTTATCGTCCATCGGACTAGTCTAACCTTTCGCAGTTCGAACTGAACAAGCTTCTTTGGCCTGTCTTCGTCTACTCATGGCTCGAATTGGTCACGCAGGGCTACTCAGAGGACGCCAAGACCCTCCTCAATACTTTGAAGCCCTATTTCGAGAGCATTCACGCCGACGACCTCAAGACTTTCTCCACCGTTACTCTACCTCTGCACGCCAAGGAGAACCCGACTACCAAGCTGTACCGTGAGAGCAAGTACCGCATCCCCCTGAACCAGCATGTTAGCGGCAACCTCTTCCACTTCCTTGAACGCGAGCGGGACAATGGGGGTGCCGTCATCACTTATATCCTCCAGACCTTCTGCCAGCTGGACTCCACTGCTCGCGGGCCTATTGAGCCGTTCAGCTTCGAGGCGATTTACCGTCGCAGCCAGAACCTAGACTTTGATGAGGTGGACTTGCAGGAAGGCATCCCTGGCGTCTTTACAGGAATCTCCAACCGTGACCTGCTGGATAAGAGCGTCCCTCTGAAGCTTGGCCCTCTGCCCATGGAGGAGGATCTCCGTGACGACGTGCGAGCCGAGCTTCAAGACGAGGACCAGATTAACCCCCCACCCGAGGGCCGACCTACCCTGGTCGAGGAATTTGATCGGAAGATCAAGCGCGAGGAGAGTGCGGATGGTCCTACCAGAGCTGACCTGCCTCTTCCTCCGTCCCGCGCTCGAGACGTCGTAATGGAGATGCAGAAAGTTAGGGAAAATCGTGATCGTTTCAGGATCGACGGTCGCTCTGGTGGCGTTGGTGTTCCTGTCAGCGCATGCATGTTTACGTTTCACAACACCCTTGGAAGGTTGGTCAAATCCCTTCTATGATGTTATACTCGACTGACAAAACAGTGTTTCATGCATGGACTTCTCTCACGACCACGAGATGGTTGCTGTTGGCACTACAGATTCGTACATCCGCGTTTGGCATCTGGAGGGCAAGCCCTTGAAGTCAAAGCGAGCTGACGAGAAGGACTTCAAGTTCAACAACCGTAAACTCATTGGCCACTCTGGCCAGGTTTTCTCAGTTTCCTTCTCCGACGCCATCGCTAAGCTCGAGCACGCCCCATTCGGCGAGGAGGGCAAGGGAGAACAACCCATCGAGACCAGTTCGAAGCTGCTGCTTTCTAGCTCGGCTGACGGCACTGTCCGCATCTGGTCACTGGACATTTGGGCCTGCGTTTGCGTCTTCAAGGGCCACGATGGCCCCGTTTTGAGGGCAGTCTGGGGCCCTCATGGTCACTATTTCCTGACGGGTGGATGGGACAAGACGGCGCGCGTTTGGATGCAAGATCACGCATCTGCTCAGCGTATCCTCGTCGGACACGATTCGAGCATCTCCGCCGTTGCTTGGCATCCTAACGGTACCTACGTCTTCACTGCGTCCGACGAGACCGACAAGTCGGTTCGCATGTGGTCGGTTGTCACAGGCCAGTGTGTCCGAGTCTTCACGGGCCACACAGATTACATCTCGGCGCTGGAGTGCGCACCGAACGGCAAGATTTTGGCCAGCGCCGACAACAGCGGCAACATCTTCTTCTGGGATATCCAAAGGGGCAGCCGCATCAAGAGATCCCGCGGCCATGGCAAGGGCGGCATCTGGTCCATGAGCTTCAGCGTCGAGTCTAACGTGCTCGTATCTGGTGGGCAAGATGGCACAGTTCGCGTCTGGGACGTCGATCTGCCTGCCGAGGGCCACAAGGTGGTTCAGCAGCAACAAGGAACGGCGCCCACACAGGAAGGCGGCGACACCATTGTCGCTGCAACAGGGCAGACGGAGCGTCCGAACCCCGGCAATCAAGGGACTACAGGTGGCGGCTCCAACGCCCCGAGTGGTAGCAAGAAGAAGGGCAAAGAGGTGATGATTACGCCCGACCAGATCAGCGCGTTCCCGACCAAGAAGACGCCAGTCATGAAGGTGCAGTTCACACGTATGAACTTGATCGTGGCGGGCGGCTGCTACGACCCCGATCGCTGAACTACAAGGATTTCTGCCCAAAAGTATTCTTAGGTGGGTGAAATTAGAATTGCTTTCATCCAGTTTGGCGTTGGGGTCGTGGACGAGGCAAAGGGACGGCTTTTTGTAGGATAACTATTTCGGACAGCACATACTCTTAGCTGTCTCTGTAAATCAGAAATGAAAACTAGTAAATACCTCAGCTGTAGCACTCCAACTGTGACTCTTCTGTTTGCACTGGCCCCCAAAAGCTGTCATGTAGCCTGCCTCTACTAGTATGTCATGGTGCCCTGAAGAGGCACGCTAGCCCGGCGATTAAGCACTGGGCCGGCGGAGTTACAGGGGGCCGCCTTTGAGTCGTGAGGGGCTTCTCCCACTTGGACCCAGTGGCTGAAGCTCCCAAAGAGCGGCAGCGAATCACATGGTGCGGAGCAGCTGGTACCTTCGCATTGAGCGTCAGTAAGACCAGAACCGGTGCCTTGCCGTGCTGCGTAACCACCACCACCACCACCACCACCTATCGACATTCCACCTACTCCCCAAATGTTTGCGTGGTTTTGATTTCGTCGACGCCAATTTATTTCCACGAGTATCCAAGCAACCGCGCCAGGCACACACGTCAGCATGGATCCCCTCGAAGAATCGCCATGGGGCGATTCGCAACCTAACTCCGAACCCTCCTCGCAACCGCCGTCCCAGAATGAGCCGGCATCGACATCGCAGGACTCAGCCAAGTCAGAGGCACCCGCTACGACTTCCGCACCCCGTCCGTCACGTTCCGGACCTGTCCGCCGGCTAGTAGCCCAGCCAACCCGTCTCGAGGCCGTAGATGACCCTCTCGGCCCTCTGGGTCCCCTTGGCGCTCCCGCCGCCGCCGACAATGGTGGCGACGCGGGCCAGGACGCTCCGCCCGTCCCGCCCCAGAAGGAACAAATGGTTATCCGCACCACGATGCCGACCCAGCAGGCCCGGCGCTCTGGACCGGCCGACCCGCACCACATTGACGAGGACGACTACGACCGCCCCTCGGGCCCGAGACAGCCGCCGCCCGTTCAGGCTGCGCATCCCAGTCCCGTCCGGACGCATACCCAGCCCAGCGTGAGCGTGGAGCAGGCTAGCAAACCGAGCTTCCAAATCACAGTGGGCGACCCGCACAAGGTTGGCGACTTGACAAGCTCGCATATCGTTTATTCTGTGCGGACCAAGGTGAGCATACCGGAATATCTTGGGCGTGAGGGTTAAGGATGGCGCTAATGCTGCATAGACGTCCTCCAAGGCCTACAAACAGGGGGAGTTCGAGGTCAAGCGCAGATACCGTGACTTCCTGTGGCTTTACAACACCCTTCATGGCAACAACCCGGGAGTTGTCGTGCCACCTCCGCCAGAGAAGCAGGCCGTCGGTCGCTTCGAGAGTAACTTTGTTGAAGGACGGCGGGCTGCTCTCGAGAAGATGCTGAACAAGACCGCGGCTCACCCCACGCTGCAGCACGACGCCGACCTGAAACTGTTCCTCGAGAGCGAGTCGTTCAACGTTGATGTCAAGCACAAGGAGCGGAGGGAACCGATCCCGGGTGAGAGCAAGGGTGTTCTCGGAAGCCTGGGAATCAGCGTCGGCAGTAGCAACAAGTTTGTTGAGCAGGACGATGTAAGTTATCGTGTGACAGTCTACGTGGGCTACGTCTGACAATTCCAGTGGTTCCACGACCGCAAGGTCTACCTCGACGCCTTGGAGAACCAGCTCAAGGCGCTGCTCAAGGCCATGGAGTCAATGGTTGGCCAGCGCAAGATGATGGCCGAGGCCGCCGGAGACTTCTCGGCGTCCCTCCACGCGCTGTCTACTGTGGAGCTCTCGCCGTCTCTCTCAGGACCCCTGGACGCGCTGTCGGAGCTCCAGCTTACCATTCGCGACGTCTACGACCGCCAGGCGCAGCAGGACGTCCTGACTTTTGGCATCATCATCGAAGAGTACATCCGTCTCATTGGCTCGGTCAAGCAAGCTTTCGGACAGAGACAAAAGGCCTTTTACGCGTGGCACTCGGCAGAGTCTGAGCTACAGAAGAAGAAGAACAGCCAGGACAAGCTCCTGCGGCAAGGCAAGAGTCAGCAGGACAGGCTGAACCAGGTCAGCGCCGAGGTGGCCGATGTAGAGAGAAAGGTGCACCAGGCCAGACTTCTGTTCGAGGACATGGGTCGGCTGATGAGGGCGGAGCTGGACCGCTTTGAGCGGGAAAAGGTTGAGGACTTCAAGAGCGGCGTTGAGACGTTCTTGGAGAGCGCGGTGGAGGCACAAAAAGAGGTAAGCTGCCCGCCGCAAAATGAAATCACAAGGACACAGGCTCACATTCGCAGTTGATTGAAAAATGGGAGACGTTCCTGATGCAGCTGGACGCCGAAGACGACGAGACGGTCTTTTACCGGCCGCCCGTCATCCAGGCATCGGGCAAGCCGCCTGGCAACACGGCCATCGACAGGGCTCGTGCCACCATCAACGACGACTCCGACTAGAAGACCGAGTTATGGCGCATACAGGTTTCTTACATCATCCCTACATCGCGAGGCACCGGGTACTACATTTTTTGAGGCACCAGCGGGCTGGACCGAGTGAGAACCAGAAAAAAAAAATTAGGGCTGGAACAAGCGCATGTGTTGAGCCTTTCTTGGTTGTTGTGTTGTTTGTTTGTTGTTGTACATATATGACAGTAGAGACCCCAGGGGGTGTTATAGGGCTCCCATAATCCGCCTGTCCGACCACTTCTTCCCGCCCGAACCTTTGGGCGCTCTGAATCTCACACATCTTTTTCTTTTACCATCCATCCATGCATCGTACAAGCTCCATGTGGTAAATCGTTCCTCCATTCCTTCCACGCTCCTTTACTTCTTCTTGCCCTTGACGGCGTCTGCCTTCTTGGGCTTGGGCTTCTCCTCTTGAGCGGGCATGGCAGCCGCGTAGCCGCTGATCAAGTCACCCAGGTCGTAGGGATCCTCTTCGGGGGCGGCGGCGGCGGCGGCAGTAGATTTGCTGGTTTCGGCGGCGGCGGCTGCTGCTGCTGGGGTCTCCTCGGGGTTGGCGTCGGCGGCCAGATCGAAACCGCGACCGAAACGCTCACGGAAGGCGGCGAGCTTTCCGGCCTCGTCGACCTCGACGTTCTTGAGGGACTGGTCGGTGGGCTGCCACAGGGCGTGGTTGCGGGTGTCCTTTGCGGAGCGGACGAGGGGGGTCGGGGAGGTGGAGCGGAGGGTGAAGGTGCTTCCGTCGGAGAGCTGGACCATCTGGGTGAAGGTGTAGGGGCGCCTGGGGCGGGGGACGAAGGTTGCGGCGCGGGACTGGATGTGGGATATCGTTTGGGGCGTCGACGAGTTGTATGCGCTTGGCGAGACCGAGGATGTTCTTGAGGGGAGGACGGAAGGTCGGTGGGCGAGGAGGCTCGACGGCCTGGGGAGGTGGGTTGGAAGTTTGCCCATTTTATGTATTGGTTGTCTGAGAGGGCCAATTGCGATTCTACGAGGATATAGGAGAGCGGCGGAGGTGGCGCAATTGGAGGTCGGCGCACGCTCGAGGGAGGCGTGGGATTTCTATGGCGATGCGCTTTTGGCGTGAGGATTGGGAAAGCTCCTGGATGGCGTCGTTTTCCTTTCGCGTACCAAAATTTCGGTTCGGGAGCCGGGGAGTTCCGTGCACGGTACACCTCACTACTACTACTACTAGGTGAGAGAGAGTGTGTGAGTGAGCGCCCGGGGGGTGGTGGATGGGTGGGCTTATCGATAAGGGAATTTTCTGGGCGGGTTTTTAATTATGGGATTTACATCACTGGAGCTTAGCTATCATACAGGGACCCTCCCAAAGACATACTACCTTTTACAGCACGAAGGACGAATAACGAATTGGAGAGCCGGATCACCAGGCTCTTTTGTATTATTTCAAAAAGAATCAATTCCTTGAATTTAAGGGAATTGTGGACTTGTATAACCCGAGACTCGAAGGGCGGGAAATGGTACGGGGCATGCAATGAGCGGAGCTCGTGTGCTAGCGAATGTGCTGTGCCGGGCCGGGCGGGCGAAGACAGGCGGGCAGGGAGCGTGGAGGGCTGTTGCTGGTGGTAGTGAGTTGATTCTACTGCGGGCTTTTTTTTCTACATGTGATGATTTTCTCTGACGTGTAATAGCCCAGATATGCCCTTCAACAAGGTCACAATGGCTCGTCGGCCGTTACGCATCCTCCTCCGAGCCCCGAGCATTACACACATCTACCTGCCAAAGGTCCTCGGCATGGCGCACAGAACGGTCGCAACCGCCGTCTACGAGTCTAAATCTCCAAGACGAGCTACCGGAGCAGCTCCGCGGGGTGATGCGCAGGCTGGCGCATTCCGTCGTCGTGTGCACCGCGACGGACAGGGACGGGCAGCCGAGGGGTATGACTATGTCGAGCTTCGTCAGTCTCAGCATGGACCCCGTGCCGCTCGTCACGTTCAACGTGAGAACGCCGAGCCGGACGCTGCAGGCTATACAGGACGAGAACGGGCTGTTTAACATTCATGTCCTCGCGGAAGGCACCGAGGGCGCGAGGGTTGCGGAGTGGTTCACGAAGGGGAACATGGGCGGCGAGGTGTTCAAGAACCTGCCTGGTGGTATCGAAGTCGCGGAGGAGGATGGGGAGGCGCCTGTACTCGAGGGCAAGGGTGTGCTATTTGTGCTCAAGTGCCAGGTTCTCGGGGAAGGACTGGTAAGAGTCAGGGACCACGTCGTTGTCGTGGGAGAGGTGAAGGGGGTTGTTAGAGGAGATGGCCAGGGATTCGGGCTCGTCTATGCTGATAGACGGTATCGGACTCTCGGGGATGTTTTGGTGAAAGAAAACTGAAGGGTCAGTAAATTTGCGGGAGATATGTTTAGGGAATGTAGAATACCATGTATAGAGATGACGGATAGAGTGTATAATAGGGGGGGAAAATATCCACACATCATTTTCAGACAAAAGATGGTTGGTTGAAGGCTATTTTTGGGAGAGCAAATTCAACATTGGGCATATCGCGCAGTTGCGTATTATGGCTATTTTGCGCAAGCCGACGTTTGTCATGCCGCAATGACTATTCAACCATGGCCTCAGTCAATGGGACGTCAATCGACGAACGACGTTCCGTTTCATTCATGTCCTCATCGTAGAGGCCGCCATTGCGATGCAACGATCGTCTTCGGCCAAGTCCGTCTCGCCCATTATCGCACCCCCCAATTCAAGCGGCGATGACGTCCTTTTGGGTGTGTTCCAGAACACCTCGGCAATCTTAAAAGTTGCGACCCTCAGAAGTGCTGCGGCTTACGTCTAGCGACGTCTTTTTTTTGTGACTCTGTAGGACGTAGGAGGTTTTACGAGCAGCACCGATGAGGGATAGCGCGGGATGGTTCATGCAGGTGCTAAGCACCCGAGTTGGGGTCCGTAAGGCTGTGACCCCCGCCGAAAGACGGTTTGGCTGCCAGTTGTCGGTGGTGTGGTGTTCTGCCGGGGAAGGGTTTCGGTTGCCTCTTGGGGACGGTAACGACGTCGACGACGACGACAAGGGATGAGTCTCCGGCGAGGGAGGGAGAGAATCAGTCAACCTTGGATCTACTTGGGCTTCTCAGGATGCCGGGGTTCGTGAGTCGGGAGTCAATGATGTGGAGGTTCATTGGTTGGTTGTGAAATGGGCCTGGGCTGTGGGTACGTGGTGCAGGAGATGTATGTGTTTACGGCGGCGATGATGATGGCAGGGAGAGGCCTCTTGTAGCTTGTTTTGGGTACCTCTCACTTACACGAGTTGAAATGATGATATAAGTTGAGAGAAGATCTCGGGTTGGAATTGATTTTGAATAACAGCACAAGCAAGAACACCAAAGAAAGACAAAGTAAAGCGAGGAGAGAAGTTAACGACAGTAACTACAGCAATAGCAACGACAAGCAACATCTCAAGAGATAATCGCATACCTTGGGAAAAATGAGTTACGGATCGCATCACAAAAAGTCCCGGCGGTCTCATGTCGAACAGCCAAGGGCAGCAATCGTCATAGTTCCAGACGCCTGGTGTCTTCCTGGCCACTACGAAGGTCTCGCAGAAGCCTGCCGAACGCTAGGCTCCGAGGCTGTTGTCGTTCAACACCCGTCTACCTGGGGCCCCTCAGGTGAGGGGGTGACGCCGAGTCTTTACGACGATGCGGCGAACGCGCGACAGACCATTGAGGGTCTAGTCCGCGGTGGGAAGAAAGTTCTTGTCGTGGCGCACTCATACGGCGCCGTCGTGGCATCTGAAAGCGTCAGAGGTTTGGGAATGGAAGAACGAGTGGGCGTCTCGCGGGGAGGGGTTGTGAGGATGCTCTTCATTGCGGGCATCGTGCCGTGGGAAGGGGAGAGCGTCAACGAGGCGACTAGGGGCTCGTTGGGGATTGGTCCTCCGGACGGTGTCATGGTGAATCTCGTCATTGTCATTCAAGAGCCGCTGAAGAGAAGCTAATGTTTGACACACACACACAGGGTGGCTTCATGTATCACAGCTACGAGAAGATGGCGGCGTCGTTTTACTCGAGTCTGCCGTTCGACCAGGGCATTGCACATGCCACAACAACAAACGCCATGCAGTCGGCCCGCACATTTCAGGACCGACTGACATACGCCGGTTACAGAGGTATTCCAGTCACGTATATGCTGACCGGAGCGGACCGGGTGGTGTCGCCGGCGCTGCAGGAGCAGTTCGTCGGCGTTGTGGAGGCCGAGGCCGGGCGGGCGGTAGACGTTGTCCGGTATCCGGTTGATCACTGCCCGGCGGTGACGATGCCGGATGCGGTTATCGATTGCGTGAGGAGAGCGGCTGGAGCGGAGGGGTATCCGAATTGTACATGGCTTTAAGGAGCTTTTGTGCAAGGGGGGGTGGAGGGGTGTGGAGTGTAAGTGAGGACTGGAATTGGCATGTTTAATCAGGTATAGTTAAAGCCGTTTTTTTCGGGATGGTTTTTTTTTTTTCAGCTGCTTTTTTTAGATGGGTATTTCTAGAAACATCCATGCTCTGCGGGACCATTGCATGGAAACTGCGGGTTAATTTGTTTGCAGGCTCAAATGAATAGAACAAGGAGTCTTGTCATGGATATGGCACTGAGATCTGAATTAAGGGAGAGAATCGTTGCTATCACCTCTGAATTAGTTCGTCAGGCTTCCTCAGTCTGAAGATGGGGAAAGTGAGTCAAGGGAGAAATGGTAGGTGATGGCAGTTCTAGGGCCACCAGAAAGAGGGAGGAGAGTGGTGTGGTTGGCTCATGTCGGCCGTGCTTACGCCATGTTTGTTTTCTACTATTCATTGGAAGAAGAAGAAAAAGAAGCAGGCAGATGGCATACAGAGCAGGCAGCCAATCATTCTCGAGAGAAAGAAGCAAGCAAGGCAATCCTCCAACCCTGTTATTGAAAAGTCCTGAAGCGTGTTGTTGTACTTGATTAGATGCCTAAAGAGATGTCGAGGTTGCAAAAAGATTTGGACCGTGCTACAACCCAACAACCCCACGCTCTACTACCAACTCCGTCGATGGGTTCGGCAAGGGGTACCGATGCGCTGGCAGAAGGCAGAAGGCAGATTCAGTTGGCAGACTCAGTGTTGGCGTTGAGGGTGTGTGCGATGTACGTGGCCACGGGTATGGGGAAAGGGACGCCTCACTTTCAGCCTCGCGGATAGGTGGAACTCAGGGAATTCAGGGACCTTTCTCTGGAGACTTGAGCTGTAGGGGAGGTACTAATTAGTTACCACAGATGTACATGTGCTGCACAGTAGGCGGCAGGCACCAGGCGCACCTAGAGACGGGATTGGGGACGGTGAGGAGGCGATGCCTGCGGCCCACACAGCCTGTCTCCTGCCTTCTCCGCCCTGCATCTAGAACCGCAGAGATTCAGAAAGTAGAACAAACTAGCAGATGATGGAATTTTCAGGAAGGCGTGAGGCTATTCAGAGAAAATATCCCCTAGAGGGGCAGAGGCGGTCCAGGCAACACTAAACAACACCAGGCCACTAAATGAAGATACCGTAAATGGCAACAAGGAGGGCAACTGCACGGATGGGCTTTCTCCACAGAAAGAGAGCGGGTCCCATCGCACGGGGGGGAAGGCAAGGACGTGGAAGGCAGAAGCTGTGAGCACCTGCTGAACCTGCACCTTGTGAGAAGGCGAAAAAGGCGAAAAGGCAGAAGGCGCCTTCCCATTCTCTGCTTTTCCATCTGGAAGGGGCCCCGTCCCACTGAGGAGGCCAATCACTGGCCAATCAGAGACCCTGCACGGTTGCCGTGGTGGCAGGGCAAGCGAATCAAAGAAGGGTCTGGAAGGCCTGGAGGTGATGGAATCGCATAGAATTTCTGAGCTGGGGGTGAGCGTCTCTGCTTTGGGCCTCTGGCGGTTTCTTTTTTAGCCTCCTCCTCCTTCCCCAAGTCTCAACCTTTTCGACTTTTTCTTCCTCGCATAACATCTTTCTCTCTTCCTTAACATTTCCTCTTCTCTCTACCAAATCAATCTCTATCTCGATCAGAGCAGCGAAAGACCTGCCAAATCGTAGAGAATTCATCCCGCAAGGTAAGCTGCGAACCTACCCTTCCCGGTGCTTTCAGCATCAAGAACACCACCCCTCATTCCCTATGTTTTTTTTTTCTCCTTCCTGGCTTGCCCTTGGCCGTCGCAATTTAGTGTCAGCCTCGTCGACGAGCTTCACCACCAGCAATCGCATTGCCTTTCTCTTGGTGATTTTGAAAGCCCCAGAGACTTTTTGCAGAATCTCGTTCTTGCTCGTCCCTGTCGAATTCGCCAATTTCACCCCGCCTACCCCGCCACCTCACCGCTCACCCCTGTTAGAACAATCAACTAACAATCCGTCTCAGAATCACGACCGTTACGCCTTTAGATACCCATATCCACCATCACAATGTCTGCCCCTGAGACTTTCGAGTTCCAGGCTGAGATCTCTCAGCTCCTGTCTCTCATCATCAACACTGTCTACTCAAACAAGGAGATCTTCCTGCGTGAACTTGTTTCCAACGCCTCCGATGCTTTGGACAAGATCCGCTATGAGTCCCTTTCCGACCCCAGCAAGCTCGACTCGGGCAAGGACCTGAGAATCGACATCATCCCCGACAAGGAGAACAAGACCCTCACCATCCGCGATACCGGTATTGGTTTCACCAAGGCTGTAAGTTCCTGCACTATATCCCCTGTGACCAACTTCATGAAGAGATGCTAATTGTCTTCCCACAGGACCTCGTCAACAACTTGGGTACCATTGCCCGCTCCGGCACCAAGCAGTTCATGGAGGCTCTGACTGCCGGTGCCGACATTTCCATGATTGGTCAGTTCGGTGTTGGTTTCTACTCTGCCTACCTCGTCGCCGACAAGGTCACCGTTGTCTCCAAGCACAACGATGACGAGCAGTACATCTGGGAGTCCAGCGCCGGTGGCACCTTCTCCATCACCCCCGACACCGAGGGTGAGCCCCTTGGCCGCGGCACCAAGATCATCCTCCACCTGAAGGAGGAGCAGACCGACTACCTTAACGAGTCTAAGATCAAGGAGGTCATCAAGAAGCACTCTGAGTTCATCTCCTACCCCATCTACCTCCACGTCACCAAGGAGACCGAGAAGGAGGTCCCTGATGAGGAGGCTGAGACCGTCGAGGAGGGTGACGACAAGAAGCCCAAGATCGAGGAGGTCGATGATGAGGAGGAGGACAAGGAGAAGAAGCCCAAGACCAAGAAGGTCAAGGAGACCTCCATCGAGGAGGAGGAGCTCAACAAGCAGAAGCCCATCTGGACTCGCAACCCCCAGGACATCACCCAGGAGGAGTACGCTTCCTTCTACAAGTCCCTCTCCAACGACTGGGAGGACCACCTTGCCGTCAAGCACTTCTCCGTTGAGGGTCAGCTCGAGTTCCGTGCCATCCTCTTCGTTCCCAAGCGCGCTCCCTTCGACCTGTTCGAGACCAAGAAGACCAAGAACAACATCAAGCTCTACGTCCGCCGTGTCTTCATCACCGATGACGCCACCGACCTCATCCCTGAGTGGCTCGGCTTCGTCAAGGGTGTTGTCGACTCTGAGGACCTTCCCCTCAACCTGTCCCGTGAGACTCTCCAGCAGAACAAGATCATGAAGGTCATCAAGAAGAACATCGTCAAGAAGTCTCTTGAGCTCTTCCAGGAGATCGCTGAGGACAAGGAGCAGTTCGACAAGTTCTACTCTGCCTTCTCCAAGAACCTCAAGCTTGGTATCCACGAGGACTCCCAGAACCGCAACATCCTTGCCAAGCTCCTCCGCTACAACTCCACCAAGTCTGGTGATGAGCTCACCTCCCTCTCTGACTACGTCACTCGCATGCCCGAGGTCCAGAAGAACATCTACTACATCACCGGCGAGTCTATCAAGGCCGTCACCAAGTCTCCCTTCCTTGACTCCCTCAAGGAGAAGAACTTTGAGGTTCTCTTCCTTGTTGACCCTATTGATGAGTACGCCATGACTCAGCTCAAGGAGTTCGAGGGCAAGAAGCTTGTCGACATCACCAAGGACTTCGAGCTCGAGGAGACCGAGGAGGAGAAGGAGAAGCGCGAGAAGGAGGAGAAGGAGTACGAGGGTCTTGCCAAGTCCCTCAAGAACGTTCTCGGCGACAAGGTCGAGAAGGTTGTCGTCTCCCACAAGCTCGTCGGCGCTCCTTGCGCCATCCGTACCGGCCAGTTCGGTTGGTCCGCCAACATGGAGCGTATCATGAAGGCCCAGGCCCTCCGTGACACCTCCATGTCCTCGTACATGTCTTCCAAGAAGACCTTCGAGATCTCCCCCAAGAGCCCCATCATCCAGGAGCTCAAGACCAAGGTCGAGAACGACGGCGAGAACGACCGCACCGTCAAGTCCATTGTTCAGCTTCTCTTCGAGACTTCTCTGCTCGTCTCCGGCTTCACCATTGACGAGCCCGCCAGCTTCGCCGAGCGCATCCACAAGCTCGTCCAGCTCGGCCTCAACATTGATGATGCGGAGGAGAAGACTGAGGGTGCTCCCGCCGCCGACGCGCCTGCCGTCGAGACCGGCGACAGCGCCATGGAGGAGGTTGACTAAAGGATCTTTGGGAAATAACGGGATACCAGAGAAAAAGTTCATTGGAGTTGGACGGTTTTCGGTTTTTTAAGGCTTCGGAATGTTTCCATAATTGCCCCCCATCTTATACGATGGGTGTATTCTAGCTAGCCCGTCATGATCATGAGACAGATGAGGTAGACGCCCAGAATTGGAACGGTTAAGACAATGCAATGATTTTTTGTGAATAAGTTTAAAGTCCATCTCAATACTTGTGACGATGTTGATGGTGAGGATACTAGAGAATTCCAACATGTGTACATGGTTCTGATAAAAGTCAGTGAGTACAGCACAAACAATCATCAAGCGCTTTGAAATTGCTGAACACAATGTTTTCAAATGATGCTGGGGAGGGTTTGACACTAGCAGCCCACCAATCTGTGTCGGTAAACTCAAGCTCAGCATACCTTCGTAGCAGTTTGACTCATCCCAGGTGCAGAAACTGGTACTGCCAACTAGAACCCCGCAGTGGGTGAATCTCGGCAGCCCGACCCCACCAACTATGAATATTCCACCTAAGCCAAGACGGCGCCCACTCCCCCTTGGGTTTCTGTCCAAACGAATCATAAGTCACCTTGCAGCCCCGATATGCATCAAGAAATCCTTGTTTAAGCTACACGCCCTTTTGGCTCAGTGGTAGAGCGTCGCACTCGTACGTACGTGATTATGCGAAGGTCCACGGTTCAATCCCGTGAGGGGGCAGCTTCTTTTGCTTTTGCGGTATCCGATGACTATTTCTTTACTTGACCAAGAAGCCATCAAAGCAAGCTATTTTGTTTTGCATATTTCGTGTATGATGGATGGATGCTATTCATCGGGTCTTTTTTTGATGACGATTCCTATCATTTTGTTATATCATTCATTGCCTTTTCAATCCAAGTCTGATCCAACTAACCAGCTACACATCAACAGCCAAGTCGACACTTTTCACCTCTAACCTTCTTTTTGCCTCCCTCCACCACTCCAGTCGATTTCTCTCCATCAACCAACAAAACATCGCACGGAACATCAATTGTTCCCTTGGTACCCTCGGGAGTCGTGAGTTCGGCCTCAAGCACATCATCCTTAAGCTCAACAACCGCTCCAAATTCACCTCCGCCGCCTGTCCATCCTGCTCTCGCGCTCTTCAAGTCACCCAGCGCAGGCTTAAAAACCCACTTCTTCCACCCGACAAGTTCCAACCCAACGGCCTTGAAACTAAGCGCCTGGGTAGGTCCGGTAGACCAGCTGTGCGAGAGCGAAGTGTATGCTGCGTCGAAGTTGTATCCCCGCTTTGAACGGTAGTACAAGGACCCGTTGGCACTCATGCCCTCCACGAGCGTCTCGCCCGTCATCAGCGGCGAGTCGAGCATGTACCCCCAAGTCCGCCGCATCAGTCTCAGCGCGCGACGGGGCTTGTTCGCCGTGTAGTGAGCCAGGACCTCGACGCTCGAGATGAAGGGGGAAATGGTATCGGGCAATTCAGGCGTCACGGGTCCGATGTCGTTCCAGTTTCTGGTCAGCGCGGCCGAGACGGCCGAGGCCTGCGATGCGGAGAGCGTGAGGTTGTAGTACAGCGCGAGCGCATTACCGTCTTGAGGGAAGAGCAGGGCACCGGCGGAAGTCTGGTTGTCGCGGTACAGAGAAACTGATTCATCCCAGAGGACGGTGTTGTATGCTTCCTTCAACCTCGCGGCGGCGGCCGACCAGGTTTTCGCCTCGGACTCGCGGCCAGTGTCGAGGGCCAAGGAAGAAAGCACGGCGAGCGTGTGGTAGTTTAGGGCGTTGAGGGCGCTGTTGTAACCACCGCCGCCGAGCCGCGCCCAATCGTTCGGTTCAACCTGCTGCGCGAGTCCCACGTCGTTGTCGAGCGCGCGTATGATGTATTCCACGCCTGCGGAGATGTTGCTCCATCGCGAGTCCACCCAAGCCGTGTCGGTGGTGAAGATGGCATAGTTGAAGCACGCGATCAGCGTCCAGGCGTGATAGGTGTCGCTGCGGGCGCCGCGCCGCCACGAGCCGGTCGTCGGCCCCGCGAACGGAAGAGCACCCGTCGTGGTATTCTGGTAGATGAACATGGTCTCCAGCGCATAGTACACCGACTCCAACCCGACGTCGCCGAGGCCGAGGTACGCCGTGGTGCCGGCGATGCCCAGGTCGCCGGGCCACACGGCCCGGTCCCGCTTCGCGCCGTCGAGGAGCATGGGGCCCTCTGCGCCCAGGGTGGCGTTGTAAGCCCATCCGTCTTTGACCTGCGGCAGCCAGCGGCTGGTGTTGGGCGGGGCGATGTTGGTCTGCGCCGTAAAGACACCGGCATACCACGCGCGGACGAGAACGTCGTCGTCGGGAGTGTAGAAGTGGCCCGAGTACACGCTGGGGTCTTGCTGAGAAGGTGAGTAGCCGAGGTGGCAGACGATGCCGGAAATGGTGACGGGCTCGAACGCGTGGATCGTGACGAACTTGAAGCCGCCTCGGAACCGCTCCGTCGGCATCGTGTACGAGAACTCGCCCAACGGCACCGTCACGTTGAGCGCCTTGTCATAGTCTTGCGTCGGGACGGCACCCGTGTCGTCGGAGATGGCGCGCACGAAGGACGGCGACTCGGCGAAGGCGAGAGAAAAGTGCGGTTCTCCTTCGGATTCCGTCTCGGTACGCATCGAGAGGAGACCCCCGACGTAGCCGAAATTGAGCGATACCTGGCCGCCCTTTTCGAGAGACAGGACGTACGACCCATCTGCGGCGGACGTCACCTCTGCCTCACCCGAGATGGCGTGGATCTGCTTTGGCAGAACATTGCGTGAGGAAGGGCTCTTGATGTAGGCCTCCCAAGGCCGGGCCGGATCGGCGGCGGCGGCGGCGGCGGCCAGGAACGGTGAGAGCAGCGCGAGGCAGCATAAGAAACGCACCATCATGGACTTTTGCGGTTGTGAAACGGTGCCATCTTTTTCTTTCTCCAAAGTTATCCGCGACGGGACGGGACGATGAGCTCTATTTCAAAGGCTCGCGGTGCGGTCAATTTTTTTTTTGGTCCCCTGTCTTTTCTTCCTCTTCTTCTTCTTCCAACCCCCCCAGCAATTCAGTATTGGCTTCCGCGCGGTGGGGTTGGGATAAATGGGATCAAATTTCCCCGCGCTTTTTTCCTCCAGGATCTGGCGGGATGTCGGGGTAAACCTGGAGCGAGCTCTCAGGGCCACGGGGCTCGGGGAGCGGGGTTTGAACGGGAGCCATCGTCGTATTTATTCCGTGTGCCCTTTGGACTGCATATTTTCTGCGAGGTACATATGCCGCCAAGGCGCTGGACATGCTGAACAGGATGTGATCTTTGGAGTCGGCTAATGGAGTCTCTCGCGCTCTGATGGTGTTTCTGCAGCCAAGAGTGAGGCGGAGTTGGTGCATGAAGATGAGGGGGAATTGAGGTTATTCACGGATGGTTGGGCCTCTATTTGCTGACTCAACTCAGTGTTCGTGACGGTAGGGACTTGCTTCATTTCTTCTGGCTGATGTCAACGACTTTTACAGTCTTACAGACCGGCTTTTTTTCGAATAATGAGTCAAGGAGCAATTGAGTGTATACAAAATCGGTGTTCTTTTCATAGCGTATTTACTATTGGTTGTCATTCTCGGCTTCGCTTCTTCATGCCCGCTGTTTAGTGCACTTAAAAATGATCAAATCCACCTAAACCGAACCCATGAACCAGCCAACAGAAACCCATGTGAGGACGCCTGGTTACTGTCGACAAGGAACAGTCCGCATAAATGTAACATCCGAGTAGATTCAAACAACTGCGTAGGTCTGCCAGGGCGGAGCGCGCATCACTATCCAGAAACCCCTGACCTTATTTTGTACCCGAATGAAGGACTTGTCGTTCGGCTGACTTGTCCCCGGCGACGAAGTGCTCCTGCTACTTTCAGCCTCGGCGACCTTAGCGGCAAACTTCTCAGTCAAGTCAGGCATTTTGTGGTGGTCCACATCCCAACATACGCTCACGTCCCTCATTCTCGGACGAGGTATCATCTACAAAGCGGTTTGCCAATAGCACTGAGCTGAAAGGGTGGTGCCTGCGTACTGGTCGATACCGTCTCAGAATGGAGAGTCGTCACTGACAGTTAAGTTCTTTGTAACTCTGCCTTAACCGTGAGACTAATACCCGACTGGTTTGTATGATCATCTAATGCTACCATGTGGGCTTGGGCAGCCTGCTCATTCTCACCCCCAACAGCACCATGGCGCATCAATAGACACTTTGCCCTTATTTGACCCTTCTCCTATGGAAGCTTGACTGGGTCCATGTTTGTTGGTTTGTCTTCGACTTTCCACATAATTATAGGTAAACGTACAGCTTTGGGTAAAAAAATATCGGCTGTTTGTCCGTGGAACTTTGAAGCCACGGATCTCGACGTAGTTCTAGTAGCTGTAGCCATTGTCGAAAGGTTGGAGCCAGCGGAAACTAACATCCTTAAACTCTTGCGAAAGCGGATGACCTGGAGACTCTGCAACGAGGCAACCAGCGCAAGCCTCGGGGACTATAAGAGAGAAGTCGCCGTTCACCAATGGCAAAGCCAGGAGAGCTGTCGGGACTCTGATTTCAGGGAGTGTACGGGGACAAATCTTCTGTGTGTCGGCAACCGTATGGCCGAAGGACACGAGATGCTGGTACTACGCCGAAACAAAAGGCTGAGGTTGTCCCCGGCACTTATAGCCTCTTGAATAACCCACAAGCGAGTATACCAACTGTTTTTACTAAGTCTGTCTGTGAAGTGCATGACCGTCTCCCACTATTGCTGGTTAGCAGCCGCCCCCCGAGGAGTCGTCTTCGTTTGCTTCCGGCCACCAGCTGGAAAATCAAATCCAACTCTACTTGCTCCGACAGCCGAACATCATTTAGATCAGCAGTGGCGAAAGCTCTTCTGTACCTTAGGCAATGTTCATGGCTTAAGTACCGAGCTCTCTGTCTTCTCCATGTGGTGAGATTCTGTCACTGGGAGGCTGCGGTAGGCACTCTTGGTCGATACAGATCATTTGTAGGCCAACGGTATTTGCGGCGTCGACAGCTCGGTTCAGAACGCCGTCCAAGGCTCGGTTTCCTCCAAGTCCCATCCAGTTCTTTTACTTCGTAATGCCGAGGAGTCTCCACGAGCTTGACCTGAACCTTGACTTGAGGTGGCCAACAGGAGCATACCGCAACGTAGTGTGTACAGATATCCCGGAGCATAGAACTACCTCCAGCTCTTTCAGATAGGTCCGGGAACTCGTCTCTTGGTCTGACCAGTCGAAACTTTCGTGCTTTCGACTGTGAGGGACTTCGGGCCACTTTAAGCATATGCGGCACGGTTTCTGTGAAGCTGGTGGCTCGGCGTTTGGGGTCTCGGTAGGAATGTAATTCGGGATGATATCTCCATATACTATCACAACGTTCGCGCTACTGCCGTCCTCATAGATATAGCTGCCGTCTGTCTCTTTCTCAACCTGTTTAGTCTTGAGTTTTCAAAGTTGGGAATGCTTCTGTTCACTTCTAGAGACAAGTTGATAGCCTAGTCTAAGATGTCATCCGGGTTATAATCCTCATCATCCAACTGAATTTTATCCGGGGTATCTTCAACGATCAAGAAATAGCAGCCTCTTACGACCCAGATTTTCGCAATTTCGTGGTGAATACGATACTCTTGACTGCTGTAGCCTGGAACCAAATATAGCTCAGAAACGTAGGAGGGGTGCTGGGGTTCAGCAAGTCGTATTCAGATCATTTGGCACTGGTGCTTCCATCGCCATAGTTGTTAGGCAACATGACTGCTGAAATGAGTAGAGTAGTTAAAAATTCTAGAGTTAAAAGAAAGACATTGTTGTCCTGATACAGATTAAAAGCGGAGAAGGAGCCGATGGCAGATGGAATGTTCTTCTGGTTTCAACCCAGCATGTTGCAGGTCACATAAAAAGAGATATAGTAGGTTTCAAGAGCAAAGCAATCTTTTAGGCTTCCAGGACCATTTTGGCTATTTGGGGCGGAACGATGGCAAATGACGGATGCAGGTCGCGAGGCAACTGGTCTGCCTCGCAACATGTTCACAAGCTTGCCGATTGTATAATAGAATCTCGTTGATACAGCAGTCTACTGGCTTAGATAACACATGAAAAATTTCCAGGCGGATTATAATACGTAAGCTAGCCGGTCGTTTACGAGCGTGGAGTTATTACTTGGAGCGTAGGAGCACAGGAGCGTGGGTGTGAGAGTATAAGGCTACCTGCACTGGCGACTGAAAGTGACGTCTCACGTAAGATTGCGCCACTAAAATGGTGTCAAAATCTGGCAAGCTTTGAAATCCCAAGTCATTATACATGCTACAGCTTCTGCTCAAGGAAAAGAAAATGGTTCCTGTGGTGGGACATGAATATCACACATTCGCCGTGTTTACACAAGTTAAGGCAGCGAAAGGCTTGGTCTTACTAGAGCAAAGAGGCATCCAAAAGAGACGCGAAATGGCAACATGAAGACGTGGACCGATAGGTTGCAGATACAGAACAGTAGACTCTGATAACTCCGGACGCCGCGGAACAGCCACTAGGTGACTATGTCCAGGGGCCTAAGACTAGGAATAGACAAGTGGGACTAGTAAGTAAGCCGTTGTTGAGATTGTAGAAGAGAGAAACCTGGAAGAAGGGCTCTATTGGATCATCATGCTTTTTTCCCGGAGTTAGCTGCTTGAATGCTTGGGAAAACGAGTATGACGGCAACGGCGATATGTAAAACAACAGGTTCGGAAATCCGAACCCTGTAATATTCCTACGCGTTCTCAAAGCAGCCACTTGGATGACCTGCATGTTTCTTGCTCACTCTGAATCTCCTGAACAAAAGTCACTGATGCATGATTTGACGGCATACTTGTCGTGATTGGTCCTCTTCACCAGATCGGTTTAAAGGTCACCAATGTCAGGAATCGGGACATGCACCCGTTTTCCCCCAAATGAAGTAGCTCAAAGAAACATGTCAGTCCGCAAGCGAAGCGGTAAAGACTGGACCGAGGAGGCGGTATAATATAACCACATCATACCTCGCTGGAGGATACGACAAGTGTTTGGTATAGTGCCACCAGCAAACACTTACTTCGAGATCCAAAACATGCATACTTTAAATAAAAGCGTTTGAAGCAAGCACGAAGATCGCAACAAGGACTGCGGATTTCGCTCAGCCACCATTCAAGGCGAACCTGGACCCTGGACTAGGAAGAAAGAAGCCCAACACAGCATCGAAGCTAGCCCCCAAACCACGAACTCCGTTACCAGGTTAACCCAGAAATCAAACAGAGCAACAAACCTTTTGATCCAACAGAAAGCAGGGGCAGATAGATGGCAATGTATCAAATCCTTCTAGAATCCCCATGTGTCGTCATAAGCCCCTCCGCAATAGACAAAACGACCCTAGACGCTTATATCCCGATAGCGTCAGCCACAACCGATAGCTTACAAAAGGTCCAATATGAGCCCACACATGCAGAAACCACATGGACTGCGCCGCGCTCAGCGAACGAAGCTTCTGGAGCCCATAACACCCGCGCCACCAACAATGAATAAAAAAAAGCCAGGGAGCCGGTTCAAATATAGAAATTGAACAAGGCATAGAACAGATTGGACTTTGAGTTTGTCCGCAAGGGAACATCTTCGGAGCGGGGGGTGTTTTTTTTTTTCCTTTTCGTAAGTGGTGAGTGGAGGAGCATCATCTCTCAAAGCAGGACGAGCTTGTTGGTGCTAGCAGAATCCTTCATCCACCTGAGCCCAAGGGGGCGGCACAGCCTGGGGGTGCGGGTTAAGGTACCTAGATTGAGGTATGCGTGTGCGTGCGTTCCGGCGACCAGAAACGGGAGGTAAAACAGGCCAGTGCCAATGTTGTTGGTCCTGCGATGGCATTCCGCTGCCAGGGAACTGGAGACGGGTAGATTGGATAGGTACCGATGGCGCGGTGATGGGACACGGTTTGACATCGGGAAGAAAGCCCGCAAATGTCAGCCACCCTTCGGCAGAGTGAGATAACGGAACCAACGAGCTGGGTAACTTGTGTCCCCAACGTGCATCGTTATGCTTCGCCGTGAGACTGCTTCCGATCTTGCACAATGCAATCTGGTTGCCACCATCTTGTTGCATTCTTCAGCATCCACATCATCATCATCATCATCATCATCGTGATGCCCTTCTTCTATTACTTGCTTCGTCGAAAAGGGGGCTTTGGCAGTTTGAGTTACAAAATGATAAGGGCGTACCAAAGAAAGGAAAAATAAAAAAATAAAAAGAAAAAGCGGCCCCCCTCCCCTCCATCTGGCGTAGTCTCATATCTCTTCGGCTGCAGGTGAAATTAGATAGTCGCTGGTGGGTAGTCACGGTTTCATCATCGTCAAGGCACCGTTGACGTCTGAATAGCCTCATGGTCCGAGCCATCAGCCCAATCCTTCACTCAGGACCCGCGTTGTCCCTGGCGGAACATCTGCAATGTGGCGTTGGTGGTGTCCCAGGTGGTGATTCGGAAAGGCTAGGGTGATGAGCCGTTGGCACCCAAGTCCCCACGGTGCCAAGCATACCAAATGCTCCTTTGGTCCAAGACCCATAGAAGACAGTCCATTGAACATGGTCCAGAAACGAAGGCCCATAGATAGAAGGTGTGTGGTCGTGGCCCTGGGGCTGTCGGAGACGACTCCGCAAAGTTTGCCCATGCAGTTGGTTACTTTTACTCTCGTCGCTAGCGGTCCAGGTTGCGGCCATTCCATCATGCTAAGGGAGGTTGATATGGGCTTGAGGACGTAGTAGTATACCAATCAACCAAGTAGTATGTAGTCTTGTCCGTCGCATTCGTTTCTGGGGGGTCCCAATTCTCCAATGCAACCCCATTTCAAAAAAGGGAGGGGTTGAAAGGGCGAGACGGCCGAGCTGCATGAGAGCATGAGAGGGGGGGGGGGGGGGGAGGCCCATCGACGACACCAGCGTGTAATCCTTGGTCATCAATTTCACTTACCACCCGCAGCTGCAGATCCAGTCTTTCACATCCGCCGATCGGGTATGGCGCGTACGACATCCAACGGCGTCTGTCCGAAGAACAAGGGGGAACAACAAGGTGAGTCAGTAAGAGAGCAAATGAACGAAGAGGAACATGACCATTAGACCATTAGAACAGGAGCCTGGAGAGGAAACATCCAACGCACTACGTAGTATGTCAGGGTCTGGGGTACCCTACCCTACCTACCCTTCACAACGGCCGTAGCCGAATCCTTCACCTCCCATATGATTACCCACACCATCCCATTTGTCCAGCGGAGGAGTCGAATCCTCGTCCACCCCCCCGGTTGCAGTTTGCTGCGGCTAGGAATTGGTTCTGGAGAGGGCTGGGCTGAGGGATTCTTCCCAAAATCCCCAAGACAATGTTCAAGGCACCCAAGCCGGATCAAGCAAGATCCTGCCCTGCCGGTACCTCTTTCTTAGTCCCAACGCAGTGGATAAGTTGTCTTGTACCAGGTTTCTCTCGCATATGCCCCAATCAACACACGTTGATGCCCACACTCTCGCCAGTTGTTGTCCAAGATGGTTAGTCCAGGCCTTGACCGAAGCCAGGTGGTTCGTGCGTACGTACATCCATCCACGGGTCTCCGCCACCCGTTGGCAGGCCCTCAAGCAGGAGTCTAACCGACCGGGTACTGGGGTGCTCGAGTCCTGGGGGGTGATGTGTGATTGATGGATGGGATGCTGCGCTAGCTGGCTCGGTGCACCATGGGGACTGGGCACGTCGCCGCCTGCGCGTCCTTGGTGAACCACCTGCGCGTGCAGGCGGTACAATGGTGAAAGTGGATAACATTTTTGGCTTCGCCGCATGCTCTGGTTATTGTGCCGCAACGCCCGCGCCGCTTCTGAGTGACATTGGAACCGCCTTTCGTTAGAACGGGAGCAGGAGAAGAGAGAGGGAGGGAGGGAGACAGAGAGAGAGAGAGCGCGAGACAGGGACTGAGAGGACTGAGAGGACTGAGAGAGACAATACGGAGTATGCATAACGAGGTCCTTATTCCTGGTAATGCTGGCAAACAAGCGGGGTGGGTTTTGTCGCGGGCCTTTCGTCCAACAATCTAGGCATTGCCTATGTACCGGGGGGGGGGTCTGTTTGTCCAGAGCGCACTTCAAGCATCACCGGCTCCGGTATACCCTGAACCCTCCTCCTCCTCACCTTTCATCTTTCTTCATAGTCTTAATCCCCGACAACAATAACAACAACACTTACACTGCCAACACGCCGCAGGACTACTCCGCCCAACTATCCTCTTGAGGCGTTAAATGAGGCAACTTCGAGGGTTACAATCTCGTCGTCGCTCATCTATTTCACGAGGACGAGAGCGATCCACTCAGGCGGCCGACCCAACGCTATTCCTCTCTTGGAGGTTTCTATTCGAGGTTGCGCGATGAGGGCGTAGCCATCAGGGATCTTTGCGCCCCACGGTGACCCCATCTCTTTCGACGGGGCCTTGTGGGAAAAATCTCGTCGTTGACCCTCTCCTAGATCCCGGCACACGGAAGAAGGTCTGCCCTGCCTAGTTCATCACAAACGGACCCCCTTCCCCCCGATGCTAACGTAAAACTCATCGCTTGGGGAATGCTGTGCACAGCTTTGAGTTGCCAGGATTCTTGACATACCGGGGGGGAGGAGGAGGAGGAAGAGGAGGAGAAGGAGGATGACGATGAGGGGGGCCATTGTAGGCTGATTTGATATGAAATTTGTTCGTTATTTTTCGGTACTCTCGCATTTGCCTCGGTGTTTCGCCGGTATGTTTGACAAAAGTCCCAAAACTTTTCGCCTCACCGAACCGCTCTGTTGCTCACCGAGGCCACACCCTCCTCTAACACTGCAAAGCTGCAAAGCAACCGTTGCCGTCAAAGATTCCGACTGCCATATGACTTGCCCGTGCCGCTTAATTGCCGCACACAGAGTGTGTGAGTTGATGGGCCTTTCCGGTCATTGCTTACCCCTTTCGACGTGGGACGCGGACTGAATCCACTCAATTCAACCAAAGAGGAAAATGCTTTCGGATTGGCTCTTCTCGCATCAATTTAAAGTGTATGGAGATCATAATAAAATGTTTATACTCGATAGCTTTATTCATTATTGCCATTTTCCATTGCCGCTGACGGCAACATGTGTTCTAGAAATGCCGAGTTCGACGAAGTGAGAGGAGAAGACTTAGGAGAAAAATAACGACAAGCCCCAGTTATTCCAAACAGAACCGTATACATAAGTAAGCCCCGGATTCGATTATGCCAAAAGGGCAAAGTGAAAGTAAAGAAGAAGAAAAAAAGTTGATACCAAAAGACGCCTGTGACAGTGTCGATTCACACGTCAAGTTTAGGATCGCCAATGAAACCCGAATCAATCCCATCCGTTAAACCCTGAAACTTTTTTTATCCCACTTGAGAGCCGTTCCACCCCGCACCCACCTCTCGTGGGACGTAACACCCCCTCTGGAGCTCATCAAGGGTTGAGCTTGCCAGACAAAGATTGCTTGGTCCACGGTCATATACCGAACCCTTTTCTTCCATCATGTCTGCTGCCTTGTCAAGTCAAGCCGCAAAATGCCCGTGTCAGCCCCGCATCCGTTCTGGACAGACTTGTCGAGCGTGATTAGGCATGTTGTGTGTGTGTCTTCGGCCGTATTCGAGTCAGGCCCAAAACGCAACACAGGCACCCCTTGAGTCGACATGTCTGATGCGCATCCAAGGCCCCTGAGTTAGGCCGAAAGTCCGCCATGCCATAGTGACCACGATGACCATTAGCTGTGGCATACGTTGTCAGTGATATGTCTCTACACGACGGCAACACCACTGCAGACCTACTGATGGTGCGAGCCTTTGCTCTCCTTTTTCTTGCCACTGCTCTTCTTGGAGGATCCTTTGCTCTGCCCTCTTGTCTCTATCCGAGGAAGGAGACCGTCGAAGATGGCCGTCTGATCGTATCCTTTGCCTTTGTCGTCGGGGGAGGTTCCCTTGGAACCGCTGCCGTAGGAGTTGTGAGGGTCCATAGTGTTGCTTGATGTTCTTAAAGCAGCAATCTCCATGACCGCTGTGTTAGTTCACGACCTTGAGACGTGGGCAATGGAGACTTACCGTGCTCTCTTGTAGTTTACGTAGGAGATCGCTGGCGTTCTGTTGAGCGTGTACAGCTTGGATGGGTGTCTGATGAGAGGAGGAGCTCATGGAATTCCGGAGAGGCTGTTGACCTTGCTGGCTCATTCTGAAGGCAGCCTCATTCGAGGTTTATATTCTTCAGAAGTGAGGAAGAAAAACACCAGGAAGACTCATCCATAGATATGAAGAACGAGAATAGATCGTTGGGGAAGGGACTTTGGAACGTTGAATAGCCAGCATTTCCGGGCGAAGCTTGAGCAGGTGGACAGTCGGAACGTAACTGCCATAGCAGCTCAAAGAACATTGAAGGCTTGGCCAGGAACTAGGCAGAGAGTCGTTGGTTGGCTTGCGGTCAAGTCAACCTACAACCCTTGCCGGCCCCCAAGGCAGGCGATGGGGGTCTTGCTGGGGACAATGAGGACTCTGCCTGATGAGCCCCGTTTCTGGAACCGGTGTTTGCCCGTCCACAGGAAGAACTTTTGCAACTATACTTGCTCGCGCTCAGAAAACAAGATCATTCCGATTGAGAAACGGGCGGCGACATTATGAAGAGGAGGGATGAAAAAAGTTCTCAGGCTGTGGCAGAGTCCGATGGCTGCCCTACTTACAGCCATGGCGGAGGCGGTCTTGTGTTAAACCAAAGTCCCGTCGTGACAGATCATGTGCGTGTGGCAGTTCCGGGGGCCACCACTACCAGTCAGCATAGTCCCCCGGGATGTGCTCTTATGTGGGTAGCTAGCTGTAGCCGACTGCATAGCCCAATGTGATTCGCCCTTTCACTCTCTGTATGAATGCTATCCTAGGGCCATTACGAGTCTGAATGGCCTCAATCCAACACCGGATACAGACTTAAGATACAACAATTGTTGCCGCAGCGATGACGATGCTACCCAAGAGCCCTGAAGGATCCGATAAAGTCGTATACCTGCAGCCCCAAGATTCAAGTGTAGGGCAATATTGGTTGCTTAAACGCCGCATCGTGGCAGTAGGCGACCTTCATGAGCGTAGGGCTGAGGTCTGACCCAATCCCATGGCCCGCTCACGACACTAGATGGTCGGAAAGTGGCCTTTGCCGTCTCCCGTTTGCGCGCGGCAGCGGTCAATTCGGCCGTGCTTTCTACCGGCGCCGATTCCAAATCGGAGTCATTCGCAAGCGGCGTAACAGTTACAATGACGAATGTTTAAGTCATATGGACACGATGCACTATCTGCCGGTCTGTATACGACGGCTTTCACCGAATGACACGCCAATCTCACCTGCGGCACGTCATCGTATTGTCGGCGACTTTTGACAGTAGTTCTCCCTGTTATACGAATGACGCATTGCACAGCTGCAGAATGGGACTTTTCACTCCGAGTCGGGCTTTCTTAAGCTTGGTAGGCATTCTGTCATCGTTCATTCTGTTCATTGTTGATTGTTGGTTCAGGTTGGGGGCGCAAATGACGAGTCGCTGAAACGTTAGCGACACCCCGTCGATGGATCGCGATGCCTGTTGATGTAGAAATGGCAAGCGTCAGGGACATACGCTTTTGAATGCCACGATGTCGTGTTGATGCGATAACCGCGACTCAAAGTTCGTCTGCTAGGAAGCATACAGCATGGTCTTCTAGGCAGCACATGGCGATTCCTTGAGAAACTGATAATGACCTGCAAACAAGCGGTCATAGCTCTGGGGCTGCCTTCAGGTCAAGTAGCAATCACAGATAGGTGACCAGGCAGCAGCTGAGCCTCTGGGCAAGATTGCGGACCATGTGGTTTCATCCAGATTTGGCCTTTATCCGCTGAGCTTTGGGCCCCAAGTCTGGCCTCAACCAGAGCTGAGAAATCACCCAAATTGTGTGTGCCGGACACCCTTTGCCCATGAACCAGGGCGATGGAAACTTGTCATTCTGTCCATGCCATGCGCAGTCAAGAGATCCACCAGAGATAGCCAGGGGCCTGGTAGACTGTGCGTAAGTTAATTCAACGCAGGAGGCAGGTCTAGTGGGGAAGCCGGGGGTTCTTCTTGTACACTGGACAGGGCGGGAGTGGGATAACTACCTCGATGGCATAATGCAGGGCCTTGCACCCACTGGTTACTACGTCTTCCGGTCTTGGGGTGTTTAATCCGTATTTTGCGGATGAAGGCGTTAGGAATGCCGCGTCTACATGATGGCGGGAACCGTAGGAACCGTCAGGAAGATTTGAGTTGACAGCTACTGGGCATTTCGTCAAGCCTGATCGCCCCAGCCTTTTGCCTGGGAACCACATCCTTGCCGGCTCTGCTGTTCATCATGCCTTATACCTGCATCCGAAGATCTTGTATCCCCCCATGGCCACTTCGGATACTGACTGATCCACTTTAGTTGACCAGTCTGAGTGGGTGCACATCGGTAGCGAGCCATGAACCAGGAGCGGGAACTGTGAGCCATGTCCAAGAGGCGCAGGCCATGGGCCGCGCCGGGGATATGGCCGAGGGTAGGGCGGGACGACCGGCGAATTGACCCGACTGACCGGCTTAAAGAGGGAAGCTCGTTTCGATGGAGTAAAAAAGAGGCCCTGTTTCCCAATGGGATTCCCTGGGGCTCTGCGGCCGCTCGACGGTTACATCCCTTACTGCGCACTCGAGGAGAACTTCGTACCGCTTGCCAATCAGCGACTGAGAATAGGCGAAATTTGGTACCATTGGTCCCAAGCAATCTGATGTCTGCCTGTCCCCATTTACTCGTCTTTAAACGGTCTAGTCAACCTGCCAACCTGGTCGTCGTGCTCTCTGTCTCTCTGGAGCGAGCGGGTGGTCGTCCTATTATCCGCCACGCTACTACGGTAAAGTGCTGATCCAAGCTCAGAAGCACCGACCATGCGCTTATATTACACCCGCTCTCCACTTTGTTGGCAGCGGCGTTTAAGCATTGAATCCCTCTGCTTGATCAAGACATTTGTGTAGAGGGGTTGTGCTTGTCCGAAGGTAAGAGCAATGGGCTTGAGGGCGGATTACAGCTTCGCCGCGACATTTGGCTTTTCTTTAGACTTTTGTTCAATTTTCTAGCTTAGTTCAGCCCCAGATGCAGTCGAGTTTGTTTGATTTCAGTTTCAGTTGAATAGTAGCGGTTGGGCATTTGTCTGTGCATGATGAGTGACAGTTGCACTCACTGGGGAATGGTCACAGAGAAATGGGATGGTGCTCACGGAGTTTGACCGCACTCTCCCCAGCACCCTTGTGTTCTTTGAGTGCGTTTCTGCGTCTGCCGATTCCGAATTGAGCCTATGCAGCTGGTCAGCCTTCGAATGGTACGATAAGCTCAACAACGGTCCTCATAACCGTCCCAACTGCCACTGGTCCGCTGGACAGCCACACTCACACACACACAGCCATCTGATGGCCGTTGATCGCCCGTTGCCCACCCCTGTTTTGTCTGCCCTGCGAACCCCTATCCTGTCCCCACTGCCACCCACCTGCCCTGTAGGGATGGCGAGGGCCTAGCAGACAAAACCAGTTATTGGGGAGCCGGGAGCGCTTCAGCGGGCAGGTGTGGTTGTCGAGTCCCGCTGGCGGAAGGCCGACGATTGGCAGCAAATGCAAGGTCTCTTTGCAGAGCAACCGATGGAACCCTGCAGGGGGTCGTTGCTGCCGCCGAGAAAGGGCGACATTGGGTCCAATACCACCACCAGCCCGTGTCAAAATGGGGGCGAGAAGATGGAGCCTTGCCGGGCTTAGCGGTTCGTTTGTTACCGGCCGAATCCCCCTTCTCCTGCTTTCAAAAACATATTGAACCGCTTCCCCGCGTTCTTCTGATACAAATGTTTTTTAGGTTGTGGTTCGACAGATCTTGATATAGAGCAAACGTCGACATCTTGTTTCGGTAGCCCGTGTGCCTGTCCTAGAGTTTGCCACCGTCTCTGGCTTTTAGACATTATAAGCCCACAACAATGAGGGCATCCAACGTGGCCATGTCGGCTAAAAGGAAGGCTTCTACCGATTCTGAAGCTGACGACATGCCGAGTCTTGGGCAGTTAGCAAAGCCGCGCAAGCGTGTACCCGCAGAGATTTGGGAAACCAAGCGACCAACTATTACACGGCTGTACCAAGAAGAGAAACGGTCGTTAAAAGAGGTGATGGAGATCATGGAGCGTGACTATCACTTTGTTGCCACGTAAGTTGTTCTGTACTCTACTATTGAGTGGTTTACTCATGAAGACGTACAGCGTGAAGATGTACAAGTCGAGGATTTGGAAATGGGGTCTCGACAAGAAGCTGAAGGGAGACGAGGTGCTGGCCATCATGCTACTAAAGAGAGACCGCGACGCTTTGAAAAAACCGACAGAATTTCGGATACGCGGACAGCTCGTGGACATGGACAACATTAACCGATATCTGAAGCGAAACCCGTCGTTGATGGCCAAATTCAAGGCTGGACAGACACCCAGCGTGCAGACTGCAATCGAAGTCACTTGCCGAACACCATCGCCGCCACCAAGCCCACCCCGAGCCCTCGCACCGACAACAGAAATGCAGAGCACCGAGCAGGTGCTGTGTCTGTTTCGTGATTATATTGATGGATCCTTTTCGTCTGGTGTGTGGTGGTGCGAGTATGACGTTGAATGCTCCAACCGGCGGCTAGACCAGGAGGATCGTAGCAACGACCTGTTTGAAAGAGTCGTTGCCAGTTTTGCTCTGGTCAACAGGTGTATGATAAGGGGGGACCAGATCGATATCAACCGAGTTCTTGGCCCTGCATTCGAATCGTTAAAAGGTCTGGTGGCTTCCGAGACACCCAATTTTGTCGCAAGAACGGTTTGTCTGCTATGGTATCTGGAGCGACACTATAAGCACGACCTTCTTCGATTGGTTCTGGACTATCTCGCTGGGCTAATCCCGATTGTGTTGGGATCTAATCACATTCTTGCTCACATCTGGCGAAGACTGGGGGCGACCGAATTCTCGTCATATTACGAGCTTTCCATGCGACTCTATGCATTGCTGCTACCGGAAATAGAGGATCGCGTTGGACCAGCCAACTATTTGACACACCTGCTGTACAGCGATTACCTCGACTGCATGCTTGGTCAACAAGACCCGGAGGACTGCGAGGCAATGCTAAGCCGCCATATTGCTCGCGCCGAGGCGTCCGGGCAGGAACATCCGTGGCTTGGGGACATGGCGCTTTCTCATGCTGGGCTTCTTGCGACTTGCAAGGAGAACCAGGGCCGGCTGGATGAAGCAGTCGAGGTGTTGACATCGCATATGAACGCGTACAGCATGACCGATGACCAGGAAGCGGCACTCAATCTCGAGCTTGGAGTAAAATATTACCGAATGGGAAACATCCCAGCGGCCATTACCTCTTTCAAGTCAGCAGCTCGGATTGCCCTTACATCAGACGTAGACGAACGAACGTCCAACGCAGCTCTAGCAAACCTGGAGAATGCGCTTCGAAAGATGGGCAACATAGTCAAGGCAGACCGAGTACACCAGTACCGCATGGATCGGGTTGCAATGTTTGCCGAGAAATCGGCGTCCATGTCCAAAGGCTTCTCCGACGATTATGACGATGATAGCGATGATGTTTCGATTGAGCTTGAAGCGTTGCCAGAATGGCTTTGGAAGTGCAATGATGGCGAAGAGGAAACACCACAGTGGCTCGAGCTGCCTGTCTTTGCCTGGGGTGAGAAGTCATCGCCGACTTCTTTCGCAGGGTGCCCCAGCAGCACATTGGAGTGGGCCAACACATCGCAGTCGGGTTCGCCAGCCGTGCTATCGGCAGGATATTCACCGCCGCTTGATAATCATGTCATCGACCCGGAGGTTGAGTACCTGTATGCACATGAAGGTAGCATCCAGTGAACGGGAATGAAGTTTAGACCTTCAAACTCGACGCCGTCCTAAACTGAGGAGTGTATTCATCAGGAACGGCATTCGTTTTGATCAGAGCCGTCAAGTCGACATGCTTAGGCCCCTGTACTTCATGCCAGACCTTGTTACGGGAGACTTGATGGTGGAAGTCCTCGTAGCTTAGCGCATGGAGATGGCCAGTTGCGGTCGAATTTGCCATGCCAAGGTGCTCTGCGGCATATCAACGACACTGCAAATTCGAGAGCTGCATGATGATGTCAATGGCCGTCTGCAGACAGCTGATAGAAAGGAGATTTTGTATGATCAAGCTGCTCTACATCTTTCGGAAAGGGCTGCAGGTCAATCAGCAACTGGGCATAACAAAGGGGTATGAACCAGTGAAGGACAATGCATGGCCTTGGTCGAAGGGTTTTGCCGTTGGCAGAGTTGACGGCAAACCCTTCCGGAAGGCGAGTCGTGCTGCCATAGGGGGGAGGGGTAACATGGAAAAGTCCAGGTGTTATCCATGATGGATACTGGTAATGGGTTTTACAGCAACGCAAATGCCAGGGCTGGCGACAGGCGAATCGGAAGGCATTGTGAGGGCTACTTGCCTCCAATATATTTGGCGTTGACCCCAACGGAAGGCATGAAGAGTATGGTCTTTCTCTAATTCTTCATAGAAGGAACACGGGGGAAGTGCTTGCTTTCTGGTTTTGGCGGCGCACATTTATGACATAGTCTTGGAAGGAGGAGAAGAAGAATAAAGAAAGTAGGGAAAGTAGGAAAAGCAGAGGGAAGGAAGAAACAAAGAAAAAAAGCTTCAAGGAGAAGCAAGAACACAATATCTGCAAGTGCAATCAAGATACCACTCCCATATTAAGAAACAACGATTGATATCAAAACTAAACGATTCATTAAGCAATGAGGAAGTCTAACTGTGATGATATAATACGAATGTCCATTTCAACACAAGTATTTCCTGTCTGGATCTCCCCTTCAATGTTGCTAATGCAGACAATGCAAATACTGCTTGACGGCCGCGTAGATCTACAAGAAGCCAGGACTTTCAATCTGGCCTATAGAGGGAACTCTATCGTCAATAGAGAACATGTCTCCGATGTGCAGAGCACCTGATTCCGGACCACGAAGGAATACTGGTTTATAGCACAATCGCTGCCCCTACGTCACAGTACATGACTCGCATTGGTAGGCAGTTGGCACCTACCGGCTTGTCAGATCAATACCTGTATGGAATTATGTTTGAGGCCATACGAGAATCGACCGACTAATGATGCTCTGCTTAGTCCCGAAGCTTCGGCGCCGATTGACCACGACACGGGACGGGTCGCTGGGCCATCCCACCGGCCTCGGTACCTCTCGGACTCCACGGACCGGTTTTTTAGTGGTCCGGATGTTTTGCAGAACCACACGGCTGACAGAACCTCATCGAAACATCAGTGGCCAAGTGCTCGCCTCAAACATGCCGATCTTGACGTTGGCGGATGCCGCGGAGACAAGCACAGGGGCTCTGACACACGTCATGGTATGCAGTCGTCGACCCAGGAGACGCAACTTTACGCATCGCCATGCTTACTTGACACACAATTACACCCAGGCTTTCCCAAAGCGTCCATAGTGAGTCGCGGCATTGGCGCGTTGGCCTTGGGACCACAGAGACGGAATGCACCAATGGGCCGCACCGCCGGGCCATTGTGGGCGCATGCAGCCAATCGACACGGTCCCTGGCAAACGTGGAGGGAAAGGGGGATAGGAGGGGGGGATCTGACTGGCAGGCGGAGACGACTCAGATTGAATATCTGGAGACGGATGCTGACGGACACAGAGACAAGAATTGTTAGGGGATCTTGGGTACTTTGACATGCTATGTTGTGCTGGTGATGGCACATGTTTCGTCGTCATGGAGAAGATCACCCAATGCTCATGTCGGTGCTGTGGCCGTTCGCTAGTCGCAAAACGGAGGGCCACAGACACAGCTCCTACGTGGACGGAATCGCAACGTATGCTAGGCCGTTTTACTGGCAGAAGATCGCCGGCAAGGAGATACGACCACTGCCGCATAGCATCGACCGATCATGCAGCTCGCCCACTGTCCCCGGCATCAAGAGAGATTTGCCTTGGTTGGCCGACGTCGGTCTCCTGGTCCTGCGGAGACTTGACTCTTGAGGGTTGGAGCGCGGAAAAAAACAAGGAATGCACTGGCAATGGTAGACCGCGGCCGCTGAGTGACTGACTCAGGGACGGCAGACACTGGATCATCACGCGCCGCCTAGGGGGCTGCCACGCGACACAGAGGTGCTGGCAACGTCAACAGTGGAACACACTTGGATATGGGTTTACTGCAGTAGCCTCACAACCGCTTGACAACAACGAGAGCCGGCTCTAGGTTTGCAAATATGTGTCGCGTCGACTAGGTGCGATTGTGTGTATCTTGTGCCCTCCGAAAAGTCGTCGACATGCGACCCGGCATATCGGCAAACCGGCGCTATCTAGCGGGATGTACATTGGAACAAGCCCGGCGCTACCTACGAAACCTTGAGAGGACAACTTAATGGCAATATGCATAGCTGGCGCAACACCATGCGTCGACGGTCGTGACGACGGTGTCGGCCAGCAGGTCTGGGCGAACTGGTAGAACTCAATTCCAAGCGACTACTGAAGAATGACGACCTGTTGGCAGCTTAATTTGGACATGAGGGGGCTTTAAAATAAAATAAAAAAAACACTCCATTCATGGATGGAAACGTTGAGAATGCCGTTGATAGGCTTGTCTGATCAACGGCCGAATGTATGCAACATGGCATTGTCAGACGCCGGTAGGTGCAGATGCATCCAGCGGCATGCACTGTACAGTCAAGCCAAGTGGGCAAAGTCGAGAAAAAATAAAATAAAAATTAAAACGGTTCCAAAACGAGAGTGGTATGTCACCTTTCCGGACGGTGGGATCGTCTCGTGTCGTGTCTTGTGGTTGGCTCATCAGTCAACGAACAAGGACATCAGGGCAAAGCGGGCACGGGGGGGGGGAGACAGGGAATGGAAAAGGCCAGGCCCAACCAGTCAGCCGGAGTAACATGGCAATAACGGAGAATTAGTAGACGACGGGACGCTGGACGCAGGCACAAATTGGAGAGTGGGAACTCTGGAGAGGCGAGCAGCCCAAAGGAGGATGAAGCAGGGCCAGCAAGAGCCAAGGGCAATCTTAAAGTCGCCCGTTCCGGGCGCTGAAGATGGGCAAGTGACAGTACTATAGTAGGTATGGGACGGGGTTGCCCTATGAGAAGAGAAAGTGTGTGTGTGTGCTACGGACGGGCTGGAACTTTGCTGGGCCCCTTGGGGCCGGGTTTGTTGGCTAGGTAGGTTCTGAATTTTTTTTTTTTTTCAATTAGATACCTTGCAGGATGCCCAGGGTAGGGCGACGGGCCTTGTCCCCCACTGTCGACTTGGCGGGTGGGAGTACATGCGTAGTAGTAGTAGTATGCGGGCCTTTGCTTGTTAGCAATGTGTGCTGCTACGTATGTAGTGGCCCTCCCACCGGGGTGGTAGGGGGAGATGCACTGTAACGTAATATCCGAGTGGGAAGTCACTTCTCTACTATGTAGAGACGCGGACTGGCTGTGGACAGGTGACGGGAGGGGAATGTGTGGGTGGTGGTGGTGGTGGTGGTGAGGAGCGTGGAGTAAGTTAGTACATGGCATGGTTAGGGAGGGGAACGGTTGGCAGTCGAGGCCGGATATGGAAGCCAATAGTGCGTTTGGAACAATTTCGCCTAAGAGGCCCAAATATATGTTTTCTGCGGTTGGAATCTGAGACGAATGGCTTTTTGTTGTTGATGAAAGGGGGGAAAAAGAAGAAGAAGAAGAGAATTTCAGCCATGCATGGCTACTTTCGACACATCACATTTCTCCCCTCTTCCGATCCAGAATAGGTCCCCTCATTCGGCCTTTGTCTAGACCTTGAGGGTGACTGACATGGCAGCTCGGCTGGAGGGCGGAGGAGTGGTGGCACAGGGCAAAAGGAGCGAATCTAGCTTTCTGCCCAGGTGCTAAGAGTCTTAGCATTGCAAGTCTATTTTATGATGACTGCAGGCTTGGGTACTGGGGAATGACGATAGAAAGGGAAGAAAGAACAAAAACAACAAAAAAGAAATAGAGAAGAAACGGACAATGGGTTTGCAGAATGCCGTACCACGGTTCGAAGTCGACACAGTCATGAGTAGGCGAGGCGAGGGGGGCGGCGTCAACGCCAACGCCAGCGCCAGCGCCAAACGCCGCCCTGCTTTTTACCAAACTCGCCAAAGCCAAATGTGCCAATGTAGGCAAACGGAACAGGAGGGGATTTGAACCACCGCTCGGCCCATTTACCTGACTGCGCCGCACATTGTCACCCGTCAACCGTCACCGGTCGCTCTGACACATAGCCATTCCGCGTCCTGGGTGGCATAGCACGAACCACTGTGGTCAGGGCAGAGTTTTGCCGTGAGGCCATTTTTGCTGGCTGGGTGTAGGCGGGCGGACTGACATGTACATACTAGCTAGGTATCCGTATGTGTGTAAGTATATGGGGACAAGGGGGTGAGAGGAAAATTGGGAATACGGAGGACACGGGACGAACTTGGGGATTCTCGGCAAAAGTCGATGTGTTGTAATCTTGATTTATTTGACTTCTCCAATTAAGTAGTTTGGATGGCCCCGTGGCTCCTTCTCTCTTTGAAAGGTTGACGGAAGGTGGATGGAAGGTGGAAAGGATGTTTGAATAGCCCGTTCGGGTAATTGTGGACCTTCTTTCCCTTTGCATTCTTTATTTCCCTCCCGTCACCTTCTTTGTCTGTCTGGCTGCTGCTGCTGATGATGATGTATTGCTGCAAGATAAGGTACGTTCCTTTCTTTTCTTTTATTCCTTCCCTTCTTTATTTCCAAAGCTTCCAAAGTGCCGCTGGGGGGGGGGGGGGGGGGGGGGGGGGGGCGGGACTAGTAAGCAATGATTTGTGGGTATATATCTGTAATCTGCACGGGGACTGGAAAAGCAACATAGGCAATAGATAGAGAGAAGATAGAGGAAGTGAGGGATAGGGAGCGATAGGGAAATAAAACCCGGCAGATAGAGGGGGAAAAAAGCAAACCATTGTCAAAGTGGAATTAAGTAGCTGCAGAAGAAACAAGTACATACATGAAGGAAGGGGCACATGGTTTTGGTAGTGCACATGATCGATGACTCTGGCAGAGTGGGCTTTTGGGGGATCCGCAGTGGCATCCGTCTGTCGTGCTGAACCGAAATACGGAGCAGCAAGCCGGCGGATAGCGACTGGTTCGCCGAAAACATGCCTACTGCTATTTACTACATAGTAAGGCAAGATCAGGTTGCATCCTGCCTGATAGGCGACCCTGGAGCCTGGTGAAGATGCAGGCTGGAGGGCAGAGATGGATAGGCATAGGCATGTAGGGTCGAACATCATCGATGGGCAAGGTACCATACTACTACTACATAGTAGACAGTCCACAGTCACGGTGGGTCGGGTACAGTAAGCAGCCAAGACTGGACGGTGCACAGTCCAGCCCCATCTACCGGTACCTAGAGTTAGGACCACTGCGCAGAGAACATTGGCTCGAATACCGTCTTAATCCAATGTATCTTTTGATTTTATTCTGGTTTTTTTTTTAGAGTGAAGCCACACAGTAAGTAGGGCTTCCGTTTTAGGTCCCCGATCCAAGTATCAGCCCTCTTCTGATTGGAAGATGAGCATCGACACTGGCATTGACACTGACATGACCCAACGCTAGCCCAAAAATGGATCCGTTTCAAAACCGTCGGGTACCACATTGCCCTGAAGCCTTCTGGAGCCTTTTGGGGCTTTTGGGTGGCCTATGGGGGGAGAAGGCCTATAGGTGACAGCAGCCATGTTCCCTCTTCCTCTCTCTCTATCTTCTTCCCCATCTCCTCTCACTTTCTCTCTTTCACTCCCTGCCCATGTCCATGTCAATGTACCCGTTCCATTTCTAATTCCAGTCCGGTTCCCTTTTTTCCTTCTGGTCTCGACCAACCTAACCTGCCCCTGCGCCTGCATTTGCATTGCACATCCCGCCCTCTCTTTCTCTATTTCCGTTCCTACCTCTATCTTCCGCCGTCGCCCGCTGCTGCTCCCTCCGATTGCCCTCCAAACAGCCACCTTACAGCCTACATAGTACAGCACCAACCGTCATAGACGGAACGGCCGCGCTCCATTCCCACTTACTACGTTAGAGGGGGCCATTCAACCACTGCGACAAAGCCTGGTCACCACTACTACAGTGTAGCGCTCTGGACTGAACATAGCCCAACCGAGCCTCCTCTCTCTCACACCCCCATGTTCTCGTCATAGCCCCCTCCGTCTTTCTACGCTTGTCTCCTCTTCATCCTCCTCCTCCTTCTCCTACTACTACTACTTCGACTCACCCTCCTCTCTCTCCCTCTCCCTCACTCCTTGAACCTCGACCACCGACATCCCTACCCGCCGCTTCACCCCACGGCTTCCCTTCTTTTGTTAATTTTTCTTATCTGCCCCTTGCCTTTCGGTTACGTTGCGAGGGATTGACTCAATCTATCAGAGAGAGAGAGTGTGTGTGTGTGTGCGTGTGTGTGAGAGACTGTTCGACTACCAGAATTCCAACTGTAGGTTGGACTGACTAAGTGAGTAAGTGCACCGCATCATACCCCGTCCTCTTCCCTCTTCTCCAGAGTCCCTACCTCTCTGTCCTCCTCCCCCCACGGGCCGTTTCAACAGTCCACAGACAGCCAGACGCATCAAAACCACCCCAAAACACACAGAAAAGTGTACAAGGAGGACGTTCTATTAACGCTGCCCCAGTTTGTGGGCCTTTCGTGCAGCTGCTTTACGCCCTTCCGTCTCTCTCCCACCTCTACGAATCGCAGACGGCCGCCACCCTCCCATTGATAACGTCGCGCTTTATTATCCCTCCTCCTACTCACTTCTCTACTCCCCCACGACTCGCATGCGACTCTTCCTACGACACGCACGACCGTCGTCCGTACCCACCACGTCCACACGTTGCATATAATCATGTCAAACGGTCCACCCCAGTCCATGCCGATTCACACGGAACACCAAAACAGGGTTGATGGGAGCTCCGACCCCGTCGCCTCAGATGCAAACCTACACAATGCAGATTACCACAACGACATCTCCTTCCCTTACCTCGTCTCGAACCCTCAGATTCAATTCCGAACAAACACAATAGCCCCCTCGCCGCCCTTGTCCGAATCCTCCTTTCAACACCTGGAACCTCAATCCAACCAAACTCCCGGCCCGAGTCCCCTCTCAACAAACAGCAACAACAACAGCACCAATTGCCTTCGAATTCAGACGTCTGACTTGCACCCAAGTCACTCGACACGCTCCGACACTCACGCCAACGCCGCATATACAACTCCTCGCCGCCCCAGTGCCGGTCTTACCCACAAGACTTCCTCGTCCAGTTTGAAGCCCGTATCGAGAACCCCCAGCTTCAAGGCCGCAATCCACAGCCACAGCCTCGGCCCCGGCTCGTCTACAAGCTCCTGCTTGCCCAGCCCGATTCTATCGGCTATGAGCGACGTCACACCGTTGCCCTCGCCGTTATTATCTGGAGACTCACCGGGCCCTTGGAGACGTCTTGGTGTGCGACCACCGTCTCGAGACCAGATGCACAACCCTACCCCAGACTCCGTGCTGGTCTCGTCCACGGGCGAATCAATAGCCGCAGCCCTCGCCAACGCCTCAAAACGCAAAGTTTACGCCGGACTCGTCGCAGAGGGCGAGGCCACCGCCGCCAAGGGTCCCCTCGTCGGAGGCAAGCAGCAGCATGCGCGAGACCGCAGCATCAGCGAATATAAACCCGACCCCAATTATATCCCTAAGCGCCATATTACCGTCTCCGGCTCCCACATCAAGTCAGATGCGCAGGAATCCGCTGCCGAACCGCATATGCGTCGCGAGTTGAACCTCGCCGAGTCGAGAGGTTTGACCCCCGCGATCGCCCAGCCGCCTACCCCGCCGCCCAGCGAATCTTCCAAGGACTCGAGCGACTCCACCAGCAAACCGAAAGCGGGCCTGCCCGAATATTTCGAAGCCTTTGACCGCCGCGACCACAAGAGGAGGAGATGGAGGGCAGTGAGGACCCTCGGCCAGGGAACCTTCAGCCGCGTCATGCTGGCTACGAGCCACATCGACGACGACGATGAGGCGTTACACGTCGACAGCCTCACGCCGATTTCGGAAATCTCATCACCGATCAGAAAGACGCTGGTCGCTGTCAAGGTTTGCGAGCATGGCCCGAGAGGTGGAGCAAGTGAGGACCGCATCGAAATGTCACTCAAACGCGAATTAGAAATCATGCAGAGCATTAGCCATCCTTCGCTGGTCCACCTGAAGGCATGGAACATCGAGCCCAGCCGCGCCATTTTGGTCCTCAGCCATTGCCCCGGAGGCGACCTATTCGACGTTGCCACGGCACACCGGGAAGTCCTCAAGCCTACGCTTCTGAGGAGGATGTTCGCCGAGCTGGTGGGCGCCGTGACATACCTGCATGAGCGCAGGATCGTCCACAGGGATATCAAGCTCGAGAGTGGGTGACATCTGACTGACACGTTCTCGAAAACACTGCTGACAATTACCACAGATGTGCTCGTCAACCTGACCGCACCCGAGCTCGCTGATCCCTCGACGGACTGGACGACGTACCCGCACTCGGTCATCACTCTGACCGATCTGGGTCTTTCCCGGCGTATTGCCGACGATGAGAAGCTCGAGACCCGTTGCGGGTCGGAGGATTACGCCGCGCCGGAGGTCATCATGGGCCTACCCTACGACGGCCGTGCGACGGACGCATGGTCTCTGGGCGTCCTGCTCTACGCGCTCCTCGAGGCCCGTCTGCCGTTCGACCCGTACCCCAACACGATGGATGGCCACCGCATGCGCAGCCGCACGAGCCACCGCATCGCCCGCGCGGAGTGGCGCTGGATCGAGTACGCCGGAGATGACGGCGACCACGAGGGCGACGAGGCCAAGTTCAAGGAGCGCGGCCTACTGGGCGCCATGGAAATCACCGAAGGCCTGCTACAGCGTGCGAGAAGCCGATGGACGCTGGAGAAGGTGGCCGAGCATGAGTGGGTCAAAAACGCTATCCAGGTTGAAGGCGGCCTGCGCTTCCGCGAAGAAGTGGAAGGCGCAGAGGTATGATGATATCGAGAGGCATAGCACTCTCTGGAATTGATGACTGGAATTAAAAACAGGGCACGGTATGGAAAGGGATGTACAAGTAAGAGGAACGGTTGCTGGGTCGGCATATCGGCATTCATACCACATGCTCTTTCGTTGGTGGGGGGGCACTGCTATCTTTTTTTTCTTTTCTTTTTCCTTCTCTTCCTCTTCTAACCATTTCCTTATTATGTTCGACGCGAGAACTTTTTTATTATTCACTCGCACGTAGGGTTGGAGCATTCGCTTCTTGGGGATGAGACGAGAAGATGTCCCCCTTACCATTTTTTAACCCAAACTAGATTTAAGCCCACGACGAAAAAAAACCTAGACCTGGCCAGCGAAGGTGTTTGCTATATTGGACGGGTATCATTATTGTACAGTTATTGGGCTAGGTCATATTGACCAGTCCGCATCATTACCAGCGTGCATCCTCGCCTGTTGCAGGACACGTTTGGATTGTCCGTTATATCGGCATTTGGATTTTTAGCTATTTTTTTTTTCCCCCTTTCTTTATTCTTTTGCTTCTTTTGTTTAGTTTTGAGAATACCCCCAAAATTATTAGAAAACAGTTACTTTACTTTTTTAAGATGGGTTTTGGTTGTCCGCCATTACAGTCTCCTCTTCGTGCCTGTGCCTGCGCCCACCTGTGCCCACCTGTGCCAATGCTCAAGTCTCGTCTTGTTCCGTTGTGGCGTCTCGTGCCACGGGTAAGTATGCCGAACGGATCGATGCTCGCTCGCAGTCTAACCGCCGCCAGATTGACGGGCAAATATGGCACTGTCATATGTGGCGTTCCATCGGGGGGGAGTTGGACGTGGTGCTACTAGGCTTGCCGATTTTCCGGCCAAAGCGAGCTTTTAGCTACGTAGTCGCGTAAGTGGCCGTCAAAAAAAGGAAAAGAGACAAAAAAAAAAAAGGGGGTGGGCGTAGCCACGCCTGAAGGCGGATGTTGGGAATGTCAGTCAGGATGGTGGGGGAGGAGGGGGCGGAAAGGAAAAAGGATGAGGGAAAGGGAAAGCCAAAAAAAGAGAGCCGCTAACTAAACTGGACTGGCACGCGAAGAGTCGCACGAGCTGGGACGGGTTCCTGAGTTGAGGCGTGTAAGTGTGGCTTTTTTTGCCCGTTTGAGCGGGGTTTCTTTGTCCTTTCTTGTGTCTTTGTGTGCGTGTGTGTTTGTTTGTGTGTATTTCGGGGGGATGGGGAGAAGTCTGGTTCACGGCTTTGGACTGATTACTTTCTTTCTCTTTTTTTCTTTTATTTGTTCTAATTAGGTAGCTTATACAATTGCCCGTTTCCCCTCCTCTTTTTTGCAATTCAGACAGACCGTTTACTTTGACCCTCCCAAAAGCCTCCGGGTTCAAAGGCAAGTTTAAGCCGGGTTTGGCCGGGTACCGGGGCCCGGACCGGGTTCGCGAAAAAAACCGGTGATCATCGGCGAAATACGTAAAAGCGAGGAGGGCCCGAAAGATGCCTCACCGTTCTGACTCTGACGTCGACGAAAAAACCAAGGGGGGGGGTCTGATGATGTAGTGTGTAAGTATTCCTCCGTTTCCCTCCCTCGTCCCATGGTCCCCCCCCCCCCCCCCCCCCCCCACCACCTCCCGCCTAAAAGACGACGTCGCTACCCGGCCAGAGGACGTCATACACTGCCCCCTCGTCGAGGCTGATGTTCCCCACAACCTGCAGATTCGCGGGGTCGGGAAAGTTCATCTCGGTGGGCCCGATGAACTGGCCCAGGTCGTCCAGGTCGCGCCACGAAAAGCCGCGCCCGAGGAGGTCCGTCTGTAGCGGGAGGACGTTTGCGTGCAATCCCGCGGCGCTGCCCGCCATGCGAGGGTGCGTCACGCCGTTGGGGAACGACATTGATGCGTCGTGGTTCTGGTAGGCTGTGTTTTCGGGCATGTTAAACGGGGCAGGAGCCGGGGCCGGGGCGGGGTCGGTGATCATCGGTGTCGGTCCCACTTCTCCGCTTCCGAGATCGGCGGGTTCCGGGTGGTGGTGGTTGTAGTGGTAGTGGTGGTGAGGAGGGGGTGCGGGTTTCCGGGCCGGTGATTTGGAGCGCCAGAGAAGGGAGAGGAGACGCGCGTAGCGCTGGCCTAGGCTGTGTGCGCTTTCGGATGATCGTTGTAGGCAGGATACTGTTACGGAGATGGAGCGTCGGACGGAGTCTGAGGCTTCGCTTCCTAGGGCGCCTGCGAGGCGGGCCTGCGGTTTTTTTTAGTTGTGGTTTTTTTGTATTATATATATATATATGTGTGTGTGTGTGTGTGTGTTTGGGGGTTTGTATCGTGGAACTCTCCCGTACTTACCTTGAACAGAAACACCGCCGCATAAATCACGTAGAGGTAATACTTCAGCGGCATGTACCGCAGCTCCGTCGCCGGATCCACGGACGTGTTGAGGATATCGAGGAGGGAGTTGGCGGCGTCCATGGATTCGTAGATGAACCTTGCGTCCGGTGTGCTCGCGAGGTCCGAGAACAGCGGCCCGTTGATGGCTGTTGCTGTCGCCGCTCGTGTTGCGTGTGTTGTGCTTTGCTGTGGTGTCTGGGTTCGGGATTGCGGGTGTGATTGTTGGGCTGCCGCTTGTTGCTGCTGTTGTTGTTGTTGTTGTTGTTGCTGCTGCTGCTGGCGTGCTCGGGTAATTGCGCGGTTGATTGTTGCTTGGAAGGCAAAGGCGTTGATGTACAAGCGCAGAAACTCATAGGAGAGGTTCAGGCCTGCTTTTATTATCGGGGTGACTGCGGTCCGTCAATATCTGCTATGTGGAGGGTCATAAACTCCAGGACGCTACTCACAGCTCAAGCCCCCCCAGACGAGTTTCCATTTACGGAGAACGGCGAAGGAATCGTCCTGGGTCATTAGTCTTCAGCTTGTAGTATCCGATACTCGTCAACTCACAATGTATCTGACGTACTCTCCCCCCAGATAAAGCTGCGCTCTGTGACTCGCCGAAGAATAGAGTATGTCGTGGGCGTTGCTGAAGAGCTGTATCAGCTCGAGCTGCGCCTGGAACAGCTGCCCTAGGTTGTCCGACCCAGCCCGCTGGACCCTGAGGGAGGGAAAGTCGACGGAGCGAGGGATTGTAGATGGCCCTGGTCCGCGGGACCAGAACCCCTTCCCTACCCGAATCGACACCTCTCTGTCACTCATGTAACAAGCTACAGCGAAGAGTTAGCAAGACAACTCACCAAGCAAGATTTGCCAAGAGGTAAGGAAGCCGCTCACCAGCCCAAACAAGCCTCTTCCTCCGAAAGTGCTCTGACAGACTATTCTGCTTGTCAACCAGCAACCCCGTCTGCTCCAAACTCTGCAGATACCCCAACCGGATGGCGACGCCGATCTGCATCCAAGCTCCTTCGTCCTCCTCTCCTCTCCCAACGGTGGGCTTCTCTTGGAGCCTCTGCGGCGCCCACTGCGCTAGGATCAGCAGCGCCTCGACGGCGCCGACCGTCGTCGAGCCCTTGTAGATTAGCTTCGATATCAGCGTCTCCATGTGCCGCGAGCATGCCTCGTGGACCGCCGACAGGGATGGCTCATCTTTCGAGACGACGGTGAAGATTGCTGTGAGCAGGTGCGGTTCCGCTTCCGTCAGGGCGGCGATTGAAGAGGGTGAGAGGATGCAGTTGTGGGCTACTGGGAAGAATGGGTGGAAATGTTCGTAGTATCTTGACCCGTGTTAGTCGAGGATGTGAGACTGGAAAGGGGGTACTGACGTGTTCAGCATACGAGATGCGACGGACACGGGGAGAATGCCGTCCGATATTGGAGGGTAATTGTAGTCTGATGTCAACTTTGAAGACGGGCGTGTTCCGTCGTGAGATGTACCGTCGCCGGTGGTGGTCGAGCTGCCTGACGGCTTCCGGGAAGGCTCGGGCTCATCATCATCCAAGTCGGCGACTTGGGCCAGGAGATTTAACGCATCGGATGGGTTCAAGAGATCGCTGGACGTGATGCATCCTTCTATATCCCCGGCGCTCTGAAGGGACCTGGCGCCGGGGCTGTCCGGCTGTGACCCGGACCCGGGCCAGCTGGCGGGGCGGCCCGGGGTGTCTTCCTCCGGGGTACTCGGCCACGTCTCCCCTTGTTGGCCCGAGTCCGGGGACTTTTGGTCGGCAAAGGACGGAAGTGAAACATGACCGCCTCCACCTCCGCCTCCGCCTCCGGTTGCTGATTCAGAGGCTGCTGCGGCTCCGCCCGGAGGCGGGAAGACGCCCTCGCTGTCTGGAAGCCGTAAACATTTCCTCGGTCGCCTACCGCCGCGTCGGGAGGTCGCCAAAATACATTCCTTCTTCTCACGGACGCAACGACGGCATGGTGGAGATCCTGGGTTTCCGCTGTAGTCGCTACATGTAAGGTACGGCTGGTCAGCTGCCGAGAACGTGAACTGAACGCTGGTACCGGCTTGTGGTGTGCTTGTTCGGAAAGACGGCCACTTACAGGTCGCATCTCGTCTTCCTGAGTCGACAGGAGACGCACGCGCGTGAAACCCGCCGCTCCTTTCCATTAGCCGCGGTGCGTGACTCTCGGCGTGGTGGCTGCCCGACTCCGGCCGGCGAGGGCCGAGACCCCGGTTCCACAGACATGCCCACTCGATGGGATGGGTGGATTGGATAGTGGGACAGATACGAGAGGGCCCAAGCTTTCTCGAAATTTTATGAATACGACGCCGACCCGGCAGCGTGAGCGTGGACGAATTCAGTTCCCCCGTAAACTGTGGTTCGGGCAGACGTAACAATGAGAGAGGGGGACAGGAAACATGATGCGGACGTTCGGCAATTCAGAAAGACTGTGAGCGGCAATGTGCTCGGCGATAATTGGGGTTTTATGTTTTCTTGTACGCGCACACGTGCTTATCTCTATGTAGTTAGGTCATGACGCATGCTATATGGAGTGGGAAAGTTTGTAGTTAAAAAGGCTGGGAGAATCCCTCCCGCCCAATTGCTACTCTCTGTTCCCCCCGAAACTAACATTTCGGTTGTATCGTACACCGCATCGATCGCGAATCAGATTGGCCAGGGCTCCAAATCGGTGTCGCAGCACAAAAGGTGTATCCTGAACCCTGCAACTGCATGGTTGCGAGAGCGGTGGGTTGCATGTGTACTCAAGAGAGACAGCCTTCTACCCTGAAAGCGTTTGCAGAAAGATACGTTACGCATTATTTCGTGATGGTTGTTAATGATGATGCATACTTTGAATGGCCGGGACAACAGATATGCATTAGAGACTACTACTTTAGACCTCCGCTGAGGACGATCTCCTGGCCTGTCAAGTATCCTGTTTTGGCGAACCTGCAAGCGACAAATTAGACTTGACACTGAGTTTCACAATACACGCGCAGGAATGACTTACATCTTGACAACGTTTGCTACTTCTTCAGGGGCTCCGAGACGGTGAACCGGAACACTCGCGGCGATTGCAAGCCCGGGATCCGTGGCTCTCAAAGCCTCGAGATCGTCTTTGCTGTCCCAAGTCCTATATTGTGTTAGTTGAAGTGTCGGATGTGAATTGGGGTCTTCTCTCACTTTGACTTTGGCGTGGCGATCATGCCAGTTGCCCCGATCATGGCGGGCAAAACCTGCAGTGAATCAGTTATGAGGCTTTCAACTGATGCTAGAACTAGTAAGACTGAGAACTTACGATGTTTACGGTAACTCCTTCCGGGGCCAAAAGCGTTGCCAAGTTGAGACCCATTGAGCTTCAATACTGCGTCAGTAACCAACCCTATGCGTTGGACTTGATGTAAAGCCCCTGAAAACAAAGCAGAAGCCTCAAAAGATTCAACTCACCAGAGCGCACCCTTGGTAGCCGCATAATGGCAACCGTTGATACCGCCTCCCCGGCTCGCGATGCTGCCCACCAACACCACGCGACCCCATCCCTGAGCGCGCATGCCCGGGAGACAAGCCTTGGTGACAACGAACTGACTGCGAGCGTTGACCTCCATCATCTCGTCCCAGTCATCCTCGCCAATGTCGGCGGGATCGCGAATGCGGCGTCCGAGGCCTGCATTAGCGACTAGAATCGAGATGGCCTTGTGCTTTTGGGCGACCTCGCTGTTGGCGAAGATGCTTGGCACGAGGTTCCGAGTCGACTCTCGCGATGAGAGATCTGCTTGGAAGTGGTGAAAGAGTTGCAAGGGGTACTTTGTGCGAAGCTCTTGGGCCAAAGCCTCTGCCTTGCTCTGAGTATGTGTTAGTTGCTTTGAACCTTGGTGAGAGGAGGGAGGGGGGGGGGCCGTGTTGCATACCTGACTTGAAGAATAGTGCAACGCAACATCGCAGCCCTCTGCAGCCAGGCTATGTGCGACGGCCGAACCGATACCACCGCTGTTTATTGACGATTGAGATTAGCTACAGATCTCACGGCACCCACACCCGTAAACGTACCTTGCACCCGTCACCAGAGCCAGGCGGCCCTGGGTGCGGTTGTCCGTGTCTTGAATTTGATATTGAACCATGATTGGAGGCAATGACCCTTGTAAAAAAAAAAGCTCCTTATAATGCAGGTAAAAAGAGAAGCAATGCTAACGCCTTTAAACAACTACGCTTGCGACGAATTGCGTATTCTCCAGATCGTATAAGTCGATGCGGGCGCATTCCTCACGAGTCTCGTTCAACATACATGCGGCTAATGAGGGGTTGGAGGAGAGCGCGGGACAAACACCGATTGCCGAATAGCCGATCCTTCAATTGCCGCCGCTATCGGGGGCGCCGTAATGGAGCAGGGCTCCAGCGTCTTGAGTCGTACTAAGTCAGTCCCCGTTGGTAGTGCAAGTAACTATATCTGAGTTCAGATATAAATGTGTCTAGGTCCTAAAAGGGATTTTTTTTTATTGATCATCACCACGAAAATGTGTCGGGTCCAGGATTCCTAGAGAATCCTTTTTGAAATATACTGGAGAAGGGTTGGGAAATGATTCTCGAACACATGATGATTTTGTTTTTAAATGAATTAATTGGTTTATTTTTATTTTTCTCTTTCTCTTTTTCGTGGGACGTAAGATACAAGGACCGTTACTAAGGAATCTGTACAGTCTTTGGTCGCCGTGCCTTTCCATGTAGTAGAGTAACTAGACAACAACCACTGAAAACAATGCATGGATAACTCAGAGCGGTCAATAGCCGTAGCACCCTGGCCATAGCTAGAAAACTTTGCAGAAAAAGCCCCATCGGCTATTGTCTATCATGATTCTGTCGGCATCTGAGTCGTCTGATGTCCTAGGTAACCTAGTTTAATTGCCTGGTGGACGTTTCAATCCACCTCGACAGCTCATTTATCCAGACCCCGCAAATGCGCTCTCCCCCGTGGGGATGCCTGGGGAAGGGGTCTTTGCCGTCATCGATCATGATACCTGGTGAATATCTTGCTTAATTCTCGTTGTTTTGTTTGCGTGAGTTTTAGACTTATAAACACTGACCAGCGCGTCTGGATCTAAGTTGGTAGAGGCAAGCTGCAACATCGCGGTTTGACTTGGACTTGCGGACCATATTCTGCTCAGCACAAGTTTTCCAACGGTTCCATATTTATCCAAAGACATCATGGGTGAATTTCGTGGCCAGCGGCTGGTGTTGGTCGTCAGCGTTTTGACGTCTCTGGGATTCATGCTGATCGGTTATGACAATGGACTTATGGGAGGACTTGGTGCGTGTTCTCGACAACTTGATTGACCAAAGAAGTACTTGGCTAATTGAGATTTTGCTGCTAGTCACTGCTCCGGCGTTCAACTCGACATTCGACTCACCGGACCCAACGATGACCGGTCTCATCGTTGCTATTTACGAAGGTTCGAAGCTCGCCGTCGGCTGCTGAGCTCACATGCTGACTTACCGCAACACAGTTGGATGCTTCTTTGGTTGTGTCGCGACGGCTTTCTTTGGCGAAAGGCTTGGTCGACGCAAGAGCATAGGAATTGGATGTTTGATTATGGTGGTCGGAGCCGTCTTGCAAGCCGCAGCCTACGGACGCGCACAACTTATCGTCGGAAGAATCGTCTCCGGCGTTGGCATGGGCATTGTCAATTCTACGGTACCTGTGCTGCAGGCGGAGTTTAGTCCGAAGGCAAGCCGTGGAATTTGTAAGTTGTGAAAGTGCCCGTATCTTCAGAAAGTGCTGACTGGTGCATCACAGACGTTTGCGCTCAACTGTCTACCCTCAACTTTGGTATCTTCCTCATTTACTGGATCGACTACGCCTTCTCATCCCACACCGAAAGCTATGCCTGGAGAGTGCCGGTTATTTTGCAGTGCATATGCATCCTGCCCATGTTCGCCATCTTGCAAATCATCCCAGAGACGCCTCGATGGTTGGCTGCCCACGACCGACCCGACGAATGTTTGGCTGTTCTGCAACGCTTGAAGGGTGACCACGAAGATGAGGAAACTATCAGGGCCCTCCACAACTCCATTATGCAAACTGTGGCATACGAGGCGTCGGTCAGTTCTGGATCTTGGAAGGATCTATTTATCAATGACCGGATCAAGACTGGTCAGCGGTTCCTTATTGCCTGCGCCATTCAAGGATTCCAGCAGCTCGGAGGCATCAACGCCATCATCTGTGAGTAAATATTGTGATGATTCAGAGCAAAATTGCTAACGTTTTGATATAGACTATAGCAGCACTCTATTCGAGAAGAGTATTGGTTTCGACAAGCACATGTCGAGTTTGATGTCTGGATTCTTACAGACATGGTTCTTCGTGGCCTCGTTTATCCCATGGCTTCTGATTGACCGTGTGGGAAGAAGACCTCTGGTAAGAAAGCTTGCCATTGACCTATCCTATGTTGACACTCACTGACGTAACCTTCAGCTGCTTTCTATGATCAGTGTTATGGCGGCAGTTATGGCAGTACAAGCTGCTCTGATTTATCAGGTCCAGAACGTCACAGCCATTGCTCATGCTGCTGGCATCGGAGCGGCCGCCATGCTCTTCGTCTTCCAAGGAGCATTCACCATCGGATTCCAGGCGACAGTCTGGGTTTACCCGTAAGGCAAAACTTACCTATTTGAAGCTTTGAATTCTAACACCATTCCAGTTCTGAAATCCTGCCTCTTCGAATTCGCCAGATGGGATCATCCGTGTCCAGTGCAGTCAACTGGATCTTCAACTACGTAAGTTTTCCTTGCTATAGCTCTAAACTTCTGATGCTAATATATACAGATGATCGTGCAAGTTACACCCATTGCTATTGCCAACATTGGATGGAGGACATACATCATTTTTGCCGTTCTGAACGCTACTTGGGTTCCTATTATCTACCTGTTCTTCCCCGAGACCAAGGGTTTGGAGTTGGAGGATGTGGACCGGCTCTTCTCTGGTGACGATCTCACTGACATGGATCGCCGCTCCGTTGACAAGCATGATGTGTGGGATGTTGAGGATGTGAGGGCATGAACCGGGATGCCAACTTAGGATTAGAGCGCACGAGTCAGGTGTTCGAGATTGATGTCAGTAACAAGGACGTTTGTAGAGTTCTGAAGACACCGAGCAGTCTGCAGTTCAGTTTCAGCTCCGCTGGTGCACATCGAATATGTCAACAAGTGATCGCTCCTATTAGACTTTGTTGACGGGCACATCGAAGCAACGCCCACGCCCACGGTCCGATTTTTCATACAACGTTACCCCTGTTCCTGAGCGATTTAATAATACTCGGACCCATGAACTTTAAAACCTGTGACTCGGCATGACAGACAGCCCCGCAGTAGCTTGGACTGGAGCTATGGGGAACGTGTGTGCCCTGGTGCCCAAGCTTTGACCCTTACCCTCTTGATCGTATCATCAAAATACCAGTGCCACTGGTACAAGTTTTTCCAGTCGATTTCTCGAATTCTTGGCATAGATTCACCATATTGATTGGAAGATCTACATCGAGTCGATTTTGCTGTACATTCACCATGGCGAACACTTCTGCTTTCGCCGTATATGACGACTCGGTGAAGAAGCTGTTTGGCAGCTCGCCGAAGTTGGAGCTCTTGCACGAGAACCAAGAATATCCCTTTGCGCACGAGGCAGGAGTCTTCATCGAGCGGGACAACACTCTCTTCATCACCAGCAATCAGTTCATTGACAAGACCGGCGGTAGGAAGATACAGGTATGCCGTGTCACACTTCCATCGAATGGCAATGCCAAGGTCAAGTGCGAGGAGATTTACCCTGAGAGTGTGCACATGGCCAACGGCGGTGTCAACTACCTAGATGGTGTTCTTTTCTGTGCCCAAGGAACTTTGGATTCGCCTGGTGGCATCGTTTTCATGGAGGCCCAGCCACCTTATCAGACGCGGTTGATGATTAGCTCGTTCCATGGTCGGGAATTCAACTCCGTCAACGACGTCGTCGTTCACAGCGATGGCTCAATCTGGTTCACCGACCCGATATACGGCTATGAGCAGGGAATTCGACCACGGCCGAAGCTTCCCAGTCAGGTGTATCGATATGACCCCATTAGAAGCTCGATCAGAGCGATGGCGGATGGGTTTGGAAGACCGAACGGAATCTGTTTCAGTCCTGATGAAAAGACCGTCTATGTGACGGATACCGACTGGATTCACGGTGACGGTTCAACCGACCTCACAAGACCTTCAACCATGTATGTGGTAAAATGACTATTGCTGCTGCTGCTGAGACTTTCTATCCGGATCTAAAAGTAAACTCACTAACAAACCACGTCAGCTATGCTTTCGACGTTGCTTCTTACTCTGGAGAACCGTTCCTCACAAATAGGCGGCTGTTCGCCATGGCAGACACAGGCATTCCGGACGGCATCAAATGTGACGTCCACGGTAATGTGTACAGTGGCTGTGGCGATGGCGTGAACATCTGGTCGCCAGGGGGTGTGTTGCTGGGAAAGATTCTCATTCAAGGCGGTGCTGCCAACTTCTGCTTCGGCCGCAACGGGGAGCTTTTCATCCTCAATGAGCACCGTCTGTGGAGAGCAAAACTGGCTGACGAAACCAAGGGAGCGTTGTTGTGTATTTAGATCACTCTGATGCTCGACATTCCGGGCTCGGGTCCCGCGGAAAACGAGTTTGGAAGTCAAGGGCGCCTCTGTGATTGTGGACTATCGGCCGCGTGAAGGATTTTATGAAGGTTACTATCAGGGCTTCTAGATACCACTTTCGTGGCTTGGGGATGGTCATTGATTGGCCCAGAATTGAGCGACTTACAGCTTAGGACAGGATTGCCAAAATGTTGCTTAGAATTCATCAACAGTGCTAGTTTTCTTCCTTCGTATTAAAGTAATACACTGTGAACCCATCTAAAGGCTTGAAATACCGATTGGCGAGACACGAAGGAGGGCAAAAAGAAGGCCACAGCAGGCGGCTGAGCATAACCTGCGCACTGGTAGCAGTTGACTGCAAGTATTGTTAAAATATACATGGCACATCTTGTGATACCTCGAGCCTGATCAATTTTCTGAAATTACTCGAGTTAAAAAGCTACAAAGCCGATGTTAACATGGAACATGCAAGTCGAGCTTTCTTCACAGATTCTTTAGATCGACCTTGGTCTGTAAGATGCACAATTATGAGATTGGGTTGGTGGCAGGTTCCAATAACTTTGCCAGTCCGCCAGATTTCGCCGACTGAATTTATCCTACATCATTCACTAGTATAGGAGAAGGTATAGGAAAGATTGAGCAAACCCACGGTTTTTTCGAACATCTAGATCGCCCTGGCCAGGGGCCAGACATAGCCTCTAGTCACTACGAACCAAAATCAATGCATGAAAAGATCGATTGAAAGGAAGCAATGATTCTGATGAGAAATTATTGGAGTATGGATTGGAACATGTATCTTTTCTGCTTGATCGGCCTGCGATTCGCGTTCGGGCACCAAGCATTCTACATGTCGCTCGATGGCGTTATCGTACATGGCGATGACCGGTTGACCAAGCACCGACAAGTCACAGCACTTGCTTTCGCATTGAAAGTTGGTCTAGTTCCTACAGTTTTGTACCATACAATAGGGTTGTTCCTTCGGTTAAAGCTGACTGGAACTATCGGAGGACTGTACAGCTCCCAACGCCTAGATCCGGGTATATCGAATCAGTTTGATCAAACCGAAAACCGTTACCCCCATTTTGACCTTGGCAGAAGGATTGAGGATATCTTCGATAGTTACATGTTGTCATTTCTCGGAAACCCATCATATTTAGCAATTTCATAGGCAGAAAGTCCAAGTGATGTTACGAGAACCAATGTAGGGAGTTCCTACCGCTATCGAATTCCAATACCTGTCTCAATCTATAGTGGCAATCTTGCTCTGATTCTGAGGAATGGCTGCTGGGACAAGGGCACGGCAAAGAAATGGCGGCTTTTCAAGGAAAGTTGCGTTCTCCAACATTAAAATTGGCATCTTGTCGGATTTTTTGCTTCCGCAAAACGTTCTCACAACAATGGTTTCCTATTTCTGCTCCAAGAGCCATCGTACACCTTTTACTGTATCCTCAACAAACTGTTTGCTTTGTTTGAGGTAAGGAAAGTTGGTCCAGAAGTAATGCGGAAGCCCAGGGTAAATGTCCAGCTTGGTCTTCACCCCGGCTTCCTCCCTCAGCACACGCTCGTAAATAAGCGCTTCATCTCTGAGAGGATCCAGCCCAGCGACCTGGAAATAAGCAGGGGGTAGCCCCTTGTGGCCCTGGCCGATTTTCCCAGAGTGAAAAGGGACGAAAAGCGGGCTCTCCATGTCTGGTTTCACGATGAGCTGGATGCCTTTGATTGATTCTTCATCGTTGATGCCTATGACGGGATCTTTGGACGGTGTCACGAAAGGGTGGCTGAGGTATTCAGCTCGGTATTTCTCTGGTATAGCCTCGGGAGGGAGGAGACACATGATCGCTGGCACACATAGATACTGGCCCGTCAGTGGCGGCGAGAGATCATTGTCGCGTGCTAGGTGGGCAAGAGTGGCGGAGATATTGCCCCCGGCTGAGCCGCCACCGATAATGAAGCCGCGAGAGGGATCGGCACCCAGCTCCGATGCGTTCTTGGCGGCCTGTTATGAAAGGTTAGCAAGTCAGCTTCAGTAACTCGATGAGCTACCACATACCCATTGCAAGGCGTCCCAGCAGTCGTTGATGTACGTGGGAAACGCGAATTCAGGTGCGAGTCTAATTCAAGTGAGCTTTTGCGTAATGAAATGAAGGACAAGTAAGATACTTACCGATACTCGACGTTGACGCAGACTGCACCTAGGTCGCGGCTGAACAGGCGACAATTCACCTCTTCATCCGTTAGGTCGCCCATTGACCAACCTCCTTCATGATACATGACAATCAGAGGGCTCCCTTCAGCTGGTGCCTTCACCGGTGTGTAGATACGAACGGTAATTTCGTAACCATCTCTGGTAGTGATCTTGCGGTCTTCCTCTCGAACCTGTTCTGGTATGGGGCCAGGTAGATATCGCAAGTGATGCTTTTCACGCAAATGGGTTGCTCTATGCTCGCGTAAGGCAAAAAAGTCATCCCGTCCATAGTATGGGTCGCTAGGCTGTGGCGGCCGGATAGGCCGTGCGGCCAGTTCCTAACAAGGTCAACATCACAGTATCAATACGAAATGTTGCTCCAACTTACGGCTTCGTAGTCAGGATCAGGAATCCCATAGGAAAGAAGCTCTTCGCGTGATCTAGGTGCCATTGGAATATCTCTGGGTAGGAATTCTAGAAAGGAAACTGGCGTGAAGTTGATCTGCGGGTTAGGAAACCTAGTTCCATGCGGGGTTGGAAGCGGCCAAAGGAATTATAATCCCTTGGCCAGTGACGGTAGTTGCGCGGGGGTACGATTAGATAATCATACATAGAAGACGTCAGCTGACAATCGATGAAGAAGACTTGTCAAAGCCAAAGTCTATAATGAATTTGGTGCAAGTATTTGAGAAACGTGTTGGATATCATCCCTCAAAGACAGCGACGGTAAGATGAAGTTCAGTTGAAAGGAGCAGTCTATATTCAGGCGCCGAACTCGGTGTAGTTGAGGACCATCCGAAGACACGTGGAAACTCGCCAAGTGACCCCGCTAAATTGGAGAGGGTTTCAAGAGTGGTAGCGGGAGTGAACCTGTGACGTGATTCATCATTTGTATGTCTTGGTTACACGGCCCGTCTGATAATAAGTTGGGTATAACATGACTGTGGTTCTACACGATCCAATGCACGTTTTTGACCTACCCAAAAGGTGCCCATGAACGTCTTATATTACCTACTGACCAATGACATATATCAAACTTGGTGATACTAGTAAGGTAGATGGATTCAAGTGCTGGTTGTCAGTCTTATTTACCCAAACTATCGGGGGTTGACTGAGAACACATTGGCAACCTCAACATTACAATTTAGCAGTAGGAGATCTGGCAGATGAAGCCACGCCAGCTGGATAACAAGGGCTGAGGATGCAAACTTTAGAGGTTATCCAGTGCGTCGCAATACATTTCGCCGTCTTCTCATGTACATACCGAATGTGTACTTTTATCCCATCTAGCCTCAGATAGCAACAAGTACATACTGCCATATATCGAAGTCCACGTTTTCTACGACTACTAACTACATGATGCTTATCATTCAACAAAGCATCATACTGTCAGGGTCGGATTGGCAAGTAGCTCGTGTAGCAATGTGGTCATCTGGCATCCGATGGCATTACTAGGTGCAAAGTGCGACCGAAGATTCATCATTGGCGCCGAGCTCGAAATCGGCATTTTCCTATGACGTCTGCGTTGTGCTTCAAATCGAACTGTGAGTGTTGTGTGATATAAAAGAAACTAATACACTTTGCGATATATGCTCCATATCCCTAAACCGCCACTCACCGTATCTAAAGCGGTGTCTTGGACTCGGATTGCGCAACAATACTTGACTTGGCAAGCAGGTAGTTAGAGAGAATGGGGAAGGTCGTTTGTTGCCAGGGTTCCATCGCGACCCATGGTTCATTTCGGGATATAGTCTTGGCTCCCCCGATAGCCCTAATCGTGGGTTAGATACGAGGTGTTGGAGCAAGCCATCGGAGCTTAATACGAGCCATTTCCGTTCAAAACTCGTGCATCTTAGGAGAAAAGGTGATAAAAATAATAAAGGATAAGAAATACCGATTATTCTATTGTACCTTAGGCCCCGATGTATCCTTTAATCTTACTACCTAGGTATTGCAAAATGGTCAGCGGGGTTTGAACTGCCGGGCACCGCTGGGCGAAGCCGTGGCCGGGGTCGGCCCTAGCCGTGACAGCGGCATCGTCGAGCTTCCTGAATTGGACATCATTCCGGGTCACGCAATGTAAATGGTCTCAACGTCCGATTCATGAATGACCGACCCTTGTCGTACCACAATGAACCCATATCGTTTATATATAGAGGGCCAGGAATCCATTCAACCATGGCTGTCTCTGGTCCAGCGTCATTGCGCCCACCAGACCGACCACCATGAAGGCATCCCTCATCTCTCTTCTGAGCACTATCGTGCCCGCACTGGCGGCCCCGAACGGTATTGGCCGTCGGGCCGACCCGAGTTTGATGTCTGGGAAGTACATCATTCAGCTCAAGCCCGGTACAAGCCCCGATGCCGTTACCGCACACCACAACGCTGTACGCAGCCTTCTTCGTCGACGCGACGGCTCGTCTGGCGAAGTCGAAAAAACGTTCCAAATTGGCGACTTCAACGCCTACAGCGGATCTTTTGACGACGCAACCCTTGAGGCCATCTCGCAGCTCGAAGAAGTTCTGGTTGTGGAGCCTGACTCCCTTGTCTACGTCGAGCGGACCGATGAGCCCGAGGTTCAGAAGAAGCGTGCCTTGACCACGCAGTCGAACAGCATCTGGAGTCTAGGCGACCTTTCCCACACCAAAGCTGGGGCAACAGAGTACGTCTACGACGAGAGTGCTGGTGAGGGAACGACGGCATACGTCCTCGACACGGGTATTCGACTATCGCATGAGGAGTTTGAGGGCCGTGCCAGGTTCGGCATCAACGGCGTAACCGGCTCGACGCAGCAGAGCGGCACAAACTCGGACACCGATGGACACGGAACTCATGTTGCGGCTACCGTTGTCGGAAAGACGTACGGTGTAGCCAAGAAGGCCCAAGTCGTCGATGTCAAGGTGTTTAACGGTGATGTCGTAAGTTCTTTTGGTCTTTAGCCTCACCACCTTTGGATTGTGTACTGATGCTCCAACCCAGGGATCGACCTCTTCTATCCTTACTGGAATCACTTGGGCTGTCAACGACATCGTCAGCAAGGGCGCGCAAAAGACATCTGTCCTCAACCTTTCGCTCGGCGCTTCTGGTACTGCGCTTGATAACGCGGTCCTCGCAGCTTACCAGAAGGGTATCCTCTCCGTCGTGGCGGCTGGTAACAGCAACGAGCCGGCGGCGGACTCCACTCCGGCAAGGCTCCCGCAATCTTTCACCGTCGGCATGACGCAACCCAACCGCGGTCGCGTCAACATCATCGAGGGTATCTACGGCAGCAATTACGGCCCGGAGTTGGACGTCTTTGCGCCCGGTCGGGACATCATCAGTGCCAGTCACACATCGGACACGGGCACGGCTACCAAGACTGGCACTAGCATGGCGGCGCCGCTCGTCGCGGGGTTGGTGTGCTACCTTAGGGCGCTGGAGGAGGGCTTGGGTACCCCGGACGCGGTGACGAATCGGATTCTGGAGCTGGCCATTCCGGATGTTGTCGGAGACCCCAAGGGTTCGCCCAACCTCCTGGTGAACAACGGTAGTGGGCGCTAGGCCGGAAAGCATCAGATGATGAAGAGAGGGCGGGGAGGGGGGGGTTTCTGAGGCGGGCTTGTTAGGGCAACCTTTTTTTTCTATTGCCGATCATGTTTCTCCCTCGGAATTTCTGCCAAGAACGCAGTGCATGAACAACGGCAATGTTGACATCATGTTGCTACCTAATGCTGCTTGGAGATGGCCAGGATATGGGGGGTTTAGGCTGCCGGCCTGCTCACCTTGTTCTACATACAGGCAAGCATCCTACGACTACGTATACCTTATAACAGTTTGATAGGGATTGTTGAATGATGCAGCGAATTCTTGGATAGATCAATGAACGGGTCTAGACTACTACTATAGTGCCAAAGCACCCCGCGTACCAGACCCTTAAACTCTCATATTTGTCAAGTAGGGATTGACTTTATTTCAAAGGTCAGCCAGGAAAAAGAAAGAAAACAAAACGAGGAAAAATTAAGGGCGTGCAATGTTTGCCATCTCTGTGTCCGTAGGGATGCAAGGCTAAACCAAAGGTCGCCCCCTCGCCAGCTCAGATCCAGCCTAGTGCGTTTGGCATGTGGCCCCTAACCTTCCTCCCTTACCCCTCTCCGTTACTTGGTGCTTCTTTAAAGCCCAGGCTTGAGTCTCCCTCATTTCTTGACCCGGGTTCGCCTCTTTACTAACCCCGGGTGACATGCGTTCCCACTAAGGCGGTCATCGTAGTGAGTTACCAGAGGCGTTCAATTGGCCGAAGAAGTGAGACCCTGGCTGCCCAGCCCCGCGCTACGCAGGTGTGGTTGAAAGGCTGCGCCAAAAGGTACTAATTAGGGCCCTTTTGGTCCACAATTGCACTGTTAGTCAGGGCCTTGTTCTTTTTTTCACTCTCAGTTGCTTCCCCCTCAAACCCTTCTACTGAGCTCAGCCGAGCTGAGCTGAGGTGTCCGGCACGCGACTGCTGCAGCAACCCCTGCTTGAGAGGACGATCACCATTCAAGACGCGTCTAACCTCGCCCAAGTCGAGGATGCAGCAAATTGTGTACCGTGAGGGGTCTGTTGATTCTCTTATCACAAGCAAAAAGCCATGTCGACCAACCTACGGCCTATCAGGCCTCGAGGCTATGCAGACGACAGGCCGATACCTGAATACCCCCTCAGCCCCATTAACAAGGGCCCCAAGGGACGAATAGCTTGCGGATCATGCAGGAAGCTGCGCCAAAAGGTACGACTCAAACCAAACTAAACTTTACCATGGACGATGAGGTCAGTTGATGTTAAAAAAAGTATTATCACAGTGTGACGGCCAACGGCCTGCGTGTAGTCGTTGCCAAACGACGAAGCACGACTGTGTGTACGAGGTTGATTACGGCGAAACCAGGATGCAGGGTATCCGCCGAGCCAACCGCCAATTAATCGACCAGGTCGATACCTTCAAATCGCTGTTCCGGCTGTTAAAATCAGCCACAGACGATACCAAGGCACAGATACTGGCTCGTTTGGCTGCGGATGATCCACCGGAACTCATCCTGAGGAATCTAAAAGAGGGTAGGGATGCGGGCCGGAAATGGAGCAACGCCACTTCAAGCGACGAGTCCAGAACTGAAGAGAGCCCGCAGTCTTCTCACAAGTCCTCGGTAGATGTCAAGATTGAACCGGATGACGACGTCCCGCTCCCACCGGGGATCGTGCCGTGGCACATTGAAAAGATGCACTACCTTCTTCAAAGAGTCGGCAGGATTGATCTTAACTCGGGCTCATTGGGGTCCCAAGAGAATGCTAACAACCTTCTCATGGTAGAAGATGAAGACCGGAAGAGTACTGAATTCATCCAGTCAGTTATTTTGGCTGACCGACGAGCACACTCGGATTATCTACTTCCACCTGGCGCCGTGGAAGGCTTTGGAAACCTGCCCTTATCAAGCGCAATAAGGGCAAATCACTATCCCCCAGCAGTGCAAGCGCGGCAACTCCTCAACATGAAGACAGAAGAGTACCGTTTGCCCTCCTTCATGGCTTCGGACGGGAGCCCGCTATCGAACATCTTTTACAGTTACCGGGATGCCGCAATGGAAATGCTCTCCAACGGCGTGCCTTCTTATCAGGTTTTGGGACCTTCAGACCACGTTGACATAGAGCTCTTCTTCCGTGAACGAGAAGCCCATGACGCCTATGATATTCACTCTTGGGCTTGCGAATTGGTCAAAAATATTGACGGATACGATACGTTCGTTAAACTGGCGTCGGCTGCTCTTTACACGACATACATGCGGGTATGTATATCCTTCCGAACCCCTAATTTCAATACGGAATGCTAATGAGGAAAAGTGGACGATTCTACCCACAGCAACAAACTACGCGCGGATGCCGGAGATGATCCGGCCGACAAAGCAACAACGATTGATGCCTCATCGTATGACGATTGATCTGGTGCCACAGTAAGCATAATATGTCCCATACCAATTTCTTAGGGATTTTTCGTCTTGACTCTCGTACTTTTAGTCCTGCCATCCGCAATGCCTTGATCGACCGGTTTCGAGATTGGCTCTCGCCCGGGACGACAGATACCGGGGGCACCTCCGTGGGCTGGCCTTACAGCCTCGATGCCGCTGTAGACGTGTGTCCCCTGACGGGACGCAGGATGCTGAGCCGCGCCTTTTACGAACACGCCACGAATGGTTTGAACTGGAGTCTGGATAAGTCGATCCGTGCCATATTTCCCGAGATTGAGGCCATGGGTTTCAAAATCAGGGATTGAAAGAATTAAAGGAAAGGGTTGCCGGTGAGCGTCGGGGAAGAGGTGGTTAAGTCGGGAGACCGACGAATGTGACTTTGGTAAGTGAGATACGACCGTTGCCGAGTCACACACACAGACATAATATCGGTAGAGTTTTGGGAAAGTTTCCTAAAACTAGAAGTACTGTGAGAAACTACAATCGGTTAAAGGGAAGAGAAAGTTGCTACCGACATGGGAGTTTGCGGGGAAGAACGTGGACGCTGTCAATAAACGTGTAAAGCGCCCTCGCAATACTTCTTTCTTTGTAGGTGATGATGAGTGGTACTCTGCTTTAACGCTCTAGGTATCGTCATGAGAGGATGATACGGCATGTTTAACAAGTCCTACAAAAAAAACGAGGTCAACATAGCCTTTACGCGACACACAATGCATTCTTTGGTGTTAGACTATTCATTCGTCACTGGTGTGTGAGGGACTACCAGCTGCAGGATGGGCATTGAAAGCTAGTCCTACAGATGCTATGAACCGATATGTAGTTTGGCTATGGAATTAAGTTATGTCGGGCTCGGAGAAATGATGGGTGTGATGAGATGTGTATAGTAGCATCAATCACCAAGTCAGCCTGAGGCTTCTACTGTGGGTGTGGGAGGTCTGGATAGGTACAGTTGTAGGCTTTGATGAGACCATTGGCTACGATAGGTCTAAACAAAGGTTAAATCGAGGGGACGAGTTTCCGGACCAAAATACTATTTCCGTGTGTATATCAGAATACCTCAATGGGTGTATATTTCTCACACTAAGCTTTGTCGAGTATTTGCATTTTAAGAGCCCATAACTCGATAACAAGGCAGAGCGAAGCAGAGGAGAAGTCTCCATGAAGAAAAAAGCAGGTGCTATGTAAATATCAAGGTAAGTAAAAGAATCTCGTTGAAAACACCCTTTGATATTGCCAGTTGGGTTTGTCATGCGAAACATAGTGCAAGAGATTCCTCGACTATTGAAACCACTCGAGAAAAGATGTGCATACAACCTGCTGAGTTAGTTAAGCATACAACCATCGGAGCACTACAGACTAAGGCATCTCAGGTACTTTGCTTCGTATTGTCGTCGCACGTAGAATGAGGAAGGACGCCCAGAGGGGGGTCTTCATCCGGCATGTTTGAAAATTTTCCGTATGCCTATGATGTAAATATCTCAGTTGCAATTTCATTTCACATGCCACGGAAGTTACCAATATTAAGGGTCTTCCAAGGTCGACCTTTCTAACTGCCTGTACCGGCAAAGGGCGAATTATGTTTTCGATGGCCCCAAAGAATTATGTTGGCAAACCTTTTGCAACGACCAGATTCGTTTTCGAGGGCAAGCCTTCTCTTGAAATTGTTCAAATGGCGATTTCTTGGGCTTCTTTTCAGGGTCTGATTCACGGGCTGATCGCCTGCACAGGCGCGACCCTCAGCTTTTCTGATATTCCAAGTGACTGACGCTCGTGTATATGCTATATTATCAACTGATATATTTCGCAGAGATGCATAGGTCTCTTCAGCTATGCGGCTGAGAAGGGCATCGATAGTCATAAGTTTGAGGTCATACTGCTAAGCCCTTCCCAAGTTTCCAGTGACGTCGATGAAGATGGGGCCGGGTACTGAGCACATCACCTCAGCGCAGAAGATGTTAACGAAGTGATAGCACTCTAGGTATGAATGGAAACCTGGATCACTGCTCTCAAGATGTTGGTAGACATTCATATTCCTATACTTAGCTGTCGATCTTGTGGTGGCATTCTCGAAATCCCCATGTCACTCCACTTGAAGGCATGTGTAAGGCGTGACATGGCACAAGTGAGGGTCGAGAATGTTTGACTACAATAGGGCCGGGCACTGTCACATAGCGCTCTAACAGGGTGTTGCTAACACATCCGGCGTTCTCGACTGTGAGACAACGCGAGCAAAGCAATTGGGTACTTTGCGACTGTGGTGGGGCGGCGGCTGATGCATGGTGCCCCACATAGTCTTACGTTGCTGACACCCCTGCTAGTACAGCCCTGCTAGTACAGGGATGTCAGCATGGGATCTAGCCCAAACCAAAGTTACAAAGGAATTGTGAGAATCAGCCATATCTTATATACGTTTATTCCTCTCTTTCGTTTTGCTTTAGTTTTCACGTAATCGGGAATCAATATTAATATGTCTGTCTGAGCCTCCCTGGTATTTCTCACATAATCCCAGACTCTTCAAACGAGACAGCACGAACGGTCTACACGGTCCCATTTCAACAACACACGACGGCTGCAGCACAACTAACAAACTCCCCGTTTGACAGCCATCTGGTTCGCCAAGACCCTTGATTTTTATTTCAGTGATACACTTCCCATACCTGTTGATTATCTCTCTATTCCTTGACATCTTCAGAATGGTCGCTATTCAACGTATTCGCGAGGAGTTGGCGGGCATCCAACGCTTGGGACCGGGTCTCGTTGGCATTTTTGGTAAGTCACCTCTGCCTTCCTCACGGGGAAGACCATAAATTTCTGACAGCTCATTCTGGGACATAGTTGGCGGCACCAGCGGTATTGGCGAAAGCACCGCTCGCGAATTCGTCCGACATGCCGTCGATCCTCGTCTGTACGTGATAGGAAGAAACAAGACACAGGCCGCTGCCCTCGAAAGCCAGTTTCGCAGTCTGAACCCTACCTGCGACATGAAGTTCATCCTCTGTGACGTATCGGAACTGCAAGTGTCGACAAGGTGTGCGAACAGATTAAACAGAAGGAATCCAAGGTCAATCTTTTGTTCCTTAGCGCTGGTATATTTCATTTTCGAGGCCGAGAAGGTAAGGGCTTACTGATGCCGACCCCATGACGTCCAGGAGCGTCATGTTGGCCGGAAATGCAACCAATCGAACTAGCGACACCGCTGACAATTCAAAAGAAACATCCGAAGGCCTCGATCGCAAGATGGCTCTCGACTTCTACACCCGCTTACGCTTCACCGAGAATCTACTTCCGCAACTTCGACGTGCTGCAAGCCCCTCTGGCGTGGATACATCCAATAACCCATCGCCGGTTTCGCACGTAGTGACGGTCCTCGGCGGTGGTAATGAACAACCAGTCAATGTTGATGATCTTTCGCTGAAGAACAACTACACCTTGAACACCGCGACTCAACATGCCGTTACCATGAACACGCTCGCCTTTGACCATCTGGCATCGAAGCCAGAGAACGCTGGCATATCGTTTGTGCACACCAGCCCGGGAATGGTCAAGACTCAAGGCGCTCGTGAACTAGGGACTCTTTTCTACATTGGGGTTTCGATATTTGCATTCTTGTTCAAACCGTTGACTGTGCCTGTGGGCGAATGTGGAGAGCGACACCTATGGGCAGGGACCAACAAATCGCTTCAGGGTGGAGCTGTTCACCTAATTAACAAAAATAGCGAGATAATCCGGAATCTCAAGGTCCTGAAAGATATGAAAGACAGGGGAGTGGCGGAAAAGGTCTGGGAGCACACACGAACCGTCTTCACGAAAGTGTGCACCGAAGGCGGCAAATATGAAGCGTAAATCATGTACTAGTACAAGCAGAAGATTATATAATACACTGTAATGCTATATTGAGATACTAAAAAAAAACGAATAATGCGTGATAGAATCGCGCAGTCTAGTCCATGGTGATACAGAAGAACCACCGGATCAATCTACCGTCTGATTACAATCATAGGTAGTTAAGACGGTCTACGTGTAACTGAGATACCTTACACGTAATCCAAACCAGTAATTGGATAGAACCCTTGCTGAAAAAGAGCCAACTCCAAAGACTCAAGAGCGAAGGAATATGGTTTCGCAACATCCCCCTGCCAGCGACTTAAATCCGCATTGTCCGTACGCTTCATTGTGTATACTGCCTACAACATGTTGTTTTCGCTCAGCCTCGCAGTGACCGGGTCACTCTCGGGATCCGTGGCTGATTCTATTCCCTAAGGTACTAGATGTACCTATGTGAGGTACATCTACTCAGCTGGTCTAGCCACGCAGGCTCCACTTCTGCAGCTGGCTCACCTTTGTTCGACCCCCATCTGCCCTAATGAAGTATACACTGCCTACTTTAGCTTGCTGACACCCCTGCTTTCCGCAACGCGGCCAATCAAACTACGGCGGCTCACATTTAAACCACAACGTCTATGCCTCTATATGGGCCCGCGGTGTTAATGTGAGAATCGGGGTTGTGTTGCATGTTCCGTTCGACGGAGATACTGTTCCTTTGTTTCCGAAATGGGCCGTTGATATTCTTGTGTATATAAATATTGGAAGTAGACGGGATCTAATGCTTGGTATCACATCTCACGCACTCTCTTGTCCCTACAACCCAGCATAACCGACCGCTATTAGCTTGTTCCTCATCGACAATCTCATGACTTTCAAATCAAACATGTCTTCCAAGTCAGAATTCACCGCGGAAACCACTGCGATCGAGGTCGCCGCCGCCTTTCCCGGCTCTATCGCAAACAGGACTTTCATCATTACCGGAGTTTCCCCCAATAGCATTGGATTCGCAACCGCTGAGGCTCTCGCCTCCCAGAAGCCGGCACGTCTTGTTCTAGCAGGTCGCTCCATCGAAAAGGTCAATGAAACGATCATCTCGCTCAGATCCCGCTACCCCGAAGTCGTATACGATGCCCTCTTGCTGGATCTCTCGTCGCAAGCATCCGTGAGAGCTGCCGCGGACAAAATCAACTCATCCGCCGATATCCCCAAGATCCATGGGATTATCAACAATGCCGGGATCATGGCCATCCCCGAGAAAACTCTAGTGGACGGCGTCGAGCTCACTTTTGCGACCAACCACGTCGGGCACTTTCTTTTCACGAACCTCGTGATCGAGAAACTCATAGCTGCCGTCAAGGCATCGGAGACCCCCGTCAGAATCGTCAATCTGACATCATTTGGCCACTTCTTCGCCCCGGTCAGATTCTCAGACATCAACTTGGATAAAAAGTCGGTAGATCTGCCGGAGGAGGAGCGCCCGCTTCTCGAGATGACCAAGCAGTTCTACGGACAGGATCTCTCCGACGTTAGCTACGACGGCATGATGGCGTACGCCCAGAGCAAGACTGCCAACGTGCTGTACACCATCTCCCTGAACCAGAAACTCGGCGGAAAGTACGGCATCGAGTCCTTTGCGGTGCACCCGGGTGCCGTCGATACTAACATCTCCCAGCATGTTAGCCAGGAGGAGATGGACGCCCTCAAGGACAGGGTGTCAAAGATGGGCATCCCCCTCATCCAGAAGACGAAAGAGCAGGGCGCAAACACTTCGGTCCTCGCCGCTGTGGATCCCTCCCTCGGCCCGGTCGACTTGTCGGCGGATGTGGCCAAGGGCGTGTATTTGGCGGACTGCAAGGCTACCGAAGATGGATGTGCTCCGCATGCCAAGAGGCTGAAGGATGCCGAGAGACTTTGGGAGTTGACCGAGGGATTGGTCAAGCAGAAGTTCCACTTTTAGACTTGTGATGCCCGGGAGTGTGGTCTGCTGAAAGCTGCATGATTACCGGGGGGAGGTGAAGGAGACTGTTCAAGGGTATTTCTGAGCTTTGTCTTGTTGATCGTCATTAGAGTGATGGGTACACGCGAGATTATATCCAGATCATATCTGCCGATTTGTACTGTACCGCAAGACCTATTCGTAGAATAGCATAGAGTCGTGTATCAATTTAGGACAAATCCGATCCGCATCTCACCGCGCTTTTCCCGCCAGTAGTTGGTTGCCTCCAGCATCTGTGAACACCCCTTTAACAGCGGGCCCCATCTCTTGAAAAATTCGGGACTGAATTCCCAACTACTTGCTTCCCATGCTTCACCCCATATCATGAGCCCTGATGTCGAGGTGGCCTCCAAGTCCAGCAGGTCGCAGCATAGTTCTACACTCATCTGCTCCTCGTCCAGCTCGCCAGATGAGATGCCTTGCAGAATATTATCTCGCAGTCTTGGGAATGGAAAGACATCCAGCCAAGAATGGTGTGTTACCGCCTTCTGGAGCGCTGTGGGAGAGAGATCGGACGGCATTGCCTGCGGCAGGCTCGGGCATGACGGATCTGAACTGTTAAAGAGAGAGTCGTAGTCATCGCTCTCCAAGTACTCTACTGGAATCTGGAGAACAAAGGCGTTCCTCAAAAGGGCATCCATAGCATTCAGCCGCGTGAGTCCCGGCAGGGTGCAGGGCTGAGGGTGGCCGAGGGACCAGTCGACGTAGGCCTGGAACAGGAAGTATGCGATACGTCCGTATAGCGGGTGCTTCCTCAGTTTGACTAGGATGGGAAGATTGTGGAGGTTGGCTGGCAATTGCGGGTGATCCAGTCGACGAATCAGGGACCGGTCGTTCTTCAAGAGGGACTTCGGCGGCTCCGCAGGACCTATCCCGACCTCCCGGTTATCACTATTGCTGCCATTCGCCGCGCAGCGTTGTAAATGCTTTCGTTTTCCTGTTAAAGCTCAGTTAGATGCGGGTCAGTCGGTCTCGAGAGAGGCCCAGGAAGAACTGACGATGGACTCGCTGATTGAGGCGATTCTGCAGCTTCCTCCTTTCTGCTGCACTCTGGGTCTGCCTCCAATCATCCTCGGGTATCCAAGCCTCAAGCGGAAGGGTAGCCATGGCTGCCGTAATGTTGTCACTTATTATCAAGTCGGCAATGAGTCTCGCGTTGGGTCGGAGACGTTGGGAAAAGGAAGCTGGGGTTGCGCAATCGTAGGTGGAGGATATATAAATGCTGACACCCCTGTCACGCCTTGTGGGTCTCCGAGGTGTAGCTTTCCAGTTGGTGTCTGCATACGTGCATGTGTGACCCACTATATTAGCGGCTCCACCCGGGAGGTACGAAGCCATCTGCAGGGTTACAGGCATAGTGCGACCTTAGTCTTGTACTAAGCCGAAGACGTAACCCTTAAAAGTTTACCTGTTAGTTGACGTGAAGGCCAAATGTCAGTCAGTCTGGCTGTGAAGTGGCTCACATCTTAAGAGAAACAATCGCAAACTTATTTCAAAGTTTGATTTGTATCCATGAAGCAGTGGGTGTAAGGGAGTCAAGACGATGAGCTTGTTGTTAACTTCAAATTCATTTACATGGCTTTTCTAAAAGCAGTACCAGTAACAGAGATTGGAAAAGCGTTAGTCTTACGACTATCTATCGATCAAGTGGTCATGCGGAAAGAAAATTCTAATAAAACGATTGAATCTCATTGGCTTCATTCTGCATAAATTACTCTTTTTAACGTAAATGACCTGATACTCGTCGGCGACCCCGGAGTAGCCGCCAATTTAGAGGATCGTCTCTACATGCCCTTGAAGCTCGTTTTGAATCCACTTGTACAACTTCTCCTGGAGTTCATGATCCTGCACCAACTTGGATCCCGATTCCGCCTTGCCAACGGGGCCGTAATACTGCCCGCTCCTCGTATCCCGACTGACCGCAGCCCAGATTTGGGAGAGAGCGCCCTTCTCAACCGGAGTCGCAGCAAACTTCACAGCTGCGTTGAGGAAGCACTTCAAGAAGACGCCGGTTGAGGCGTGGTGAAGGTTTGTGGCTACCATACCGGGATGAACCGGAACTATTTCCACCTGCTTTTCGCGCTCGCTCAGTGCTTTGGCGTATTGAATATCCGCGAGCTTAGACATGGTATATCTAGCCGTCGTGTGTCGGTGTTGCATCTCCGTCTTCAACTCATCAAATGGGTAGCTATCGTTTGGAGCTTGGGAGTGGGCAGCTGAGGCGAGCATCGCCACTCGCGCGTGTCCAGCCGTCTTGACCGTATTCCGGAGTGTTGGCAGGAGGAGTTGGGTGAACAACGCCGGTCCCATGACGTTAGTTCCGAATTGTATCTCATAGCCTTCTTTCGTGAGACCCTCGGGCGTCATCATGATGCCTGCGTTGTTCACAAGAATATCGAGTCGCGACTCTTTGCTCGTGAATTCTGCGGCTGCGGCTTTGACGCTATCAAATGACGAGAGGTCTAGTTGTAAGAAAGCGATGGGGCTGATATTGGGGTTCTTTTGTCGGAGGCTCTCGATCGCTGCCTGGGCTTTATCTCTCGATCGGGCGGCGAGGTAGATGCATGCTGGATTATGCTCGCCAAGTTGTCGCACTGTCTCAAGACCGAGGCCGACGTTGCCTCCCGTCACGATGATGACCTTGCCGGTGAGGTCCGGGATGTCTTTGGAGGTAAATGCAGGCATGTTTCGACTGTGCTGGTGTTGGAATGAGAAGATATTTGTCGTGGTAGATGAAGAATACTTAATAAGGAGCCGGTGATGCTGAAAAACTAGAATAGTGGTAATGAAAAAAAAAAGAAAGATAGTGAGGAGATTTACTCCCATTTATTCAAAATCATATAAACCGAGGAAAAGATAGACATCTACCTTTGCTCTGGGAAGCTCTGTTGCCTTGCCCCAGTTCAGCCATGCTTGTCCAACCGATTGCCAAATTAGACATTCTTCGTCGGATAGATCGTTAGCTCATGAACCCTGTCACGCTACCATAGTAGTAAAAGACAGGGATGTCAGCAAGACAGGGGTGTCAGCATGCAAGGGCGTCAGCCACACTTGTTCGACGTCTTTCTTTGAATGCGTGCGTGGGTTGTCGACTGTGGCGGTTTTGATGTCCCGCAAGCGCATAGGCTGCTTAATCAGAAGCCACTAGCGGTCCCCCGGAGGACCAGGACTCTCCGAGACCGCTTCGCAATAATCACTTGATGTCTTTTTTTTTTTTTTTTTTTTTTTTTTCCCTTCTCACCTCCTGATTTGAGGTACTCATGCCCTCTACAACAGGAATTCAAGACACACCCATCTCCCACTGGTTCTGGTAAAAAGTGAATTTAAGCCATCGTATTGCTACGGCGGTTTTATGTTTGATTCGTGAGTAGAGCCCATTTGGCTGTATTGGTCCCGCCGCAGACCTACCTCAATCGAGGGCCATTTACTATGAAAATAATAAGAGCTTCTGGTCCCAGTTTTCTTGATTTACATAACTACGGAAGAAATCGTAATCATTCTAAAGCCAGAACCAGCAATATCCTAAGTAGAAACTCTGATTAAACACCCTTTAACTCAAAGATTCAATCAGAAATTCGAGATAAAGCATGTCATCGCCAGATGTAGACTAATCACGGCGACTATGATCGTCATCACGTGAATCATTTCCCCAGAGGGATGACATTTTGATTAGGTGTTGCTGCGGAAATCGATTGCACATATAATAGCAAGTTTAGTTAGTTGTGATCCGTAAACAGTGCAGCGGTTCGGGGACAGATTTCGTGCTAATCAGCAGAGGCTTGCCTTTAGAGAATGGAGAGTGCCTGGCTATCGGTGGGGGCACCTGTTGAAAATCTAGCTGTAGCGATGTTTCGCTGAGCGAGGTTGATAGACTAGATACTGATATTCTTTTTTTTTTGTCCCTGAGAGCAAAGAGATTTTACGAACTCTTCATCTTTGGTCGCCGTAGCTTTGTCCTGGTTGTAGAGAAAGCTTAGTAGCTACAGTGGCAGCTGGGTAGGGAAAGCCACCTGGACGTCAAGTTGGATGCTATGCGCCACGGCTTTGTGTGTTAAGTTATATTGGTATAGATAAGAATCGCTATGGTTCATTGGAAAGACTATATTATGGTTCAACACATGAAATATGGGCCAACCAGAGGTGAATCTGTCGAAAAATATCAAGCTGTCTGCAGTCAGGGGTCAGCTCATGGTGCAACAGTCAGATGAACCCACGGAAGCGTACTGGGTTTGCTAACGGAGGCTACTTACTCTTCTGCGAGTTCTGGTCGAATACATGACAGAGATTTCAGAACTTTACCACGCCGTTCGAAAGCACCACAAGCCTTTTCAACGCAATGAAAGCCGGCATTTCTCACGATTCTCCAAAACTGACTCAAGTTAGTGATGATGGAGGCTATTGGATTCCATTCAATGACGTAGACCAGGCATTTCTTGAGGGACATTGAAAGATCGATATGATTTACTTGTGTTTTAGTCTTGTCGTAGCTGTTCAGTATTCGCAAAACATAGTCAACCTATGGTTGAAAAACGCTTATAGGTGTTAGGTAGAAGCGGGAGGGAAGGAGGCTTTTGCAACCGCCGACCTGAAAATTGGGGACATAGGATGACATAGTAGGAAGACAAGTATTTACTTTAATTCGATTGAAGTCCATGCGCACGCTCAGAAGACCATTCGCCGATATTCTCTGGGCTTCGTATTTATTCAACCCTACTTTCAGTTTTTGATCTAGGCCGGCATACTCCAATGTAACCAGACATCGGCTGGTGTCTCTAAGGCCATCTTGGTTGCACCGTACGACGGAAGAGCGGAAGTTATTTCTTTCACTGTGTCTCTTGCCGCTCCACTCCAGTCTCTGCGGACTTGGCGATCAAGGTTTCTGCGGGAGGTGGATTCTTTGGCCTGGCCGACTGATATTTTGTGGTTATCATATCAGAACAACGGGGCCACCGAAAACCCCGGGTCCGCGAATAACGACGAAGCGGATTATGCCGCTCTTATTTATCCTCTGATGCTGTAAAGTTGCTGCGGTAGTGTTTCGCTGGTTAGTTGTGGCTTGAAATTGAGCTACTCCGGCGCAGTATGCAAGAACTTGTAGTGGCAAGAGATTTTAACTACAAATTCTCGGTTTGCTCGACATCAGCGCCACCATACTTCTCGCGGACCAGCTCAATACATCGCAAGATGACGCGGCAATGGAGAAGACGGCCCCCTATTTTGGGATATCGGAGCAGTCGGAGTTATGGCCAAAACTTCGGCACGATGCGCAGACCCTCGGTCTCAACTTACCCTTTTAGCTTCCCCAAAACTCGCACTCCCGAAAACGAAAACGAGCATGTTGGCTAACATGGATACATACCTCAATGATCATTTTCCACAATTTGTAACATGTATATCTTCGAAACTAAAAAAAAAAAAAACCAATTATTTAGCCGCTGTTTACGAGCTTAATTTGCTTTACTAGCCCTAACGGCGCCTTCCCACACCGTACTACGGATCTGCGTGGATAAAAGCCAAGCCAATTTGGTGGTTCTTAGTGACCATGCTATCGCAGAAATCGTCGAATTTAGCTATGGAGGACGGCGTGCTTTTCGTATAAGTAGCCGGATAAAGCGTATCACCAGTAGTATCAAAGAGATGCTGTTGAAAAGTCAGTTTTCCACTTCATAAAAACAGAAGTGCACAGCATTACGTAACCTCTTGAAGGCAGTAAAGGGAAACAGTAACGTTTCAGAATGAATGACTGTCTAGTGACTTGACGCACGTATTTGATCATCTCCAAAAGAGAGTTGATTTGAAGCAGAACCAATTGGCAATTAAACTCCATCAATTACAACGTATTAAGAAGCAGTGTCTGATACTCTTCTTGTCGAATTTGGACTAAGGTAACCCAGACCGCTTTGCATAACAAGAAGCTTATTAAATGGTAGAAGAAACTGCTTTGAGCTTACCAGACTTGTAAACTAAATTGAAGTTGTAGCGGTCATAGTGCAGCAGCGGGCCAAGTACATGTCGATGGAGGCGTTTCGTTATGTCAAACAAGGAGGAGGTTGTGCTGAAGAAAGACTGCTGCCGATAGTTATGGACAGACGGTCCGTGTTAATTCATGAAAAGCCAATTGACACTGTTGCAAATTAATCAAATTGTAACAATCTAATTTAAATGAAAGAGCGTGACACAAGACGTACTGTGTCCTACAACCTGGAAACTTAAAATAATTGAGACAAGACACGGGAACTCGGATAATTTGCTTCGCACTGTGACTACGCCTTACGAAGCTCTACTTATAAGGCTTCTCATCGCACTCTTCCTCTCACTTTCGTAAACCACACTACAAATTCCCCTTTATTAACGCTTGATACATTCTACTGCCTCTTTCTCCTCTCTTCTCGATTGTCACACATTGATATCTTTCTTATTCGCCATGCGTGCCCACTTTGTCTCTGTTGCCTGGGCTGTATTTGCCGTCTTCTCTCAACAGGCTTATGCTTGCACAAATCCAGGAACACAAGACTGCCCTCAAAATTGCGGAGGATTCGCAGATAACATTTGCCAGTAAGTAAATAGTTGTGAAAATAGCCACATTGCCGATGCTGACATCTATGCCAAAGCCTTCCAGGAGGTTATTGCAAATGCGAGCCTTACTAGGCAGTGGACTTAGTGTACATGTTAGCCAGTTCAAGCACGGCATCATCAAAACCAGCATGAATTTATGTCTAACGGAAAAAGTCCCAAATTACATCTTTATGTGTACAGTTTAGAAACCAGATATGTTTTTGGATGTGAAGATGAAATTCAACTGGAGATCATTAGTTACTTAAAAGATAAGGAAACATTACCGTTGCCGGATCCATGACATTTTAGCCACCTAGATGGACAACGGTGACGCGGTTGTCACATAAACACCGATGGGCCGCCGCTAGTTGTTATTCTCGTGCTTCGTCCCCTGAGAAGAGGTCTTATTTCAATCTGATATCTACAATACTGGTTCCCTACCATCACGTGAGAGGTGACCCGACGTCTTCGCCTCAAATGTAAAGGTTAGCTCGGCAGACTCATCCCTTTCAATTCCACTGAACTTTCGTGAAGAACAACGTCTACCACCAAATATATAATTTTGAACTCTTTCTACCCTGTGGCAACGCTCTGTGCCATCACAAGTTCCAGTCCCCGCTTCGAGGTAAAATCGAACAGTGATCCTTCAACTTTGGTAAACCCCGAACATCTAACAGGGACTTTGATGATTGGGATCTTGCGATTGACTGGGTTCGCCCGTCTTTTCCAGTCCCTGGTTTTTTGAACCCAAAATACCCCCTGAGAATGGGCTGACAGAGCGAAACAACTTGGCAATGGCTCTGAATAGCGGATGTAGGGCAGGCAGGCTGCCACAAATTATGACTAGGTTCATTTCCAGACAGGACCAAATGACAACATCAACATTGTCCCCTAAAGAGAGTGTTAGGAACACAAACGCCACCAAACTGACAATCACACAACTTACAGGTTGCGTCAAAAGTGTTAGCAAATGAAACCATGTATTTTAATCGAATCATACTCGCCACGGTCGCACTATATAGAGTGAGTAGCCGACTTTTGAAGATGAAGCCATTCAAGAACTTACAATGAACCTAAAGCTAGCATGAGAACTGAAATGATCTTTTTACGCAAACTGAGATTTAACTTCAGCAGCTCGGGTATCGGTAGAGTAATAAGAATGACGTCGTATGCCACTGTAAATGACCCTCCAGCGTAACCAATTGCTGTGAGGTTGAGACAACGACCCGAGATATATTTATCCCATATTGATTGTATCGGTATGCATTGAAATAGAATTAGAAAAAGAAACAATATGTGTTGGCTGAGGATGATAGCAATGAGGCATATCACGGCCTTCCGGAACCAAGGGGTAACGAAGATCCGCATGTAAAGAAAGCAGATGGAGGACTTTGCCGCAATTCTAGGACCGAATCAAATTAATCACCTCCTTATAAAAGTTGAATGTGAGTAGGCTTACTGCATGAGTATGTATGTCATCTGCGTTACGTAAAATAGCTTGGGTTTGGTTAGCTGTGTGTGATTGATGGGCGAGAACGTTCAGAGCGTTAATCGAACCTGAAGAATTGGTTTCGCGTTACCCGGCGCGATGTTCCAAAAATGAAGACCAAATCCGAGTTCAGTATCTGAAAGATTAGTAAGTCGGTCAGCTTCCTCTACAGGATATCGAAGTAATCGAAGGTTACACACGTGCGGTACCACAACCGATGGTGACTAACAAGACACACTTTGATTGTCAGTCCTTGTCTCACACATTTAGTGTCAGACTTCTCGCTCAGAAAACTGACCATGGCCACCAATGCTGTCCAATCGTCCCACCAAAGCTTCAACTTAGCTATCCTCCTCGCTGCGCATCTCAGAAGAATTATCACAATAGTGAATAACGGAACGGCGGTAAGAAAAACCCTGCAAAAGTCTCGGCGCTCCGTCTGGACAGGATAGCCACGGCACATTGCCTGAGAACCTTCAGCAGTAGCTATGCCATAACTCAAACATTAGACTGGAAACCGGCAATTTCGGTAGCCCGGCAATGCTCACCGACTTGGTCATTAAATTCGCAAGACATCTGTACACATGCGGAGACGTGGGCTTGGAGGGTATTGTTGGTACACACGCAGTCGGCCAACCTGTCGATCTCGCATCCACCACCTTGGAACACTTCGAGGAGACAAGGCGTCTAGTGAGTGGACATTCAGTATATTTTTCGATCCAAGTCGAACGAACACCCTGTGTGAAACCACGATGAACACTAAACCTAACAGAGGCAGTCACATACCGCGCATTCTGGCGTCGTTGGTATCGATGATGAGGTTTCCCTCGGAATCATATTGACCTCAGCCCACACTTTCTGTGTAGCGACCAACAGCATGGTAGCTATTGCGGCCTGCGTCGTGCGTTGCATCGTGGAAAGAGTGAATGAGGGTGGTAAGATCAGCAAAGAATTGGGACCAAAAGTTGAAGGCAATTCTATGCCATAAGTGTACTTCCTTACTCGGCATATTGGTTTCAAGGTGGCCGTGGAGGTTCATAGAGTATCGTCGCAAACGGAGCTTTCAAAGGCTGGTTCTAAAATAGCCAAACGCCACATCGAACCATCTAGGCGATCAATCAACATTCAGCTCCGAACATCTGGAATTAGCCGTTTACTTGACTATAGGTGGAAGCCAACGAGACCAAAGATTCAGTGTGATTTTTAATTCTAAAACAAAGTTTTAATTGAGATTGCTGGATTGAGTCAATGCTTACGAGCTCGAATTGGGCTGCTTCTGGTGGCTAGATTTCAATGTTGATGTCTCCGCCAAGACGCTCTTTGATCGTTGTTAGTGGCGTCATGCTCCTGCAAACGGTTAATGGAGGCCTGATGTACGATTCAACCACCGAAGACATGTTAGTACTCTGTCGCTGAGAGCCCCAGCAAACATCCGCATAGCTAGAAATCCGTTGCCCAGACCTGCTCCAGGAAATTCTGCTTACGGTTTTTGTGCGATGTGATGAAGACAATTACTGGCATTGGGTCTCAAAGCATGCTGCCGTCCACCTTTCAGTTATGCAGCCACCACCCGAGCAGCTGGTAAAGCCATCAACAGGACTACCCTACTAGTGTTGAGCTAGTGGGATTGGCTTAAAAATGTAACACAGTGAGCGAGCGGCGCTGCTAAGTTAGCGGCAGAGCACCCAGGGACTGGAACTTTAGAACCCTAACTCCCTGATCTGAGATGTACAATGTGCTCATGTTGAACGCACCAATCTATGTCCGTGGCACTTGTTAGTGGAGATTTACAAGTCCTGTAAGTTTTCGTGGTTCCTTAGACACAAAGGAGGATAACGTTGATTTTCTGATTGTCACTGATGTACTTCACAACCCAATAACGTCAAATCGCCTTTTCCTAGTCACTGTTCTACTACAATGTCCTTCTAGGGGCGCAATACGTGCCGCTACCGACTGAGATGCCGAGTTGCTTATGCAGCGGAGATGATTGATCGATGAAGATCTTCTTTTCAAAAATTATGAAGCTCCAGAATGTCTGTACCAGAATTCAGCCATTAAGGAATCAAGATTAGATAAGGATCAAGATTGGATGCAAGATAACATCCTACTGGGGCTATTCGCAGAAATGCACAGCCATCAATGTCTATAATCCTGCTAAATGATTCAGACGGAATTGGTGGTGACAAGTAGCTGAGCCGGTTAAGTGAAGGGAGAATCGTAACAGCGTGGTAAGGATTGGGTGCACCGACAGGCGTGGGTCCTCAACTTCGTACTCGTTTTGTTTTTGCAAGGCAATTTCTACCGGTGCCCAAGAACGACATCATATTCCCCGCATTCATTGACATTGAACATTAGTAATACACGGCGTTTATTTAAACTCTTAGCAGATCATCAAGACCTGCCAAGCTCGATAATTTTCACATTCGCTTTTATTCTCTTAAAATCTTGATTAGTAGCTAGCTAAAACTACCAGGTCTTTAGATAGGTACCTCAGAGTTGCCTACTAAACGGTGATAGAATTGGACCAAGACCCTTTCAAAATGTCTTCCATCGACACAATGATTCCAAACAGTATGCAAGCAGCCCTGGTTAAGGAGGTACAGTATCCTAAGCTTCTACGGCTGCAGCGAGTTTCTAATTTTCTCTACAGTTTAACAGACCGTGGTCGGTTGAAAGAGTTACGGCGCCAACTACCGCGTCCCTGGACGGCCACGACATCCTCATCAAGGTCGCCGTCGCATCGTTTTGTCACACTGATATAATGGTGCTCAATGGTGTTTTCCACGAGGCTCCCAGTGGCCTAGCTGGGTCTCATGAACCATCTGGGACCATCGTTGCCCTTGGTTCTGAAGCAGCCAAAAGTTTCGCCGTTGGTGATCGAATCATCGCCATCGGAATACGCGGCCCGTGCGGTAACTGCGTAGACTGCAATGGCCCAGAGGAGTTCCGTTTGAGCTGCAAATTTACCAAGGGCTATGCTGGTATTTCTGCTCCCGGTGCTTTTCAAGAGTACACCGTCTTAGACGACCGCTTTGCAGTCAAGATACCCGATGAACTGAGTTTCGTCAAAGCAGCCCCACTGACCTGTGCTGGCTGCACCAGCTGGCGAGCCATCAAGAGGGCGGGTGTGAAGCCTGGTGACTGGTTGGGTATTATCGGAAGCGGTGGCGGTTTGGGGCATCTCGCGATTCAAATTGCAGTCAAACAAGGGATCAATGTGATTGGAGTTGAAGCAAGAGATGTTGCCTTGGAGTTAACGAAAAGGGCTGGCGCATCAGCTGTCGATGTTAGGCGTGGGACGGAGGCGATGGTTGAAGAGATCCGCAAGCATGTGGGCCCGCATAGAGTCGAAAAGGGTAATGACCTATGTGACGCATCTATCGTGCTCAGCGATGCCGAGTCGGCAATCCATACGGGAATGGCCATAACGAAGGGACATGGGCTTGTGGTCGAGGTCGCTCAACCAAAAAGAGTCAGCTTCCCATTCGAGGAGATGATATTTAGAGACATCAGGTTAATGGGCTCAAATCTCTCCAGTAGGTCAGAACTTGCGGATCTTGTCAAGTTTGTGACGGAACATGGTGTGGAAGTGGAGACGAAAGTGTTTTATGGACTGGATAGTCTGAACGAAGTGTATAAATTGTCCGAGTCCGGATCAACAGCGGGCAAGATCGTTGTTGTGATTGATAAGCATCAGGTGTGAGCATGAAGCTCCTAAGTCTGGTCAACTTTTTGAAATGCCACCTAAAGTTGAATATTTTCACTGTGAGTAAAGAATGTGTTACGTGACTATAATATCGGCCATCCCAAATACTCATTAGCCAAGGCAATGCCGTTGTAACCGGAAGCATTGGCGGGGAGGCCGAACTTGATAGGGGCAGGAACGAGCAGTAAGAGTGATCAACTGTCAGATACTTTCAGAGCGGGCAAAGTCCTTCGCCCTGGTTGTTTGAGGCCATCAATGCTGACTTAGTAATGCCAAGAGCCCGGGTTCTTGGGTCAGAGCTACGCCACCTCTCGGCAGGCCTAGGCATAATAACATGGTCCACTCAATGGACGTAGGATATCTCGGCCGAGAGTTATGACGACGGTGAAGTGTTGATCATTGTGATGTTTCCATCTGTCTCATATTGGGAATGCTGGAATAGGGATAAGATATTTAAGGTAAGTGATTTGGACATTCGATAGTCTTTTTCTCTACTACTTGATTGCTTCTTTTTGGATACGTTTTGAATAGCCATTCTTCACGTGTCGGAATAGGTGACATCCTTGAAGAATGTCTCTCCGAACCCTCCTCAAACTCTTCACGTGCTGCGTTAGGCTTTTTCAAACAGCAGCGCTTGTCCTCACTACATACGCTGTGTGTAATTCAATATGGTCACGAAAAGAACACGGCCTTTTGGAAAGCCCAAACTACAGCTGGCCTAATGCTGGTGAGATTCTCATGGTCATCGCAGTAAGTATACTGTTACCCTCGATATTTTGCCAGATCCGTACTGATAGCTATGAAAGTCAGCTGTGTTGGCCATAGAAATACTAGCGAACTCAAATATTCATCGAGGTTCGGACCCTCGCTGGTCAGTGATGAGCTTGGTCGTTTTTACCGTAGGTCTTTCTGCCTACATCACTATGCCTGAAATACGGCAGCACATTGGAAGTTTCGATCAAGTTTGCAACTGTACTCATATGGGGGAAATGGTCAATCGGATTTCAATAGAAGCTGGGATAGTGACTTGGTAAGTCAATGATAGGCGTGATTTGAAACCAACGTTTCTGACAGTTGTATGCAGGGCATCTAGCGTCTTGTTTGTCTTATTTTCCCTCGTTGAGTTTGCGGAAGGCATGAATTCTTGCTGTGCTCAAGAAATTCAGCATGCAGAGAAACTAAGTGGTACACTGAACAAGTCAGAAATGGGAATGTTGATATCAATTTAGGTTGATTTATCATTGCTTGATGGTCGAGCAAAGTCATGTGAAATTTAGAGTTATGGTACCTATACTGGTGTCAAAATCAAAATCAGTATTCTTTATGAAGTGGGTGCTTGGCATCTGAGATGTCCGAGGTACTTCACACCTATTTTCGTGTCGTATATCTGTAAGCCAGTGGGTGATAACATCACCGTGGTGCTCTTGATTTGTTCAGGACAGGCAATGCAATCGCAGATTACGGAAAGGGATGAAATCCGGGCAACTGAGTCTCCACCAAGTCAAGATCTATGGGGCTCTTGTTACTTATACATGGAAAAAAGCTCATGTTGGTTCGTAAGCCTAGCCAAAATGTAAATGATCGGGGAAGTAGCCAAAGGTCGAGGAAGCTCACAGGTTTGCATTAATCCTAGACTAAACTTATCAATGCTCCCAAACGGTTTGGCTCGTTTTCGCCAACACAAAATACCCAGTGCATCAAACATAGCATCGCACAAGGTGCCATAAGTGAAAAGGAGCTGAATCATAACGTCGCACACCCACTTCTCGCACACCCCCACATTTCGCACACCCATAAATTGGGTCATCATGAGGTATTCATCAACTTCATAACTATAAGTCTGATTCGTCTCCTGCAACTGTGATACTATCGCCAGTTTTAATAGGTAATTCAGGCTCGCTAGATTCATCTGAGCTATCCTCAATTTCGCCAGCCTCAATTTGGGCTTTGTGAATTGCCTCAATGTTGGCAAACTTCGAATTTGGGCTCATTTGGACCTTACGCCGCTTCCGTACCATTCCAGCCTCAACTTCTGCTTCCAACATTGCAATCTTCTTCTCTGCTGTAGCCAATTGATAGTCCTTTTCATCAAATCCCTTTTGAACCTTCCGAAACAACAGTCGCTGCGTTTGCTGATCTTTATCCAACTGTTACGGCCAGCTAACTGACAGTGGGTTTGTGTTAGCAGTAAGTCAGGGATTGAGAGTAGTAACAGTCGTTCCGTGGTCCTGGTCGAATAGATCGTAGATCTTCAAAGGTCTTGGTGATCAGTCAAGGCCTCAACAAGAGTCGTAGAGTAGTTCGTCACTTAGGATAGCTGAAAGTACCGGTGAGGGTAGTCACGAAGTTGATTGCTGAAGAACTAGGAAAGGTAGGACTCGAGAGGACTCGAGTCCCAACTATATACAAGTCTGGTTCCATGCTGAACACTTCCTGATCCTGGGGGACCGACACCCAGGACGTCGGTCCATCGCCATGGACCGCCCTTGGCACCGTCGGTCCTGTCCCAGGACCGCTTATCGTCCGTCGGTCCTGCTTATCGTCACGTGACCTGTATCCTAGTTCTTCCGTTCCGTGGGGGTTGTTACGACGTAACGGCTGACGGCCGTCCCTATAACCGCTGAGCCCCTGCGGGGTCGTCGTCAGTGGTCTGTTAACTGTCGGGTCGTAACAAGGATGTCCCACAACAGTACATGATTCGTTACACTTAGCATCTACAGATCTATTTCCGAAAGCTGCCGGTTAATCAACTTTAAATAAATGAGATTGATCAGGCACTGCTCAACTTTTTTTTAAACCCCGGCTGGTCTTGTGTAAATGATTTCTACAGGCACTTCAGCTCCCGCAGCTGCTTATTTTAGTTTTCCACATCAAAGTTTAGTCTGCATGTGACATACAGCAACGCCAGTCTTAAGTTGTTTAGTGAAAACCTGATGGCAGCTGTAGTGTGCTGTGCTCATCAACACAATACTACCTTGAAATCAATTATCACCCTTAGGCAAACTGTGGCATATCGTTGAAGGCTTACTGCTGTAAAAAAGATCGATCAGAACACATCTAGAATTTTGAAGAGCGTATAGGAAGCTAGTATTCGGCACAGACTAAGCTCAAATTTATGGATCTCGGGAGCCGCGGACTGCTGATCCTTCCTTCGCTCTCGGATTTCCTCGAGTTCTCTTAAACCCGGGTGAAGCAATTGTGGTTAAGCAAAAAGAAAGTTAGTACCAATATATTTAAGGTTGGTTAAAGATGAAAGCCAGTACAGTTTGAGAAAGTGAGAGGAATTTGTGGAGAGCGAGTTCTTGGTGCATGTGCCACCCGAAGGGGTACTCTTGTCGACTTATATAATGAAAGCACCCCTTTCGTTGAAATATGCAGAGAAACAAATACTCATCAATTATAAAAGCAAACTAAATGATACAACGGTATCAGCCTTGTTGAATGACAGACGGGCATGGACCCAAAATGGAGAGTTCCTGAATCTGACCATCAGCAAGGTGTCAATCGGCTCATGAATCTGTGCATCACAGTCAAGCAGTAGTAAAAAAAATACTCTGTAGGGCATTAGGGATCTTTAGCACCGCCAATTTCCCTCTAGTCGCGTGAAAAACGGATCGTCAGATGCGCTATTCTGCCTCTTGCCCGCCAATTCCCAGAAACCCGTGTTGTCGCTGTAGGTATCAAACCAACGAAAGTCAACCAGCCTGATTTCTAAAACCATCACCATTATTATTTTTTTGTGACTAATAATAAAGAGTTTATGACATGGTTAAATTGGGTGTCATCTTGAAGCTTGTACTTAAGATCGACGATGAGAGCATCTTGCCGCTACCGTGTCCGCCACCACAACACATTTCCAACATTCACCAAAGGTTTGGTGCCTGGTTGGCAACATCGCCTCGAGAGGCTACGCAGAAGACTGTCATAGAAGTACCGCCACTTCCTTGATGCATAGAATATGGGTGTGAAGCGTCAGACCCCGCCTACAGGGTTGCAGTAGCAGCCACACACCAGCCTCCAGCACTTGGAGAAACAGAGGTGCTACCCAATTGAGATCAACGCAAAAAGACACTCAACAGTAAGTTGCTCACTTGTTGTTTGGCTGCACTTAAGTGGGGATAATGCGTAGGCACAGCCTTGGGCCACATCGACCTTGGCATAGCCCGTAACAATGAGAGAATCACCAGCCATGTCTACCTACAACATCAATTATCAACTTTTATTATCAAAGACTCACTGTCATAAGGCTATCCTTACCTCACATGAAAGTTACGTTAGGTTAGGTCAAAAACCTTTGGCAATGGTCCATCCACTTCTCTCTTAAGAACACTTTAATTCATTCTCAATTACTATTCCCGAACCGTTTTCTTAGAGAGTTAATTACCTGGTAGCTGCTTGCTGATAGTATGTTATTGGGTCAGGCCAATTCGTTCTTCCTAAGCTGTTGTCAAAGAAGAAGCCTTATCAATAAGATAGTCCTCCTCCTTCTTAGTCACATGTTCTCGTTACGGGTGAGTTCCGTGTTCCCCGTGAACCAGAGTACATGTGTCCTGTTGCAGCTGCCAGGTGCCTCTGGGCTGCTTCTAACCCACGACATCGACGCTGTCACACCCTGTACACTTACAGGGGCTGGCGCATCCGGAGAGATCCCGAGACCATATAAGTCCCCTGACTCTGCAGCTTCACTCAGTAGAGTGGGTACAATAATTTGAATCCCTGCGCGCCACCAACAGATATCTCACATACGGAACGCCACACAACAGGTTACGAGTGATAAACACCAAGCTCGATGTAAAGGCAATATTCTCAAAGGCAGTACGTTTAGGCTCTTGTAGTTGGATGTTTTGAACTTCCACAATGACCGTCATTTCCGACTACAGCTAACAGTTTGAAATCACAACAGAAGCAAGTCAGGTACCAACCGCAGAAGAGTAAGCCGTGGTGTGGCCCGTTCCCCACATAATGTAAGGATACTAGTTAGAAAGGGCATAGCGTTTAAAACAGGTTGCATATGTGCCGCAACAAACATGCGGTCCAACAGCTCGTCACAATAACTCCATTAATCGGTCGCCCAATTGGTGGAGGCTTGGGATTGGGATTAACTAGTCTTAAAAGAGGCCGTCGAGTTGAGCTCAAAGCCGTGCTACATTTCTTCTATAATTTTACTTCTAGACGTATGCAAACATTTCACATACCCATAGTTGGTCTTCAAACTTGTTTACATTGATATGGCCGAATCCATCACAAGAGTGGTGACGGGCTCGCCACCCGACCAGTCATCGACGTCAGCAAGATCGGCAATTTCTCCAATCAACCCCTCAGCAGCAGCTTCCACGGCGGGGCCGACAGTACAGCAATCGTTCAACACGGCTGCCACTCCCCAACCTCAGATTACAGTAGATGATGATGAATCTGTTCGACCCTTTTAAATTACCTTAAATACACTCCCGGATAAACATACTAATACCGCTTCTCGTCAGGATGAGGCATTAGCTATCGATGATAGAATGTAATGCCTTGATTAGCAATATCTCCAGTACAATGAACACCTCTTAACCAACGATTAAAATTTTTAGCGCTACGTACACGGCATCATTATCGTCTTCCATTACTAACTATCCAACTGAATATGGCCGGCGATACCATTCGTTCCGACCAGGGTGTACGTCTTCCGCCTTGAGGCACTTTGTCGAGGTTTAGACGTAATTTTACTCAATCTTTAGCATACATACTTCCCAACGACGAGGTACGGCGATTCCTACAGTTTTAGTACGTTTCAAAGAACTGAAACTGAGATATAACGGTAAAACAGAGCGAGATGGACCGGCTCGACTTTTGTCACGCTTTATTAGTTAAGACCATTGGAGACAGGCTGTTTCTTGCACCAATCAACGAGGCAAAAACCCATAGAATCCTCGACGTTGGAACGGGAACAGGAATCTGTACGCTCACACTGACTCATTATGAAAAACCTTTAATCATGTTAGTATTGTTACCATTTGTTGCTGACAACATCAGGGGCGATGCAAATGGGTGACCTGTTCCCGAACGCGGAGGTATAGTTTAGCTTCATCGACTTGGTGCGAGCGGACATGCTAATGAAAATGTAGATACTTGGAAACGATCTCAGTGCTATTCAACCAAAATGGTACGCGATTGGAAATACTGTCAGTCTGGAAACGGCAGTCTAATACCGACGTAGGGTCCCGCCTAATGTCAAGTTTGAAATCGACGATGTCGAAAGTGACTGGATTGGGCAGAAGTACGATTTTATCTTCAGCCGCTACATGTGTGGATCAATCGTGGACTGGCCCACGTATATGAGGCGTGTCTATGAGTAACTGAAACTATCTCAAACGCATCATTCACGGATCTTTTGCTACAGCTTACATAGGAACCTAAATCCCGGTGGTTGGGCCGAGTTTCAAGACTGGAGTTTTATGATCTGTTCCGACGACGGATCGATCGAGGGTACCGAGCTTCTTCGGTGGGTGGACCTTTTCATGGAGGCATGCAAAGTCTCCGGCCGAGACGGCCAGATTGGACCAAAGTTGGAGAGCCTGGTGTGGGAAAATACTGGCCTAATGAACATTCACCATCAGCCGTACAGGATTCCAGCCGGCCCATGGGCAAAGGATCCTCATTTGAAGGAGATTGGAATGTATGAGCTCATTCAGCTGCTAGATGGTCTGGAAGGATTCTCCTTGAGATTGCTTTGCGGAGCCCTGGGTTGGTCGAAGGAGAAGGTGCTGGTACTTCTGGCCGGAGTCCGCAAAGACTTGAAGAACCCTAACATTCATGCCTGGCTGCATTAGTAAGTTCTCCATTCAATCTCATGCACTATAAATACTTGTATGTTGACATTATTCTCTAGTAATGTTGTCTATGGCCAAAAGCCCGACAAGGGAGAAGACTGAGTCTGCGTCATTCTCTCGGGTTGACATGATTTGGACGAACCAGGCTCTAGATCGACTCTCTATGTCAGTTCTAGTGGGATTGGCTACTTCTGTCTTATCTTAAAAACGGTGGTTGATCTTTCAACCTCCGTTCTTCCAAGCTTGTAATCAAATTTGTTTCGCTATGGGTACACGAAACGCAGCAAGGGCTTGTGTGAGATTGAAAGATAGTTATATATGGGAAGGAGCTTCTGCAAAAGAGATGGCTTCATTTTGATTGTTCAGTATTGCATAGCATTCGCCTTTTACTGAATTTATTATTCCGCGTACCATTCTCAAGCTGTTGCTAACTTTCAGCTCACTGAGAAGAACATTTTTTGAGTTCGGGTGATAAACTGGATATCCAACTCGCCAACGCCAATTCCAATACCGTAAGTCATAAGTCTATAGTTCAATGCTCTAGTTGTCCTCAGTTTCCAATTGCCGCCTCCAGATCTTAACAGGCATCTCTCCCAAGAGCCAGTTCATCGTCTCCTCCCTTTGAATCACAAAGTCCCGTGGCAGCGCAAACTCGTACCTATGGACTACGGAAGCCAACAGCACAGCCTGTTCCAGATATGAAATGTTGCGGCCAATGCAACCTCTTGCTCCGGCAGAGAAGGCAAGGAAGTAGGGCTGGAGTTCCTTGCCCTTTTCGCCAAGCCATCTGTCCGGCAAGTACTTGTCGGCCTCAGGGAAGATCATCTCGTCCCGATGAGCAACGAATCCCGACATGCTGACTGTGGTGTTACCCGGCACCCACTCTCCCATGATGTACATTCCCTCGGGAGGCGTCTTGCGTGGCAGGCCGTGGGGCGTTGGTGGGAAAAGGCGGAGGGACTCATCGAGGCAAGCTCGGAGGTAGGGCAGATGCTTAACCTTGTCGTAAGGAGCAATAACCTCATCGGGATCAAGGACGCTGTCGACCTCCTCACGCAGACGTCGGAGGTACTCGGGGTTCTTTAGCAGCTGGTAGAGGACGTTTGCAATGGCGATGGCAGTGGTGACGCTGCCGGCGTTCATCATGATGTTGATTTCCGCGACAATCTCGCCCCATTCTAGATTGTTGGCCTCGCCGTTTTTGCTCTCCATAAGGGCCTGGAAGAAGTCGTCAAGCTTTTCGCCAGCGTTGTAGCGCTTAAGTCGCAGAGAGGAGAGCTGAAGCACGATACCATCCCAGCCCTTGGAGGCATTTGTCATGTTGCGGTAGTAGGGGATGAGGTTAGAGAGCTTATCGATCAACTTGTAGTAGTCGTACGACCAGACAAGCAGTGACTGCTTGCGAGCTGTGGGGTAGAGGGATTCCCGCAGGCCGACTTCCCACGTGCTTCCATCCTTGCGCTGCGCAATAACTCTATCGTGGCCGCGATCAAGAAGGCCCAGGCGCTCGGAAAGACCAATGTCGGCAATGGCGTCAAGGGTGAAGAAGTTTGTCCACTTGCGGTAGTCAACCGTGAGGTCCTTGGGCTCAGGGAACATCTGGCCCTTGGGGAGCGGCCCAGTGCAACGCTTATCCAGCTGCTTGAACAGTCTGTCAACCTTATCCGCGACCTTGTGTTCCCACCCCTCGAGGTTTTTCAAGGCGTAGGCAGAAGACAGAACCTTGCGCTTTCTGGCATGGTCGTGCTTATCAATGACATCGGCAAGGTGGAAGTGGGAGCCAGCCGTCAAGTCGTACGACTCATCCTTGACACAAGGGGTTCCGTGGCCGTAGATATCCTTGATGGCACGGACGTCGCTGAAGGAAAGGGTATTGGGACCGGTGCGGAGAATGGGGCCTTTCTCCTTGTGGAGGTGGGTGAGGTGAGTTGACCGAGCGCCCGTACGGGCCAGGATCATGAAAGGAATATTTGAAATGCCGGAAAAAGTGCTAAAGTTTTGAAATTTTCGGAGGCCTGAACTGAACGTCAGTGATCGTTCGTGCATGGCCAAGGTATGAAATGGCTTTACCTTTGGTATCCTTGAAGTACACAACAAGAGGATAGACGACGAAGTAAGACAAAGCAAGGAAAAAGAAGCCCGCCGCGTATGGGGCATGCGTAACCGCTGAGAGGATCTCAAGCGCCATGTTGGTAGTAGGATCTTAGAAGATCTATGTGGCAAATGAGAAAGAAAAGAAGTTTGGAAGGAGTTGTTGTCGCTGTCAACTTCTATCACGATGTAGGAGAGGAAGCCTCTTGAACTAAATAATCAGACATAAGTGGAATACTGCAAAAAAGACCAAAATCACGAGAGTAAGGACCCTCCAACCGGCGAGGAGTTGCCGAGTGTGGACTGGCGTTAAGCTATGAATGAGGAAAAACTCCCCGCGAGGCCATATATCCACTAGTTACGACACGATCCCCGCATTATGCGCGTCAGAAGTGGCCAATGCCCTCCCTCTCATCTGACCTGAACAAGAATAGCATATGTGCCGTCTGAGAAGGGTAAGCGGGGTGTAATGCAGATGGAGGGCAAATCGAGCAAAAGCCAAGTCCGCGGGGTGAAAGGCGAGCTGGAGCCCATGGTAAGCTGCACTTACTGTGCAGTGCTTGGCTGAAGTGACAGATCGTGGGGATTTCTCGGGGACCATCACAATCTTTGTTCGTAGTAAAGCACAAGGGGGGAGCGGCATTCATCACGGTGAGCTTATCCATTAGTTGTGGAGTTTTTGGCTCGATCGAGCAGCTTATTCCGCGGGATACACAGTTAAACTCATGGAAGGCAAAGGCGCCAAGGTTCCGGTGGAGTTGATGTTCCAGCCATCGACAGAAAAACAACTCACAAAGATGGGGAAATCGGGGGTGTCGCTGGGTGTCATGAGGCACATGCTGGTTTGTGGAGGGTGGTCCTTGGTCCATCCCGTGTTGCCGTACGGATATGTCGCCTTGCACTATCTCGATCCCGCGGGATACCTCGCCTATCTTGGTTTAGATCCATGGCAGTTCTCCAACCTGCTTCTCTGGATCCCCCGCGGGGAAGTGGGCTTACCCCCCGCACCCCAAACATTTGACTTAGTTTTCTTACTGAAGATGGCAATGTCCGCCGAATGATGTTGGGCAGAAACTTGCCTGATTACGTTCGTTTAGGCAAGTCTTGTTTGAGGAGAGGTCGACGGCATTTACTCCGCTACGTCCATTGTTCATATGTAGTTCGTTTTTGGGGATCCTCACGATAATTCTACCTTGGTTCATGCGCATTTATTATCTCGATTCCCTCCGCTGTCTCCTCTTCTACGGTCCAAAGGCAACAAGCTCGTCGATACCTCTTTTCATTCTGAGAGAACTTGACACTATAGCGATTGTAAAACGTCTTGCTCGCTTACAGGCATCATGTCGGCCTCAGGAGCTCTCCCCGAGAGTACTCTCAAGCTTCTTAGCCAGCTTGCGCCGGCCACATTTGCAGACACAGCAGCTCTTGCCGCTGCTGGACTTCTTTCGGCTGCCTACGTCCTCCGTGGATACACATGGGACAAGTCTGATCCGTATGACTACATTTGGTATGAGAAGCCCCAGCAAGGAGCTGGTGGCAGCGCTGCGAAAAGATCAAAGAACATAGCCGAGAGGCTCGAAGAACTGGTAAATTTATCGTCAGTGATATGGATTTTAACACCCGCTGATTTCTTTTCAACAGGGCAAAGATGTCGTTGTTTTTTGGGGCTCACAGTCGGGCACTGCGGAAGGTTTCGCAAACCGTCTTGCAAGAGAGCTGCACCAACGCTTTCACCTAGAAACCATGTCGGCCGACCTCTCAGACTACGACGCCGACACGATTGCACAGATTCCACAGACGAAGCTAGCCATTTTTATTCTTTCTACATATGGTGAAGGCGATCCCAGCGACAACGCCGGCATGTTCTGGGATTGGATTACCAAACTCCAAGACAAGCCGTTGGCATCGCTCCGTTATGCGGCTTTTGGCTTGGGCAACAGCAACTACAGATACTACAACAGAGTTGTCGATGTAGTCGACAAAGCCCTGGTGGACACAGGCGCATCTCGTCTGGCACCTGTTGGTCGTGCTGATGATGCCGAAGGCGCCACAGAGGAAGATTTTCTTTCGTGGAAGGACGACCTGTATAAGGTCTTCCGCGAGACACTGAACCTGACGGAGCATGAGGTGAAGCATGAGCCTTCTCTTGCAGTGGTTGAGGACGAGTCTTTGGAGCCTCAGGACCTTCACATTGGCGAGCCTGTCCACCTCATCGAGGGTTCTGGCAAGTCCACCGCCAACTCAGCAATCAAGCCTCTCAAGATCAAAAACGTCATCGACCTGTTCTCTTCTCCTGGCCGCAGCTGTCTGCACTTGGATCTCGAGCTCGACAGCAGCTCCCAGCTTACATACAAGACTGGTGACCACCTTGCGGTGTGGCCCATCAACCCCAACGAGGAAGTCGAGCGTCTTCTGGCGGTGCTCGGACTTTCGGACCGTCGCAATATCCCCATCAGCATCAATGCACTTGATGCTGCTGTAAAAGTGAGAATTCCTACACCAACAAACGTCGAGACCCTATTCAGATACTACCTCGAAATCTGCGCCGCTGTTCCCAGAGACACCGTTCGTGGGCTTGCCCAATTTGCGCCTTCATCAGCTTCCAAGGAATTTCTCTTGAGCCTTGGCCGCGACAAGGACAACTACGCCAGTTTCCTTGCTTCAAATCATCTTACAATTGGCAGATTGCTGGAGCTGGCAGCCAAGGCAGATGGAGCGCAAGCAGCAGGCTTGTGGTCCGGCATTCCTGTGTCATACCTCATCGAGACCTTGCCTAGGTCACAGCCCCGCTACTATTCTATTTCCTCTTCCAGCGTCGTTTCTCCCAAGGCGCCTAGCATTACTGTTGCCGTTTCTGATACCCCATTGTCCGCCTCTCCTACCACTGCCATTCCGGGCTTGACAACCAACTACCTGCAAGCCCTATCACGATCACTTCAAGATTCTCAGGCAACTAAGCAGACTGAGGGCCTTAGCTATGCTCTCTCTGGTCCTTCCAACAGTCTTGAGGGTGGACGACTTTACGCTCACATCCGCCGCTCCAAGTTCAAGCTTCCCATGTTGTCTTCTCACCCTCTTATCATGGTGGCTGCTGGTACCGGTCTTGCACCATTCCGCGGCTTCATTGCGGAGCGTCTACGTCTGCAGTCGATTGGAAAGGATGTTGGACAGATGCTGCTCTTCTTCGGTTGCCACAAGCCCGATGAGGACTACATCTACCGAGAGGAGCTGGAACAGATGGAGAAGGATCTTGGCGGCAAGTTGAAGATTGTCACTGCTTTCTCTCGACAGCAAGGAACCAAGAAGACATATGTTCAAGACAAAGTTCGAGACCTGAGCAAAGAGGTTTCAGGACTGTTGGAAGATGGAGCCAGCCTTTACATGTGCGGTAGGGCGAGCATGGCCAGAGAAGTTGGCAAGACACTTGGAGATGTTATGAAGACGGATAAGGGATGGGACGATGCACAAGTCAAGGAATGGAGTGAAGGCCTGAAGCGTAACCGCAAGTGGCAAGAGGATGTCTGGGGCTAGATGATATGAACACGATATGAGAGCATGATGGGATTAGACAGGGTTTACTGGTTGAGCGTAATCTGTGTATTTTATAGAATCAAGTTGAATAGGGAAAATCTTCATGATGTGCACATTTCAAGCATTCTTCTTCTGGTTGGTTGTTGAGACAAAGATAGAAGTACAAGTAGCTTTTACGTCTCATGTTATAACTAACAGGTACTAAACACTCATAAATCGATGGCCTTTTGCAACTATGAGCCTCACAGACGGTGCTCAATCCCTTATGGGGGCCCCTGGTAACAACAATCGCCCCGACCTACCTTGGGACTGGTCACCTTACCCAGCCCTACGCTCGTACATGGTTCTAGACCCCACTTGCCGTATTTGGGAAATATCTCCCATTTTCGATTCTTGGATGCATCAATATTGTTGGTATTACTAGGTATTTGTGTTTGTCCGCAGCTACAGACAAGTCGATATACCCAGTGACAGTATAGGCAAGCGCCTTCCCAATATCGCCGTTACCGTAAACTAATATTCCCATTATACCTCCCAGAAAATGTTTACTTTGCAATGTAGGAAGGCACTTTCTGCATGTGAGTATTATTTACGGGTTCACGTTGGGTTTCCAGGCGCAGGTATGGTGTGCCTGTTTCAGAACATCACTGGTCTAGATTGGGCCTAAAGGCTGGTCTCTGGGAATACATCACCATGCAGGCCATTTGTATTCCTTAGAGCCCCAGATTTACTACGTATGTTTCATCAAAGAGATTTGATATCTGCTGGCAACATCTTGAAGACATCTAGTTGGCCAAGGTGGCCTCGTGGGCGATTATAGATAGAGCACTATGTAACGCCGAATAAGCTTTACTCGTGCTCCTATTTGAGAAACCCGCGGATTATGTTACCCATTACGGTGGACAGCTCCACCATGCAAGTTTCTGACTCAGGGACAGGTTACCCAGACTTGGTCCAGAAGCAATACCACTTCTTGGACTCTCCTCACGCTTCTTGGGCGACGCGTCTCTCGGCAGCTTAAACCCGCGGATTAAACAAACTGCTCCATCTTTAACGGATGCCCCAATAACCATGTAGATCGTGAACTCCAATTGAAAGCTGAAGGTTGATAAGTGTAGCCTCATGTTATTTTGTCCCTCAGAGTGGGGAAAATCCGGGGCAGAATCATAGTGACACGAATGAGAGGCAACCTATCAAGAATATATGGCCCACTCGGATGTGTTCTCATCTCCATTTACTGTCGGCCCTTGTTCAGTACTACAGATCGTTCTCCAGCATTTCATCTTCGAATGTCATCTATGACATCATATTTCCTTGGAAATGTCAAAACCCACTCATTGAATCAAGAGCACACAAGTAGTGCCATCTTTTATCGAGGCTTTGGTTTCATTCCTTAAGGAGTGATGTTTCGAATCGCATGTGGCTAAGGTGGACATAACTATTCCCTAATTATACTTAGCCATCTCTGTATGAGCTTGTACAGAATTAGTTAACCAAAATACACGACGTTCAAGACACTGGTTCCCCTCCCTTCCAGGTTAAACGCCATGCCTCTTTGCGATGATCGCCAATAGACGAGATCTGACAGGTTATCGTTCTCGGATTCTAACCTCCCCGCAACATCATTCGACAGTGTCCGCGGGGTTTTCTTACCACTTTAGGTTAAGCAAGTATGGATTCCCCATGGATTCTGGTGCACGGCAGCACCCCCAGACAATCCACCCCCGCATTTTTGCAACTACACTACTCAGTCCTGTGCTCAGCTGCCGGAAGAAAATGAGAGGGGGTTTAGTGCCTAATGCCATGCTCTACACATGAGCAATGCACGTCAAGCCCGCGTGGGCTTTCCCCTGAGCCCTGTTCTACTGCGTAAGATGTAACCAGATTTGCCGTCTGTATCTATGTGACCACAACTGAGAGAGGTTTTGGGTTCGTAGCACGCATACTCGCTTGCCCTCAAAGCAACTTTTAATTAGGAAAAAAAAGCCCGCGACCCACCTTGGCACGTTCTTTACAGCCTACGCAATCGTAGTCTGTTTAATTAGGGCGACATTGACTCAGTCTCTATATAAGCCCGCTTCTGGCCACCTTCGTCTGATGCTTTGAGTTCTGATCCAGTAACCGACTTCAGCCTCAACCCTCCTCCTCCACGACGATAACCCCTCAATCTTTGCTGGTCTCAGCTTGTCCTGTCAATTCTTTCTCAGAGGCTAGCAAGCACGCAGTCTTCACCATGTCGCAAAACACCAATGGCCTCGACAGTAAGAGCCCGTCGAGAGATGCCTCTCTCGACAAGGTGAAGGTCGACGGGGTTGCCAGTCACATTGAGGACACTACCGCTTCTCATGCACCTAACTTTGATGACTCTATTGAAGATACGGAGCCTTCTAAGGCTGTTTGGCTCATCACGTTTACCGTCGCTATGGGTGGTTTTCTATTTGGTATGTTTGGATAGTGCCGAGACGGTCAACCGTTGCGCCAAAGTTACCGCGGATTGCGCAGAAATCTGACTGTTCGACCTCCACTATAGGCTATGATACCGGCGTGATTTCGGCTGTTCTCGTCAGTTTGAAGTCGGACCTCGGACACGAACTGTCGACTTCAGAACAGGAACTCGTAACCTCGATTACTTCTGGCGGTGCTCTCATTGGTGCCATTATGGCTGGATTGCCCGCAGACAGATATGGACGAAAGCTCGGCATCTACATTGGATGTCTTCTATTTCTCATCGGCTCAATCATTCAGGCGGCGGCGTTTTCCCTGGCGCAGATGACTGTTGGGCGGTTTGTGGTTGGACTGGGTGTGGGCTCTGCCGCAATGATCATCGTAAGCTTCCCCGAATTTGTCCAGGCCGATTTCCAGTATCGGTCTGGTTGTATTTGTTCTTCAGTGAATGCTGAGGCCTCGAGACTTAGCCACTTTATATCGGCGAGCTGGCCCCTGCCAGACACCGCGGCCGCATGATTGCATTCGACAACATGAGCGTTACGCTCGGTCAGCTCATCTCCTACGCTCTCGGAGCCGGATTCACCGAAGTTCCTCACGGATGGCGCTATATGGTCGCCGTTGGCGGGTTGCCACCAATCGCTCTCGGCCTCCTCCTGCCCTGGTGCCCCGAATCCCCGAGACAGCTCATCTCTCACGGCAAGATTGAGGAGGCTACTCGCGTCATCAGGCGCGTCTACCCTCACGCCACCGAAGAGCAGGTGCGGGCAAAGATGGGACACATGACGTGGGCTGTTGAAGTCGAAGCGCAGGCGACTTCCACCTCTCTGTGGCACCGCTTCAAGCAGTTGCACGTTGTCCCGTCGAATCTGCGTGCTCTCATCTGTGCTTGTGCTATTATGGCCAGTAAGATAACTCCACAATCCGTGCAAAAGTGTGAAAACGAAATATTAACCACTCGCAGTCTCACAATTGGGTGGTTTCAACACATTGATGTACTACAGCGGCGTCTTCTTCGGCCTCGTCGGCTTTGATAAGCCGGTTGCTGTCTCGATTGTGGTTGGCGCAACCAACTTTGTCTTCTCTCTCGTCAATTTGTTGGTTATTGACAGAATTGGAAGACGCCGTATCTTGCTGTTCACAGTTCTTGGAATGGTGAGTCTCCCTAATTGTATTGCAACGGAACTGATTTCACTGACGTAAAACAGTCCATCAGCATGGCAGTTGCCGCCATCGCATTCCATTGGATTCCCGTCTCGCCCGATCTCAAGCTACAAGCCACTTCAGTCAACTGGGCCGGCATTCTCGTCCTTGTGACTATCATCGTCTACGTCGCCTGCTTTGCTGGTGGTGTTGCTACCATTGCCTGGGTTGGCACTGAGCTGCTACCCCTGGAGGTTCGCGCTCTCGGCACCATGATGAACACCGTTACCTGCTGGGGCTGCAACATCATCATCGCTTCAACCTTCCTATCTATGATGAAGGGTATGACTCCCAGTGGTGCCTTTGGGTTTTACGCGGGTATTTGCTTCTTTGGTTGGATTTTTGTCATCATTTGTTACCCAGAGGTCAACGGCCTTCCCCTTGAGGAAGTTCGCCAGATCTTCTCTGTTGGATTCGGCGTCAAGAAGGCAAACGAGATGCAAAGAATGCGCAAGATGGGTGCTGGAGCAGCTTAAGTCTGTTTGTGAAGCTGCGATGCGGCTTATCTGTCTATTTAGGCAATTCTGAACTATATTTTATGAAAAAACATGATGATTAAGAGAGAAGGATCTAGCTGCATAACTCGACTGTGTAGTCTAGATGGTGATAAACCACTCTATTTCCTCTTTGGGACATAGAAGCTGGCGGGAGGCCCCAGGTAACTTTCATTCAACCCTCCCACGTCCACAACCAGCTTCTCTAGAATCAAGTTTGTGTGATTCAGCCAAACCTTCACAGTGTGTTCTCCGGGGCTCAAGCCGAGATCTCCTAGATCATGAACCCGCTTCCAATTGCAATCCTGCACTGCATAAAACCATCCATCGGGTAAGTCTCCCGACTTTTCGGCTTTCGGTAGTAGATGATGCGTCTGAGAGGGGGTATCATCTAACTGTACCTGGTACGACATGAGGTTGGCGGGGTCTACATCGAGAGTCATGTTGAAGTACAAGAGCAGAGCGGGTGTTGCAGTTTGTGAGAAGACGTAGAACTTGAACTGCAGATATGGGACTGGCTCATTGACTGGGTTAATCACTGACAATGCCCCTTCTGTCGTTTTGCCGCAATCCAAGAGCACTCGGAAACCCGGCGAAGGGTTGAGTGCCGCAGGTATGGAAACATGGCCAGCTTCTTCTACAAAGCCGTCCCCGAACGATTCAGGCACTCGCCTCCCCTTAATCGGAAGGTGAACTTGCTCAAAGTCGCCTTCGTCAGATCTGATGTCGATCAAGACTTCTTGGTCAAAATCGTCAGACACCTCGTTCCAATTGACTGTAACTGAGACCCGTGCATCGTCGCCGTCCGGATCAAGAGAACCATTGGTAGCTGACAACTGCAACCAAGGAAACGGAGTGGAGGCTTTCCAGTGGATGGCGTGCGCCCCTCTCGTAAAAATATCAAACCACCTCTTACTTGGGCCATACCGACTCATCAGCCCCAGAGTGACTCCAGGCACCAAATCTCGTCGGCTGGGATGAGTACGGTCCGACTCCTCGTTCGTCCGTCCCGGACGTACACCCTCATGACCCTCTACCGCGACTCCCATCTGTCCAACGATGGGATTTGAGTTTTGCCGGCGTTGAACGTAGCAAATGCCGCTAATCATGTCCCGAGACGGTGCATGCCAAGTGTCCCCAAAGCCGTAGTGTGTCTGCCGCATGATGTGGTCCCATTTGCCATCCAAGAGAGCGTGAAACTCTTCTGAAAGGGTGTAGTCCTTGTCGAAAAGATCTAGGACTTCACGTGCGAGTTTGTTGGCCGTGTTTCGTCGTTGACGTGCGTATAACTGATTGCGACCCAAAGTTATCTGTAGCTGGGTAAAGATGCAAGATGCCTTTACCGGATGCAGAACCGTCTCGAAGATTGCAGCTTTCTGTTCCTCTGGCACGCGACTGTAAATGTTCTCGGCGTCTTCCAGAAGGGATTTCCAGCGGTTCGCGACATTTTCTGCTTCTTCGTAGTGAAGCAGGGAGAATGTCGTCGGTTCGATGTGCTCGTGTCTCCGCAGGGCTGCAAGGCGATCATATCGACGCCATACGTTGGCGATTGCCTCTGAAAATCCCGTGCCGAAGTTGGATTCTGCCATTGATCGGTAGAACTTCTCAAACTTATCCGCCTCAATAGATTTGATGTCCCAAGCGAGGTTCATCGCAAAGGTCAGTGGAACCTCCATTGGCTTGATGTCACCGACGTTGAAGACCCAAATCTGCTTTGCGTTGCGTCGGTGGGCTTCTTGGAGTTGATGCCACGTCTTTCCCTATGCAACAGTGAGCATATTTTCAATGTTTTGAGAGGAAGTCACTCTATACCAGCGAGTTGCTGTTGATCCACTTATAACTCCGTGGGGTTCCAACGTACTCAAAGTGGTAGTATATCTGATCCAGGTCAGCCTAGGTAGTCTGAAATATTTTAGCACGCATGTGTTTTCACTTACACCTGCGCCGCCTTTTCTTTCTCTCTCTTGACCTGAAGGCAGCCTCCGAATACTGCCAAAGTTGTCATCTGCGAATAGCAAAGTAACGTCGTCGGGCACATCGATAGTCCCGCCTTCATACTGGTCTTGGACCTCTTTATATAGTGCTAGTAGCTCTTGACGAAATTTAGCATTCTCCTTTGCTCAGATATAAATGCCTTCAACTCACGAGGCACAGCATCTTCGCTTCCATGAATGTTCTTGATGAGAGCCCTTTGCGTCTTAATCACGTCGCGCACAACTGCAGCCGGATCATCGGTCTTCATGCCCTTATCGTATTCGCCACGCATCCCAAGCGTAAAGTAAGACTCGAGGCCTTTGGCTCTCGTAATACCTGTTTCGAAGAATTCGGTGATTTTCTCCTTGTTGGTAAGCCAGTTCCAGCTGCCGTCCGGGTTGTCCGCAAACCATTCGTTCGTCGCGCGCTGCATAGGCTCGTGGTGCGATGTGGAAACGGCGATCCCATAGTCGTCTGCAAGTTTGGCATTTTGAGAATCATCAGTGAAGAAAGATGCGCCTGGATTGGGGTGGCCAGGCCACATGGCGGGCCACATGAAGTTTGCCTGGGAAATGGTTAGTATTCGGTGGCTTATCTGCATATTGACCAGTGATACACAACCTTTAGTCTCAGCAAGAGTTCAAAAACATTCTTGTAAAACTCTGAGTTGTAGCCCCCAAAGTTTTGCCTTGCCCAGCCTGTAAGCGCCGGGGCTTCATCGTTGATGAAAATGCCGCGAAACCGCACGCTCGGCTCTCCCTGATACGTGGGCTTGGGTAGAGCAAAGATTTCTTGGTGGTGCTTGGGCGGCACATCTGCCCAAAAGTACCAGCTGCCATCATATTAGCCAGATATTTAGCATTTCCCTCTACAGCGCATAACTCACGGTGAGACTCCAATCTGTTCGGATAAAGTATATGTACCAAAAATTGCACCTCGTTTGTCGCTGCCTGCGATGACTAGGGCCTTGCGGCAGCCCGGAAAGGGGCCAGCAACAGGGGTTGTTATAAAAGACTCCCACTTTCCGCGAATTTGGTCAAAGTTGAGCTTCCCATCTTTCTCCAACCGCTGGAGCATGCGGCTTGACTCGATGCATCCGATGATTATAGCCACATCAGCACCAAGGTCAGCATCGATCTCGGTTTCCTTGGATACCAGGAGAGGCTTGGATTCGGATCTGGTCACCCGGCCAAAATCCACGGCGAGGTTCTGCGCAGCAATGTGAATGCCAATTGGGTCCGATTCATCCACCACAATAGTTGCGCCGACCAAATTGAGGGATTCGGCCGCCTCCGGGCGAGAGAAAGTTACAATGCTATTCTCAGGCATCATGTCGTTCATTCATGTGCTGCTGCTGTGCCGTCCACGGTGATATTGAAGCCTGTAGGGTTATCTTTTCAACTGCAATGCCCATGGCAAAACCGGTTTCCCCTCAACGAACCCCAGCACCGGTCTATTCCGGCCCGAGGTCGGTATGTTGCCAAGCCGTTACCCATTCAGGCGCATGGGCCGATTCCAAAACGGGGTTTTTTGCTACGACATGATCAGCAGATGAACATTTCTACCCTAAAGACGTGTTAGAGGTTTGTAGACTGAAATATCTTGCATTTACGGCAGTCTTTGGTTGGCCAAGTCATCCTATGTGCATGGCCCGATTGCCGGTCCGGACTCGTTCCCCCGCACATCACCCCGGTTCTTCGACCCCACCTCCGCACCAGCACTCCTGGACTTCGCAAGCTATGGACGGGGATTGCATTCACAGTGACCGGGATGTGATATTGGTTGAAAGCATGCTACCTCGTGGTCGAACTTTTGTGGTTAATGTTTGCAGTAGTCGCTTCTATAGGCGGAGGAGAGCTGCGTGTACTCAAGTGTCTGCGAGCAAGGTGGTTGGCTAACTACGTGGAAGTATCAGACCTTCCAACATCTGGTGGTGGTTACATTTATCGACCCTGGCTGTCAAGGTTTTCAATTGTTTTTAAAAAGCTTGTAGTGCGCCTCAATCGTCTTGAAATTTCCCGACTTTTTTTGGATTCCTGTTAACTACCTTACTTCTCGTTAGCCGATATTGAGGTTGAAGTCGAGTTGGTCAACATAAAGTGCGATCAAAATGAACAGTAAAAGCGACATTCACAATGCCCCTGATACAGTGGAAGACATTCAAGATTCGAAGCAGCAAACAAATCATGACCTCGTGGACCGAGAGGTTGCCCAATATGCTAGCGAGTCCATCATCGAGGTGGACGAATCTACCAACAAGCGACTGAAGCGAATGATTGACAAGCGGGTGTTGAGCGTAATGGTCTTCACATATTTTATGCAGTCTCTAGACAAAGGAACGATGTCTTTTGCATCCATCATGGGCATCATTGCAGATACTAACCTCAAGGGTCAAGAGGTTGGTCTGTACACTACAGGAAGAACCAGACCTTTGCTAATGCAATCTAGTACGCGTGGCTGACGACAATCATCTATATCGTTATCCTCTGTGTTGAATATCCTGTTAGTAAACATGCATATCCCTCCCAAACTTCCCCGCGAAGCTGAACGTATCAAGGAAAACTACATCATTCAAAAGATACCGATTGCGAAATGGCTTGGCTTCAATATCATCATGTGGGGAGTGACCCTAAGTCTACACGCCGCTTGCCATAACTTTGTCGGTTTGGTCATCGTTCGTGGCTTTTTGGGCGCTTTTGAGGCAGTCTGTCAACCAGCGTTTGTGCTTTTGACTTCAATGTGGTACAAGCGCGAAGAGCAAGCCACGACCGCCATCCTTTGGTAAGCTTGTTCCTGAGTCCTGTAATGAGACACATGCTGACCACCGAGCAGGTACATGATGAATGGCCTTCAGCAAATAATCGGCGGACTCTTGGCCTTCGGCTTCTCCTTTATCCCAGCCACTTCGCCTATCAAGTCGTGGCAAGCATTGTTTATGAGCTACGGGATCATCACCGTCTTCTGGGGATTTTTTGTGCTTTGGTGGATGCCTGACTCCCCAATGAAAGCGCATTGCTTCAGCGAAGAGGATAAAAAGCTCATGGTGGAGCGAGTACGTTCTAATCGGACTGGTCTGCAGAACCGCAAGTATCGTAAAGAGCAGATCTGGGAAGCATTCAAGGACCCTCAAGGTACTTATATATCCAAGGCGCCCTCTATCATCTACATTACTAACTGCTAAATAGTTTATGGGTTTGCGCTGATCCAGCTACTTACTACTCTTCCCTCCGGAGGTTTGGGTGCGTTTGCCAACATCATCATCAAGGTAAATGTTCTCCCAAGGGTCGCCTTCCAAGTCTTTCCATTAACGCAAATCAGAGCTTCGGATATACTACTTGGCAAACCCAGCTGCTCCAAAGTGTCACTGGCATTCTGCAAATCATTACAATGGTCACAGCCGCCTGGATCGACAGACGTTACAAGCAAACTATATTCGCCATGATGGCCGCCGTCGCCCCTACAATCGCAGGAACTGTAGTACTCATCACCGTGCCGTTCGAGCCCAGCAAGAAGGTCGGGCTGTTACTGGCGTACTACGTCATGATCTCCTTCTGGGCCTGCAGCGGCCTCGCGCTGTCGTTAGTGACTCGTAACGTCGCCGGCCAAACCAAGAAGGGCGCTGTCATCACTAGCAACTTCGTCTTCTGGGCCACGGGCAACTCCATTGGGCCACAAGTCTTCCGTGCCAAGGACGCACCGCGTTATTTCCTTGCCCTCGCTATCATCTTAAGCTGCTTTGTTCTCTTGGAAGTCGTATTGTTCTCGTTGCGAACATACTACGTTTGGCAGAACAAGTCACGCGATGCCAAAATCGAACGGGGCGAAGCGATCGCGGATACTGCACACACACATGCGTTTGAGGATATCACAGACAAGGTAGGTAACACTGTGACCATTTATCCCTTTTCACGACACTAAATCTTGCTAGGAAAATGTAAACTTCAGATACAACTTTTAAAGGAATCTACTCGGATACACAGTTTCAGCAAGCCCACAGTGTCCGGACGGCTATATGAGTCTTGCTGCGTCAATTCATCAAAACTTTAACCTTGGATAAAGCGATCGGGTAAACCATACATTATGTGCTACAAGGAATATGCAAGCACCTGGAACTGGCGCTGGCTGCTGAGAACCAACAAGTAACTCTGATAAATGTTTCCTCTTCGGGTATGGTGGTTTTGTTAGACAGATGGCCAACTATCATCTTTTGTTCAGACTGAGTCCCACCAGATTCCACGTTACTAGGAAATACAGTGCCATGATAAACTTGCATTTTACTTCGTCACATAATACCATGTAACAAGTCGATAAAAGCTTTACTGGGTCACGATATCTATGATGGCAATGCTGGCTGCAGCCTCATGAGCGTTCAAACTTCCCCTCACCAACCTCCCCAGGTTCGTGTTTGGTTCCCCGGACCCCACGTAACCCACTCTGAAGCTTGTGGATCAATGAGCGTAGATCAAGTGCTGTGACCGCATGGTTCTTAGCAAAGAGGGGCAAATGCGACTGCCTCGCTCTTCTACTTCTCCTCCTTAGAAGCGGCAAGGTATCCGACTTGGGATAATCATATCCGAGTGAGGTTGCATCCTTTTATTCTGATTTGCTGGATCGCCCATCACAGACCTGAAATCCCTGTTTACACCCAGACGCAGGGAATATCAATGGTACTAGGATTAAGGCGACGGGTTACATCAAGGCAAAATCGGCATCGAACTTCGTAACCAACCGGCTTATACCGGTGCATGTTTGCCGGTTGGGTGTCTGTTGTTGATGCGGGGAACGGTCGGAAGAGGGGTTGCTACGGTTTTCCTTGGGTTAGCCGCAAGCCGTCCTCGCTGGCTATCATACGACGAAAATCACATGAAACATTAATACTATCGTGTTAATTTTTGGTAGATACACTTCTATTGCGAATTATCTTCAAAGATACGTTGCGTTCAAAGTTCTCAACATGTGCGGGCACACTGGCTTTTGCGAGCATGAGCCATCGTCCATAGAGGCGCAACCATACCCGTTGAGGGCATCAGCGCCCGTCGGCAAGAGAGTAAACAAGTTGTACAGAGACGGCATTGCCAACTTTTACTCTCAGGGGCAATGGGAGAAGGTTAATCTGCTCTCGTATGTTCCTTTCGTGAAACCAGTTTTCAAACGAAACCACTGACAAGCTGTTGAAGCATGTCGCATTTGGCGAGGTGCTCCGGACCACCAAATGTGCGGTTGAGTGTCTGGGACTGCCCGGGAACAAGCCGTCCATCTTTTGAGGAAGCCATCAGCCAGTTAAATGGCTATCGTGAGACTCAAATTGGGCAGTCCTTCGGTCCGTCGTGGACAACTCATTGGTTCAAAGTCGACATGAGTATCCCCGAAGAGATGCGCCAGATGGCCCACTTAGAGCTTCATTGGGATTGCAATAATGAGGCTACTGTCTGGTCTATGAAAGGCGAACCTCTCCAGGGGCTCACAGGTCGTGGTGAACGTATCGAGTGGATCATCCCAGAAACATTCAACGACGGCAATGAACATACCATCTTTGTGGAGATGGCCTGCAACGGCATGTTTGGAAACGCAGCAGGCGACCCGATCTTCAAAAACAACGCCAATGGCGACGCGATTCAGCCACCTGACCCAGAGAAGTATTTTGTTCTTTCAAAAGCAGAGATCGTGGCAGTGGACTTGGAAGCTCGCAAGTTGCATACAGACATACAAGTGATTCACCAGGCAGCGCAAGAGTTTCCCGAGGATTCCTGGGAACAACATGAAGCTCTGAACATTGCCACTAAAATCATCAACACGTTCGACATTGACGATCGGACGTCTGTTCTACGAAGTCGAAAGATTGCCGAAGAGTATCTGGGCCCTAATGTTAACTCGGAGAAAGTGTTCTCTGTGCAAGGCGAAAAGGGACCTAGCGTAATTGCCATCGGACACTGCCATATTGACACTTGCTGGTTGTGGCCATGGGAAGAAACTAAGCGCAAGGTTGTCCGTTCTTGGTCTAATCAGTGTGATTTGATGGATCGGTACCCCGAGCTCAAGTTCGCTTGCTCGCAAGCTCAGCAGGTATGTAAAGATCGCTTTTCATATCTGGTTCAAGCTTGTGGTTCTGGATGCAAAAGTCCTTTTCTAACCGCAATTTGCCCGAACAGTTCAAATGGTTAAAGGAAGGCTACCCTTATGCTTGGGAAAGAGTAAAAGCCAAAGTTAGCGAAGGTCAATTTCTTCCCATTGGCGGTTGCTGGGTAGAACATGACACCAACATGCCTGGAGGCGAATCTCTCGTGCGTCAATTTCTTTACGGTCAAAGATTCTTCGAAAGCAACTTTGGCTTTCGTTCAAAAAGCTGTTGGCTGCCAGATACATTTGGTCAGTCTAGCCAGATCCCTCAGCTTTGTCGACAAGCGGGCATGAACCGTTTCCTTACGCAGAAGATATGTTTCAACAACATGAACGAGTTTCCGCATACAACATTCAACTGGTAAGCTACATTGTTATCATTCACTTGGCTTTCAGCAACTGACCTCATTTATAATAGGGTTGCTCTGGATGGAAGTCAAGTTATCTGTCATATGCCACCTGCGAAGACCTACTGTGCTGATGCCAACTTCGGAGACATAAAGCGAAGTATGACCCAGCATAAGTCGCTTGATCAAGACCACACTTCTTTACTTGCGGTAAGCATGCTTCATGCCATAATCCTGACTATTATCTCATGCTAATCACTCTCGCAGTTTGGAAAGGGTGATGGTGGTGGTGGCCCTACCTGGCAACAGATTGAGAGGCTCCGCCGACTAAGAGGTCTTGCTGATACGACTGGGCTGCTGCCCCGCGTTCATCTTGGTAGTACTCCCGACGACTTTTTTGACAAGCTAGAACCGAAAGCACGCACGCTCGCAACCTGGCATGGCGAGCTTTACTTTGAACTTCATCGCGGCACTTACACAACTCAAGCGCAAACGAAGCTCAACAACAGACGAGCAGAATTCCTTCTAAGAGACATTGAGTTTCTAGCCACAATCGCTTCACTCGAAAATGAATCATATAGGTATCCAAAGAAGGAGCTCGATGAGATGTGGGAGGGCGTCCTTCTCTGCCAATTCCACGACTGTCTTCCGGGAACCGCCATTGGCATGTGTTACAACGATTCAGACAAGGTACGTCGATGATCCATTTTCTAATCATTCTTTTTGCTTCCTGAGGTTGACACAAAGTCTCAGATTTATCAAAGTGTCTACCGAATGCACAACACTCTTCTTCGAGATGTCTACAGAGTCCTTCGAGTCTATGAAATAGGCCAGGAGCCGTTCGCAGATGACATTCAAGTTGCATTAAACACGTTGGGTTGGCCCCGTACAGAAATCCTTACACCCCGCGAGGGAGCTTCAGTCATTGCTGGAGGCACCGGAAACGCCCTCCTAGTGCGTGGAAACTCTGCTGCTTCTACCACGAAGCCTGTCACCATTGAGGAAGTATCAAAAGGTGTTTTCAAGTTGAAAAACAACCGGTTCACTGTGACAGTCGAAAGAGGTTGCATCACCTCGCTGTACGACCGTCGAGCCAGGCGTGAAGTTCTTTCCGGCAAGGCAAATCAGTATGTCATATTTGATGACAAGCCTATTTACTGGCAAGCCTGGGACGTTGAAGTGTTCCATCTCGAAACTCGAAAGGAGCTTTATGGCTCGGAGTCAACAATTTTAGAGGACACGCCGTTAAGGGTTAGTGTTCAGACAAAGACAAAAATCAGCGACGTAAGCTCGATCAAGACGACCATCAGTTTAGTTGCCTCACTGGAAGATGACGAAAACCAATCATATGTGGATATCCAGGCCGAGGTTGACTGGCACGAAACGATGAAGTTCCTCAAGGTTGAGTTCCCTGTTGATATCCGCCATCACGAAGCTTCCTATGAGACTCAGTATGGTGTCATCCGTCGGCCAACCCACTATAATACTTCGTAAGTGTTTTTATTTGTGCAAGCCGTTCTGAGCAGTATTTCCTGACAAATTGACGTTAAGCTGGGATATGGCCAAATTCGAAGTCTGTAGTCACAAGTTCGCCGACTTATCCGAATATGGGTACGGCGTATCCATCCTGAACGACAGTAAATATGGTTTTGCCACTGTCGGCAACACCATGAGGCTATCTCTGCTCCGCTCGGCCAAGGCCCCTGATGACCAGGCCGACATGGGCAAGCACACTATCCGATGGGCCATCCTACCTCATCAAGGATCTCTTGGTCCAGACACAGTGAGGGCAGCCTTCAACTTCAACAACCCCCTCAAACTCGTATCAATATCCCAGGGCTCGCCATTGCTAGATGCACCAATCACGTTGAATGGGGATAGGAACCTTGTTCTTGATACCATTAAACGCGGTGAAGACGACGACGGGGTTAGCCTTGGAGAATTGCCTGTATCATCCAGCAAAAGCGTCATCATTCGCATTTACGAGAGTCTCGGTGGCCGCGGCCTGGGAACAGTTGAAACAAGATGGAAGCTGAAAAGGGTCAACAAAACCAATTTGCTGGAAGACGATGGAGAAGAAGTTCCTTTGGCTGGTGGTAGGTTTGAGGTTGACCTTGGGCCGTTCCAGCTGCAGACTTATAGGCTCGTGTTGGCCTAGTGATTCAATTAGCGTGGATCGGCCAGGCAAGGGCTTTGATCTTCTAGAATGAAGCCTGAAGGCACAGCGCCGACTCAATTGGTAGATAAACTAAGAATTGGGCGTCGAAGTGGAAGTTTTAGGTGGAAGACGTGCGTGACAATTGCCTCAGGCGTAACGTCTCCAAACTGTTCTAAGGCAAGCTAGAGAGAAAACTCAGTGCACATCCAAAGAATGTCTTTTTCTCTCTCTTATACTCGAAAAACGCATTGGCAACCGAGATATGTTGAACTCTATCTATATACAACCAAATGAATCCGTCATCTAGCCTCAATCAAAATTCAACCTCTCTAGTGTAGATCTACCATGTTTAAAGAAGTTAAAATTCCGTGCTTTCATGGTTTTAATTTACAGAAATAGCAGTATCATTTCAGTAACGGTTCATTCCGCCATTGTCCTTCACTACATCATACCGTACCTATGCACGTCTCTTGTGAAGCCAGTTCGTCCCAATCCTGGGTCCTAGTCGCCTGCAAATAGCTTCACTTGTTCCAGAGGCTGCCCCCTGTGACACCGCAGAAACGACGCCACCTCATAAGCATCTTCAAAGTTGGGCGAAAGCTGTGCTAACTATTCCTCTGTGATTTGAGATGACTTGGCCCTTCAGACCTTATCTAAGAAGTGTAAATGGAATGCAGATAGTACAGCTAGATCACAGCCGTCAATCTTAGGACTTTCGATAGCCAGAAATCGCAACCCGGGTCGCCGAGGGGAAGTAATAGGTGCAAGTAAGTCAGGCTAACAGTTTCTCACGTAAGTCTTAGTGGCAGACAAATCTCGAATTCGACAAAAGCCGATCACCCCAAGCTGAGAAGGACTTAATCTTCTTTCCTGGATCCAGAGGTATGCTCAAACGCTCAGAAATGCCGATGCAGCCCAAGAGCGCGAATCTCAGGCCACATGTCATGGTTCCTTTGCGTGTCTTGAGAAGCAGATGAACACTGGTATGGTTCTGGGCCTTCTCTCAGTTTCCAAGAGTCCCTCTTCTTATGGAAGTGTAACATGAACCTGTAAGGAGCATTTTATTGCGGATATACTCTTCTTAATACACCTTTCATTGACAAGATTAGTCAAAGGCTAAGCAATTTTATCTTGAAGGTTATAGGCAGCCACAGTCGAACAGTGTATGGCAGATGAGAACGCAAGTCTAGTTCGTAACGATTCCTTCAGTTTTATTGAATACGCAACGTGGCGCTGTGAACATGCGCTGCGCCGCATCTCGGCGCCACCGTCTCAAGAGTCTTCGACTTTGGAGCTAAGGTGATCACGTGTTTTTACGCATTTTACCTGGCAGTAATATACCTCTAAGATAAGACAGCTTTGCTGTGTCGTGAGTCGGCCGTGAAAATGCTGATAAACCCCCCCCCCCCCGTACGCCATTGCCTTATCCGCAAAAAAAAGATGTAGAGCCCCATGCCTATCTCATTCGAAGGAGATGAACATCCCAGCCGTCAGCCCTCGATCATGGAACTTGCCTAGGCATAGTACGGTTTTCTCCCATAAACACAATATCTAGAAAGAAGAAGTCAGTCTTGGGTTGCCTGCCTACCAAAAAAGAAAGTCTTGTTTTGAGAAACAAGTCCGGCAACCTACACGTTGAAATATGCGTGAACAGATGTGTCCAGCAGTTCTTCCTTCACCTCTTCGCAGAACTCTTGAACCTCTTCCTTACTCCAGCCCAGGACGCGTGTGAATAACGCAAGCGTGGAAACTTCGAGGCCCGCTATGGCTGCCGCCTGCGACCACCATCCCATCTCTCTCAACCTCTTGTTGGCCGGCCAAGGGCTGACGGGCCAGATCTTCTTGTGCTCGACAACGTCTTCAAATCCGGCCTCTTCTAGAAGCTGCTTGAACCTCGACGGCGTGTCGATGGGCCGGCCGATCCTGTTTGTGCCTTCTACTAGTAACGAAGACCACCTTGCAATGGCGCTGTGCTCCGGCATGCTGTCGTCCGGGCATTGTATGGGGAAGGCGTTGTCTTGTAGCTCGATATAACCTCCAGGTTCAAGATGCCTTGCACAGAACGTTAGCATGAAGCCGGGGGGGGGAACAGTCTTGGTTTTCTGTGGGGATGAATTACTCGAACGCTTGAGCAAGCAACTTTTCCCAACTTTCGAAGCATGAGTTCATGTGTCGCACGAAGATGAAATCGAACGGGATAGTCCATCTCCAATCTTTATCTGCGTCTTCGATTTCAAAGATGCAATTTGGCGGGACGCTGTTCACCCTTTAGCATTGACAGAATCGACTTAAAGACGAGGGAGACTCACTAGTCAGGTTGGATCGGACTCAGGTCAATGCCTGTGACCTTTGTCATGTTAGTACTTTGTTGGAGAGGGGAAGAGTCGGTAGGCCATCGAACCGTTGCTTCGGGATGGAGATCCGCTGCAGCATTGTTAGCTGTTGGAAGAAACGGCTCGGCTTCCAGCTAGGTTGCTCACCAAACTCTATCGCCCAGAGACCAGTGCCCGTTCCTATATCAAGCACTCGCTTTGCGTTTTCCTGCATCGGGCTCATGCAAAGTTGGTCGCGCCATGTTGACAGCCACACTTGGTGTTGCAGATCTAGGATCGTATTAAAACCAAGGGCTTCCAAGAACATCGGGAAGCGATCTTACATAATCGGTCTTGTTCCACCTGTTGGTGAGTTAGTCAGAAGAGATCCCGTGTACGTGACTTTTGAAAGGGAAGTCCTACAGCGTCGTTGGGGAGAATGTATTCTTTAGGTTTCACCGAGGTTAGCCGGCTGGTTTAGAAGAGGCCTCTATTCTACACTCACTTCCTTCGCTTAGCCTGTGATATGTGCGTCCATTCTCCTTTGGGTAATCACGGATGCTTGATCGCACAGATATCAAAGATGGAGCTAGAGTCTCTTCGAAAGACTAAGCAAAAGAAAGCATTAGCTACTGGACATCAAGTCATCAAGAGATAAATGAAATCCACCTCATCATCAATGGAAATGCGATCGAAATCGTCATTGCCCTCACGTCGGCTGGTGTGCTACAGGTAACCTGTCAGTTGGGAATGGCGGCACAGGCGGTGAGACAGTAAGCTTTTCGGGGGGATGGGATGTGTATGTGTCTGTGTGTGTGTGTGGTGGGCAAATGCCTGAGGTGGCCATACTCACGTCTTCTGCGTTTCTCGAATCAGACATCTTACCGGCAGGATGGTTCGCAAAGTCGTCCAGACCGAATAAAGAATCCGAGAGGGCAGATTGCGGTACCAACAGAACGGGTCACAACGAAATGTGAAAGGGGGGGAAAAAAAGGCTGAGGAGCTTCGTTTTTTTTTTTGGCTTCCCTGACAGGATTTGGGGATGCTCCTGTGCCCGGGCCTTTGCCCCCCCCCCCTTGCCCAAGCGGCCCCACTTAAAGGCGACGTTGGTTATGCGGCCGTTAGGTGTCTGTATGTAATTGGACTGCGCCGTATGCGTGGTCTTACTTGTGCATCTTCACCATGCTCCCCGGTCACTGGAAAATTGGGTGAAGAGTGCGCCATAAGCATCGCTTAGCGCAGTAGAACGACGCTGAATGGAGAGGGGAACACAGAGATAAGAACCTGTCATTGGGCGCTTTGCAAGGGGTTTCCCCTCATGGCCCCGGACCCTGCACGGGTTTGTGAAGTTCCCCATCTCCGAGATCCCGGTACGCGGCCACCTTCAAGCCAACATGATTGGGGAATGTGACCGTAGCCCATGTTCTTCGCCATGTCCTTTTGTAAATTAGCCGCCTTGGGGATAAATGAGAGAACGTAGTGGCGCGTTTCTTGAGATAAAAGTGCAGATTGAATATTGATTTTTTCATATATTTTAACAACAACCATGCGCCTAACTGCAGTTGACTACCTGAATTACCCCTGTCGACCCAGCCAAATAATAACGGAAGGTAAAAAAATCCCAGGCCACCTGTCGTCTGAATAACGGCCGACTTCGGCTGCTGGTGGACGTCGAAAAAGCGGCCAAAACGGCCTTTATCTCACAACAGGGAATCACATGAAGACGGTACATCTTAGGGTACCAACAGACTTACCCATCAGTTTGCAGATGTAAGAACAGTCTCCCAATTCGCGTAGTGAGTCACGTAAAGTATGGCACGTTGTGGTTAATCGATTTCTTCGAGACTGATCAAAACAGACCATCAAGGTATCATATCGACTGCCATAAAACAACAGGTACATATCTCGTGGGGGTGCTAACCAATTCTAATCTGATAAAGAGCATTTTGTGGTTATTATTCAGAAAATTTGGGCTCTACAATGCATGGTAGTCAAGAGGATATCCATGAGACTAGGCCCCCAAAATCTCTGAGCTTCCATCCATCAGAACTTCAAGATATTAGCTTGCCACGTTGTTCGAGATCGCATTCTATTGATTAAGGTACACATTTGAGGTCTCGAGAGAATCGTAGAGTTTCGCACTAGGGGGTATGTCAAATGACAAGTCTTGCTATTTCTAAACAGTGTTGTGGTGTCACTTGTCGAATACCATGCCTATCTCCATGCTCAGTGCTTGTCTTCAGCTCCGGATGCCCATACTGACTGCCATACCATGGCGTCGGGTTTCATGCAACCCTTCCTCAGCTTATCAGCCGAATCTGTGAAGGGTCGGATGCCGCCTACAGGGTTGCAGTGGCAGCCGCACACCAGCCTCCAGCACGTATCAAAAACAGAGGTGATCCCATTGAGCTAAACACGCAAAAGGATACGTGACAACAAGTCGTCCCTTTTTTGCTTGGCTACATTTAAGTAGTGATAATGACACAGCTATCAACCGGACATGGCCCGTAACAGAATCCTACCAGTGAGTGCGACTAGACAACCATGACGTTTTCAACCATAGACGCATCCAATTTTCTCTGCATAGTTATAACAGAGATGCCAAATTTAACAACAGATTGCGCTGTTGGTGTTTAATTGGCGGACTCTTGCATACTACACGCTAAAGAAAGCTACACTCAATGTGACGCCTTGGTGCCTTTCAGACCATGTCTAATCGGCACAGCCATGCCCGTCCTCAAACACCTTACACCACGAGTTTGACAGGGCAGTCATCGTAGCGTTCTCAGTCATCGTTACAGCCGGCTGGGGAACACTGCGATGACCTTAACCTTCAGCCAATTTACGGATTACCTGGCCCATTCGTTGTCCTGGCGTAGTGACTGGTATCTGCTTTTTGATCCTGACATTGCGATGTTCTCGATATCGTAAGCCACATGACCACTACCGACTTGCTCAAGAACAAGCTTCTCGATTTAACACTCTTCTTTAAGCGATATTGGACACTTCAATGTCGGCTTATACCATGTCCTAAATATTTAAAGCAGTCAGTGTCTTTGCCTTCCATGACAACTTCATTCCAAGTAGGAAACGGCAATAGTCTCTCACCAGGCTGCCAGCAAGCACGCTTTGCAGCGCCCTCCGTTTCTATTTCTTTATCCACGTGTCAACCACCTTAAAGTCCGTCTTTTGAGACAAATCAAATGGGTCGCTGATGGAATCATCCAACGGGTTAGAGAGCCAAGAAAGGTAGACTAGAGTGAGTGAATGGTAGTTGGGGTGAGAAACAGAATATAGAACGGGTATAATCATGTCAGATGGATGGTTCTTTTAATAAATTACCATTCGAGCAAACGGCTCCCCTGGTGCTTCCCGATTGGGGCGTTAAATATGTCTAACTAGAAACACCTCGACACTGTACGGAATTACTATTAGAAAGCGGCGCCGTCCACAGTAGCTAGGCGGTACAGCTACCGGACTCGACGACTCTGATAGCCATTTACACAAGAGATGAACACAAGCTGAAATTGAAACATTGCTGCTGATGGCTATGGTCTGAAAAGTAGAGCACGGCACTAAACTTTGGCGCGCAATGCTTGTGAGCAAAAGTTGAAATGGCAAAAGAAACTCCTCGACGGGGAATTGAACCCCGGTCCCCGGCGTGACAAGCCGATATCCTCACCACTAGACTATCGAGGATTTTACTGCTATGAGTTGTGATGGTGTTCCGGCCCGCAATCATGACTCATCCAGTATGGGGCGGGCAGGACCGTCATGATGTGGATTTAGGGTTAAGTGTAGTTTGCAGAGTGGGCCCAGAAGCTCTATGGGCTTAGGATGACAGGCGCATGGACAATGAGAACAGTCGAGGTGGCGTTGAGAATGTCCTTCATACATGTTTCCGAGGGATAGAATCATGTCGTGGTAGATAGTGATGCTTTGAAGGAGGCGTTAACGTGTCTGTATTACTACGGGGGCTTCCTGTGACTCTGCCCTAAGTCTCTTAGTTAAACTTGTAAAACATCAAGTGGCAAGTGTCCATCCAAGAGAAAGACTGAAAGAGTAACGGGGTATTGGGAGATGAGGATAGCAAGTATTACGGCATCATCTTCTGCAGCGTTCACGTTAGGCAAGTGAGAACTAACTTGACACTATGTATATCCTCCACCATGCTGCTCTATATACATCACTTTGCCACCAGTCTACTTTGGGCAATAAACGCGCCAACTGGCTTTTCTTAGACCTTGCTCCGCGCTTCTTTTGCCGCTACTGCGTGGTAGTTGATGAAGGTGCCAGCCAGGGATTTAGCCTCAAGTAAGGGAGGGCCCCAAAAAATTTATCTTCATGCCACAAACTATTTTTCATGTTCTAATGAATGTCTAAATTCTTCGGCATATCCCCACGGCGTGTTTGATTGACTGGAGGTGATAGCTCGGCAATCTGGAGTTCAATTTACTTCAGTGAGTCACTTGTTGAAAGGCAGTTAGACTGTCCGACACATCCGACATGTGCGACAGGAATCCTCCGTAACACCGCGTGGCATGTTCATTGAGCACCCAGGATGGGGAACTATGAATGCTTTCTGGAAAGTAATTAGTGGCGCTTCGGTACGAAAATCTTGATCTTGCATACGTGGGTGGCAGTAATCCGGAGGCTGCGATATCTGATTTGAACAGCAAGCCATATGATTTGTTTTATAGTTACATACGAATCGCTCGTACATAGGGTTCAACTGTTTACAGAGTTTGCGTTTGACGTTTATACATGCCGTAGGAACGCGAGCGTTTACGCAAATGTTAATGCGTCGGTGCTAGACCTTATCCTAGGAAAAACCTTCTGTCGCCCAACCGGGTTCGTTTGACAGCTCGGAAGGATATTCACGAAGGAGCAAGAACCATTCCACAAAAGCTCCGTACGGGGCAGTGCTCCCATCAATTAAACCTCAAGGCCCTCATTTTAATGCCATCTCAAAGGACCCATGACCAGCAAAAGTAGACAGATTCCTAAACCTACACCTACTAGCCGTAACTTCACGCCTACCAATCCCAAGCCGTTCTTTCCGTCCGTTTCTATGCATTGGAGAGGTGGAGAGAACCCTATATTTTCTTACTCCCGGGAAACGGCTGAACCATGCGCAAATCCTTCCACCACCAGCCCTGCAGTAAGCGCCCGTCAGCAAGGGTAGCACGCGAGAGATCGAGATTCACGGAGGTCAGTTACTAAGACGAGGAATCCTTTACTCAAAAAGTATCATACGATAACTAAATAATGGGTCGTTACAAAAGCATGAGACAACCAGCCAAGCCAAACTTTGCGTCTTGTGAATCCGCTGGAAGGTTCCCTCTCCGGAGCAAATTCTCCGAAACATCACGTGGGGCCGCGGCCCCGCTTTACCCGGTGAGGACAATACGGATACGGATGCGGCATCACGGTTTCCAACCTCCGGACCCTCACCCTACATGGAACCAACTGGACGAGTTGCGACAGCGGTATGCAATGGACGATATAACGTTCCATAAGATGTGGTCTTGGCGGGCCCAGTCTCTTTTCCCAAGACGGAATGTGACTCCTGCCAGCCTTCCTCCAACCACGAAGCCAATCTCATTTATGCCCCCACCATCACACCTGTCAACGTGATTCAACACCGCTCCCACGCACGTAATACAATATTACTTCACCCCGCATGAGAGCTTTAGGAACTACCGTGAACACACCCCTGCTAGTAGTCCAAGCGGACTTAAACCTGCTCTAGTGACGGCGTGAACCGAGCTCTAGTACACATCCTCAGTAGCCGCGAGAGCGTGTCTTTGGAACTACAGGTGATGGGACAAAGAGGCTAGTAATGCACTCTGATCGCATGCCTAAGGGTCTCTCATTCGT